GCATCATCATTTTCAATACTTATTTTCTGTATAAATAAACTTTTAAAAGACTGCATTGTCTCCTGTGAGTGTTCTGCATGTGGGTTAGGCAAATACCTAAAACCATAACAACTTGCAGGCAATTTATTGATGGACCCACACTGGATATTACCTATAGCAAAAATAATCTCTTATTTTTATTTTACAAGAACAATGCTTCTACCATCACTGCCATTGCCCCTTTGATAATACAACTGTCTGATCTGTGCAAGTTTAAATAAAATGTTGATGCACAAGCTGTCTCAAATAGTCAAGAAGGATTAAGCTCTCATTGAGATGGGAGAAGGGATTACAAAATATGTTCAAATACCACACCACGTTGTGTTTTGTCCTGACTGCGAGGCTCACGCCATAAAAATAACAACTCAGTTTATATTTGTATTTGTGAAGAAAGAGTTTATCTCTCATTGTCTTCCATCAAAATGACCAAACTTTGCTGGTTTGTATCAACAGCCAACTAATAACCTGATGCCTTGTCTGCTTGCCACCTCCATATTTCCCACTCCAATTACAGTAGAAGTGCACAGCTACAGAAGTTAAAAATAAACAGTGAACAAATTATATTTCTGTTATTTTACTGGCCAAGATTTTTATTAACTCCTTGGTGAGCTTATTAAAAATGAACAATGTATTGGACAGAGCAATTAGGTCATTTAATGCTGTGGGACGGGATATGCATCTTCTCCCACTGCCCTAATGTTATCACTGTAGGTTTTAAGAAATCAATGAGTAGTACCGTATTTTCACCACCATAAGGCGCACCGTACTAAAAGGCGCAGTCTCAGTTATGTGTGCTATTACTGTATTTAACACACACATAAGGCGCACTGGACCATAGGGCGCGGGTTTTATATACAGGTACATGTCCTCTACTACGTTTAAATACCTCTACTGCATATTTAAAAATAGAGTGGGAGCAAAACTGAGTATGATTGTGCTTTATTCATGTATTTATTACAAAGTATTAATCAAACCTGGGAGCTGGCCGTGAGACAGATACATTGCTGATGACACAGAGCGCTGTGATCACTCCTCTGAAACAGTTTATTGACGCATAAATTAACTTAAAATGCAGAAATCTGCCGGCAGAATATGTTCGCTTTTATTATCCTGGTGCCTGCAGTTTAGATTGTACTAGTTAGTTCTGACGCGCGGCTGAAGCAGCTTTGCTGCTCTGGCTACGCGGTGCAAAAGTGTGTCTGACGCGTGTTGGGCGGAGCTATCCTATCCTTTCTTTGCCTTGCAGCTGTATTTGCTGTGATCAGTGGGAATAAAGTAGTTTTAATATGTTTTTAAGTGAGAAAGTCTACCTGAAAACGTAATCATTGCAGTCAGTTCATCCAGATTACCATCTTGCCTTCCAATATTAGTTCTGTCGGAGCCGCTCAGAACCCCACATACCAGCGGTGCGTGGTCAGTAGGAATACCATTCAACAGCAGCCTTCAGGTTTCAGAATCTTAAGTTAATTTAGGCGTCAATAAACTGTTTCAGAGGAGCGATCACAGCGCTCTGTGACATCAGCGATGTGTCTGTCTCACGGCCAGCTCCCAGATCAGCTTCTCTGATTGGTTGATGCGCCGCGTCCAGCAGCAAAACTTCATTTTTTCCATCTCGAGCAGCAGCGCATTTGCGTCGCATCAGATGCTTAAACGCTCCTGAAGTGCTGCTTCAGCTGCTCAAAACGCTCTGCGGGACCTTTTGCTGCGCCTTGACGCGCGTCAACCATTGACTTTGCATGTAAACTCGCTGCTTCTGCCGCACCTGCTGCGTCCGGTGTGAAAGCAGCATTACTTTGAACGGCCGGTTCACACCGATGTCGAGCGGTTGAAGTTCCTTTGTCAGACCTCCCGGAACAGCAAGCACAGCGTTCATTTGTTTCACCATGTTTTTCACATCAGCTGTGAGATGGGCACGCATGGAGTCACAGATTAACAGCGATGGTGATGCCTGGAAAAAACCACCTGGTCTCCTTACATACAACTTCCTCAGCCACGCTTTTATCATCTCCTCAATGAGGAGATGAGTTCTGCATAAAGCACATACCTGTTCTTTTATACACAATCCACGCCCACACTTCCCCCTTTAACGTTCTCATGGTGGTCTCAAACATCCGCAGTAACAACACACATAGGGCGTACCGAAAATATAAATAGTTAGACTACACATGTTTAGAAATTCATAAGGTCAAACTACAGAGCTGGAAAAGCTCTGAATTGAAATTGCTCTGATCTTAAAAACAAAAAACCTGTTTGCATGAGGCATAGTTGTTTTATGTATAAAGATAAAACAGCGTATCTTATTTATGAAGAAGAGATTCTTACATGATGAAAGGTAAGTATACATCAGACTGATGTTTAGTTTTAAGAAAATGGAACCTGATTTTGTTTCACCTTTGCTGGAAAGAAGAAAAAGAAAAACAAGAAAAACAAAATCATTGAGTTTGGGATTTTTGCTATAACTGTGACTTACTTTAGAAGTTGAGGACTGACAAATGTCAGAAGGTCCTGGACAAGTTTGGTGATGGCAGATTCAATCAGGATCCATATGTTTTTGAAATGGTGTTAACCTATGGAGGATCAGCTCTACCATATTGAAAGAAAAAAAAAAGAAACGCTCAATAAATAAATAGGCGTACAAAAATAATTGCTCCAAAAATTACAAGAAACAAATAAATGTAGGTAAAAATTTAATTATACAGTGAGACATAAATTTATATATCTCTTTTAATTAGCTTCTTTATTTGTAATAATTACCTTATTTATTTATTGACCGTTATAAACTTCAACTTTATTTATTAATACCTTTTTTTTTAAAGTATTTATTTATGTGCATGTTATATTCTTGTCTGTTTTATTCTTCCTTATTTCAAGATAATAATTTAATATGTCGGTTCTTTGCTTTTGTACGGAAGAGGATTAGGGCCACTGGAAAAAAAAAAGAAGTTAACTGATTTTTTTTATTTTATTTCAGTATAGTATGGGAAAAAAGTCAAAATTCTGACTTTAATGTCAGAATTCTGACTTTTTTCTCAGAATTCTAAGATTAAAGTCAGAATTCTGACTTTTTTCTCAGAATTCTAAGATTAAAGTCAGAATTCTGACTTTTTTCTCAGAATTCTGACTTTATTCTCAGAATTCTGACTTTTTTCTCAGAATTCTGAGATTAAAGTCAGAATTCTGACTTTTTTCTCAGAATTCTGACTTTAATCTCAGAATTCTGACTTTCTCAGAATTCTGAGAAAAAAGTCAGAATTCTGACTTTAATCTCAGAATTCTGACTTTTTTCCCATGTTAAACTGAAATAAAATTTAAAAATCAGTTTACTTTTTTTTTTTTTTTTCAGTGGCCCTAATCCTCTTCCGTACTTTTGTACATAACAAACCACTAGCTGTTTAAAATTACTTAATTCAGAATTTTTTGGGTTATCCATAAGTAGCTACTGAACTTTGCTGAATCGAGCCACAAAACTACTGTATAGCAGTTTCAGCTGACGCTCTTATAAGTGGCATAGTAGCACAGGCACACTCAGTAGGGTTAAACAAGCGCACCCTTTCCGAGGCTGTCGTTCTATTGGCTGGAAAGGTTGCTAGGCAACGATCCAACTGCAATCCGAGAGAGAGCAAAAAAAATCCGCAAGCAGAGCCTACGGGTTTGCGAGCGAATCTGAGGCCCCGTCCACATGAAGTCAAAACGAACACGAAACGCTAATATTTTCCAGAACGTTTGTCGTAAAGACGGAGACGTAAAATAAATGTGATCGACCACACGAATGCATGAAAACGCTGCAAAATGTATGCCAGGCCTGTAAGTGGCGCTGTGGTGCCAAAGCAAAAATAAGCGACGAAATGTTGGGCATGCGCACTAATATTTATACATGGTTGCCCTGCAGGTCCATTTTCGTGGTTCAGTCAAATTCAGGTGCTGAACTATGTCGTTGATATTGCTCTGTTCTTCCTGGAGATATTCCAGAAGAAGAAGATTCTGTTGTAAGCCCGACAGCAGGGTGAGTAGCATGAGCAGCAACCATTCAACACAGTACGGCGCCATTGTTGTTGTGATACTGTGTCGCGCATGCGTGTTTAGAGGCGACGCTATGACGCATGCGTGTAAAAAAAAAAATGCGGTTAGAGCTTAAAGATGGAAACGCGATAACGGCAATTCAAAATCTTCCCACTCTGAAGGCTGAATAAAAAAAAGATCGTTTACAGACCCCTGAAACGCCGGCTTCGTATGGATGAGAGGCTGGTTTGGTGAAAAATTTGTGCGTTTAGGCCAGGGTTCGGCTTCGTGTGGACGGGGCCTGAGACTCGTGCAGAGCGCGGTTTGTGCGCGAAGAGAAGGAGGCAAGCGAGAGGAGAAAATATCTGTGCAAGAAGCATTAAATCTGAGAGAAGAAACAAAGATTTGAGAGAGAACAGAAAATATTTGAGAGAGAGCGCATGTTTTGAGTGTGAGCATTACACTGTATAAGTTTTGAGTGCAAGAAGATGAAATTCTTTTCTCAAATTGAAATTATGTGCTCTTGCATTGTGGCAGGATAACTCTCCCATAGACCTGTACATATATTAAAAAATCCTAGAGGGAATGACAGTTTATTTTCCACAGTATTCCGTATTCTATTTTCTTTTCTTTCTTTTTGTTTTTTTTGTCTTTTAACTTAAAGTAAAAAAAATAGAAGGAAGCGCTGTGTGCGCACGTGCCCGTGCACGCGCCCTCCGCTTTGTGCTGCCGTGGCTCCTCTACGTTGAGCCAAGCAATGTAGGCGGGGCTTCACCTGCAACTCAGCCAATCAGCGGCCCCCACGACCGGACAGCGAACAATGCTGCTGCTGTGCCTTCTGTTGTGAAGAGGGAAGCTCTGCACACAGTGGAATCCAACACATGGGACTGCTGTGAGCCTAACATCTGGTAAATCATCTCCTGACAGCCTGGGATAAAGTGAGAGAAGCTTTGAATTCAGCCATGGTTTCCATCGACCATGTTACCCACAAGATACTGACTTACTTCCCATATGTTCTTGTGTTGATGGACATGCGATATGAGGGTAAGAGTTGCTTGCTTTCTGTTTTTTTCCCTCAAACATTCATGGTTACTTTTTCTCTTTGTAACGTAGAACTGTTACAGTAACCCTTTTTATGGGGTTAACTGACCTGTTTGGAGTTATGGCGGCGTTAGCTTGCTAGTCGCTAGCTGTTTGCCTCACTTAGCTAGCTCATATAGGTCTAGCTTTGCTTTAGTTTCTCTGTTTTTAGTCTGAAAACAAAAGTTATTTAGCAAAAAACGTGACACAATCTAGTCTTGCATTGTGGAAAAAGTTTGATAAAAGCTTCCCAGCTGGTGGGATATGTGGTTGTGGCTCAAGGTTTTGAAACGGACAGAAATCGTTTTTGTTGTATGTAAACAAAAGTAGTTTTTAATATTTTTTAGTGGTAGTTTGCGTTGGTTCTATGTAAAAATGAAGAGTAATGCGATTACAAACCTCTTATCTCCAACGCAATCATAAAAGCACTCTCTGCAATAAATAAAATGCAATCATAATGTTAATGTTATTTTTGACAGTTTAAGGGATTTAGGGCAGGGCTCTCCAACCTTATCAAAGACTTGTCCTATAACTCTGCTGAAACTGGTTAAAACCAAAATGATCTGGATATGTAGTTGTGATTCTTCATCCCTCAATATGTGTAATAAATAAAGTCTCTATACATAAATGGGTCAAGGGGACATATATTAACATATATTAATGTTATTGTCTAGTATGCCTGCTGTTTACTTCTGTTCTTATCAATCTGCTTACATAAGCAAAGAAAATAAAGGGGGAAAAACAGCTTGTTTTCACATGTTATTCCCAGAACTCAAAACAATTTTGAGAAATATATAAAAAAAATGTTTAAATGCACTAACCTTTTTTTTATTCTTTTAAACTAAAATCTACCTTATTTACACTTGCATGCATGGTGAAAAAGTGCCAAGTTAAAAGAGCATATATATAATTCATCTATACCAACAAACTCACACCTGGAAGCTTATTTATCAAACTTGCATACTCACAAAATGAGCTATAAAATTTCCTTATGTCAATTCCTACTTAAAGACAGTGATCTACCAAAAAAAAAAAAAAAAACTTGGCTTTGAGATGTTCGGTCTCCTAAGTCAACTCTTGCTCATGTGTATGCACATTGCAGAGGAAATGGGAAAACAGCGACACAGGCAATGAAGTGGAGAACTGAAGCTAGATTAAGTCCTTCAACACCACTTTATGTAAAACATTAATCATAGATCAATGTCATAATAATCCAGTATCGCAGTGTAATACATGCTTGCAATTTTGAAACATAATTATACATAAGGGTCATTTAATAAAGCCCTCTAAGTATCCCAAATCCTTAAACAAAGCATCTGCAATATTTAAATGTTTCCTAGCCATAATATTCCTCTCCTTAATGACCAACAAGGTGAGTCAGATGCTGTAAAATACTTGAAATATCGCTGTGAACTCCACTTTGGACATATCTGTAAGGGTGAACGTGTAAAGAAACAATGAAGAAAAGGCCACTATTAAAAGGATTGTGAGCTGAAAATGTAAACATGTGATACTCACCCATTCTGCAAACATTTCAATACCGCTGTGGCACCTGTTGGTAATTGTGTACAATAGATGCTGCTCTTCTATGGGAAAATAGGAGCATCAGGAGGGAATGCATTTACAGGGATCCCCATGATCTCCTGGCCATTAATAATGACTGGTTTACTGGACACCCTGATGCATTGCCTTTGGATCTATGCGTTGAACAGGTTTCAGTATTGAAGAGGGTGCATAGTACTAAAAGAATAATAATTAACATGCATAACCAGCATTCTATTGAATAAATGAGATTTGATATACATTTAAAACTAGCAAACAGATCATTAAACAGGGGTGAAAATGGATCTATTAAAACTCTAGGATAATCCATGTATGTATAGAGAGATAAGGAAACATCCAAGTATAATAAACTGATGTAAAGAACATGTTTTGTCCATAATAAATCTTATGCTTAGCTTGTTGGGCAGTATATCCCTTTTTTATGTTTAACAATAAATTACAGCTATTAGCTACTGTTAGATTTGTCTACTCACACCGGTGCTTTCATGGAACTGCCCCTACCTAACTCAGAGAACTTCTCACTCCACACACCTCCTTCAAAAATCTCCATTTCACCTCCACCTACTGTGTCCACGAACTAAACTCTCCACAATAGGAGATGGGGCCTTCCAGGCAGTAGCCCCATGTCTCTGTATTATTATTATTATTAAACACGGAAATACATTCATGCTGTTCTTCATTCATGGGATAATGTGGCACATAGAGGGCTTAAGTTGACTGTGGAGCTTTGTGTGCACCGGTGTGGTTTATTAAGGAAATGTGCTTGTTTTTTGTGCGCCCATGTTCTGATTATAATCTGATAAATCTGAAATCTCTTTTGCATACACCATTTTTATCTGTAGCTTGTATTTAAACTTAGAGTATTGATCTAAAGGCATCTTTGATAAAGAGACCCAAGGTCTGCAGTAGGTTCTGACCGGTGACAGTCGTTCTATTTGAAGGGATTGGACAGAAAAAACGCAATCAATAATCTTCCATTTAGATTTAGAAAGATTTAATGTCTGGACTTTCAATTTATTATTGAACAACTTCAGTCAGTCCAATGTTTGAACAAACCTTAGACTTGGATATTTCTTTAAGTTGAGTTAATCCATCAACTTTAGTAAGAAAAAATCCTTCAGCTCAAACCTGGTGTGCGTACATTGATAACGATCTTTTGTGTTTTCAGGAGTGAAATGTGGGAAGGATGGCAGTGTCGACAATCACATGGAAATGGGGAAGAAATTACTTGCTGCTGGACAGCTGGCTGATGCTCTCTCTCATTTCCACGCTGCTGTGGGTGGGTAGTAAAAGAAGCCTTTTATTTATGATGCCTTACTTAGAAAAATTATTTTCAGGAAATCTTCACTGTTTTACCATCTTTATCATTTACTCAGATGGAGATCCCAAGAACTATATGGCCTACTACAGGAGGGCTACAGTATTTCTAGCAATGGGAAAGTCAAAGTCTGCCCTGCCAGACCTGAGCAGAGTCATTGAACTCAAACCAGACTTCACATCGGTGAGTTTTTGTGTCATACTGCCATCGGCTGGTTTTGTAATTCTGTATTTTCAACAGTTCACAAAATAAGGAATGTTTTTTTTTCCTGATAAAGGCTCGTCTTCAAAGAGGAAAGCTTCTTCTGAAGCAGGGAAGGCTGGATGAAGCAGAGAGTGACTTCAAGAAGGTGGTAGGTATAGAAACATGTTTAGTTAACTGACTTGCTAAGGCAAGATTTCTCCAGCAGGGGTCAGTGTTGATCTTTTAAAGGCTCACCTTTTTAAAGTATATTTAGACATAGCCTCTTTATTGCTGTAGTGAGGTTATGTTTAAATATGGTCGCATCCATTTAGATTCTTGGGTGGCGAAGGGAACTTTATTTCCTTTATATAAAAGAAAATTTGTTAACTATTCTACTGAATAATTAGCTGTCTGCATGATTGCCTCAATATTCTACATGAAGGTTAGCAGAAGGCTGAATGTTTTTATTTTTTTTATTTTTGCAGCTTTCTGAGTGGTAGGTTTCCTATAAAATAAATTTTGTAAACCTCAGCATGGTCCTTCATTTATTGCTTTCTTTTTTTTTTTCCATATCACCTTGGGTATGTCCTTCTACGTCCTTCTTTACCACGTATTGAGACACAAAAAGCTCATCTCATTTGAATGACCAAAACATTCCAGTTTATCCAAACATTATTCTGCATTTAAAAGTTGTGGGTTTGATAAGATTATAAATGCAATAATGAAAAAGGATATTTTTCATCAAATGCTTGATACAAAGATAATGGTGCTGATGTTGTTACCCCAGCAATCTGCTGGCTTAAGATATTCAGTAAATGACCATGAAGACCATCTAATAATCAAGGTTCCTATTTATCTGTTGTGATTCTCCTATTCTTCTTCTTTTTTAAATCCTCTCTCATGCGCTATAAGTGATCTGTAGTATTTGTTTCGGAAATGGGCTAAAAGGACTGGGAATTCTGGATATTTGTGTCTGGGAAAGTCTGAAGTATTATCAGAGAGTTTGTTGGTTGAAACCGCCTCATCTTGTCTTAGCTGTTGAATGATGCTGGACTTGTAGATGATTTCCTGCAGTCTGAAATCATCTCCCCTTCCTTTGGTTGTCAGAGAGTGCTTAAATTGCATTGGGTCTCATCAGTCTTAGGGTGTAATTTCCTTTATTTTGCAGAGTACTTCCTTACCTTCACATTTGCTAGTAATAACACACAACAGGGAGGTTTCTGAGTTCAGTCCTGCTTTTCTGAATGACAGGCTGTGCAGTGAAGCTCCAGATGGCTAATCTGGAGGAGGGCAATATGCTTCAGACTAATAGACTCCTTATTGGGTGTCTACATATGCTTTTCATTTGCTTCAGCTTTGCATTTATCTTGAGCTTTCAATGATTTTCAAACTATTCAAATAATATAAAGCCGAAGCGCAATGTTTAACGATAATAGCAAAGCCAAAACATACCGGCTCAATTATATGCATTAACGTCCCCGCTTCTATCAGGTTAAATGTTACTCAACAACTTTCACCTCAGCTACACAGTTCCTAATGCCTTAAACGAGCTGATTGCTTAATGTTTGCTCAAATTTTCATACTTTTTTTGCATTGAAAATTATTTTGCAGAATTATGTTCGATGCACAGTCAAAAAATCTTCAACAAGGTTGAGGACAGATCTGGTGAAGGCCACTTTAAAAATAAAAATGTAATGCTAGAGTGCTTCAACCATTCCATCACCAGTTTTTGAAGGAGAAAGCTCCATCTCCAGAATTTATACTTTTAAGCTTGGCTGAAATGTTATAGCTGCTGACCCAGACAAGCCTTTTCAGGCAAGACAAAGATGAAGCTATGTGGTCACAATAATGACACAATGCATGCACAAAGTAGAAACACTAGCCCCACAAATAACCTTCACCCAAAATTCTTAACTAAATGGTAGAAACTTGGACAGGAATGACTGTTCAGACATTAGAATGGTTGATTGGAATGGATGTAGCATGCTAACATTTAGCTTAGAACATGGTAGGATTAGGACCAGCACATCAACATCATGGGGAATGCATGTGCTTTGTTTGAAAGCTAGGTATTTTGATATTAAATCCAATAATTTAAATGATCCTTATCCATCCTGATATGAAGAAAGACAAAACCACCTGCAAGAATTCTGCCAGAAACTTGTTTGCTACAAAACACAAGTGGTTGGTGTGCAGTTTATTTAGGAACCATTTCTTTGACCCTTTATAAGGCAAGTTACCATTTTTGATCAATGCATACCCCTTAAAAATGGAGTCCCCCGTCCCTCAGTGAAGTCTAGAAGCACAAGATCTATATCCAGCCATTCAGCAAAGATACGGCTACATGGCTATACAACTTATTTTCCATTTGACAAATTAGATGAGCCCTTGAATGATATATTACCTACTGTAAATTAAGTTGGAAAAAAGTAAAAAGAAATAAATAAATAAAAGGTAATTGAAAACTTAAAAAGTTAGTAAATGTTAACAATTATATATTGGTTTGTAAACAAAAAATGTAAGTGCCAGTATCAGCATTAATGCCTCTAATGTTATGTTGTTAAAAAAAAAAAAGAATTTCTTTTACTCTTTGGGTGTTTTTAATGAATTTATTTATTTTTTGATATTTTTCTTTGGGGAAGTTGGCGTTTCTTGTTATTACATTGAAATAAATTTTTGCCATCAAAATATCCACATGTTTTGAACGTTACAAAGGTAACAAGGATTCCAGTATCACTATTGGCTTGAAATTTTGATGTTCAAAGTATTTCACTGAGTTCCCTATAAAGGGTTAATTATAGGGCTTTATTAGAGTCTATATGTTTATTTTTTTATCCACCCTGTTTGGATCTGAAAGAGCCACCACAAACTACAGCTTGTACAAACCTGAGGGGAAAAATATTTAGAAAACTGATTCGAGGTCAAGTTAATTTTGTAGTTATGATGGACATTTTGTCGTGCTGTCGCATAAAAGTAAGCACACTATGGAAAAGAAAAAATGAGCTCATGAAACAATGAAAATATATTTTTCATTCTACAAACTGCACGTGAAATAACTTCATAAAGGATGGCTGCATGAAAGCAACGCTGATATTAAAGAGGCAAAGCTTTCCCAAACGCTACTTAAGCTGCTTTAGGCCACCGGCTCCACCTGTGGCTGAAAACTCAACATGTCTTCAGTAACCACCCCCTAGCATATTGATTGTTACTGAAGCGATCATTGTTAGCCTTTATTTCTAAGTCACAATTTTTTTTTTCTCCACATTAATGTTTTTGCACCCTTTTAAAAAGCCTTTCACTACAAGGTTATGCTCAGAGCTCTCCCTGCTGACTTTTAACCCCTTGACAGTCATCTGCAGATTTGATTGCCGCTCCAGTCATTTGTTTTTTAACCTTAAAAAAAAAGGTTAAAGGACATAACACTTGGTAGAACCAAAAAGGGAAAGGGGTAGGTCAAATAAAGCTCCATATAGGACTGGTTTATTTCCCAAAGTTAAATTTCTCACCAAGAGAAACTGAAATCAGTTTTAGAGAAGTTTTTTTAAGTTTAGGGATAAGTAGGGGCGTGGTCAGGATGATGACTGATGGATATAATTGCTCACCTGACAAAGGCTACTGATTAATGTTTATCCTGTGTCTGTTCTAGCAATGTAATAATTACTCAAAAACTTTAATAACCAGGGTGGATCAAGCTGCTGGGAAATCTAAGGGATTTTGGTCAAAGTTGTGGTGTAATCGTTCAACCCTGAAAACTGATTTGTTTCGACTGTTTATGAAGTTGCTGCAGTATTTCCTCCTCACAGACAGGGATGAGTTGCTGTCTCTCTGAAGATTTAAGGTGTTGAAACCTTTTACTGTGATAATGTCAAGTAATGTAGCAAGGGGTGGACACGATCCTGCCGTGTCAGCAGTCCACAGCTGTGGCCTGATCTAATGCATCACATTTATGCTCCTCTCTAAGCTGAGCTAGCAGGAAACCTTTTGAAAGGGTAGGTGGGTCTTTTTTTGTTGCAGCTCAGTCATTAGCAGATATTGCTCTTGTAAATATGAGGAGAATGGTTACAGCTAATGGGTTTAGACAGCTCTGCTCAGAGAAGAGGCAGTCATTGGCAGAGGAATCTACCCTGAAGCACGAAAAGTCTTGTACACATGTGGACAAAATGGTTGCTCATCGAAAGAAAAACCCACTGTGGTAACAGATATAACTTGAATTGGACAACATATATATATATATATATATATTTATTTTTTATTTTTTTTTTTTCCTAATTCTGCTGAAGCATAGTTTAAAAACAATGTCTGGCATTTATTTGTTCATTTTCATATTAGTTTTATTACTTTTTTATTACTTTTGTCCTATAGCTTGTTGTTCAATTAAGCCTTTCTCTCAAATGTTTTAGCTCAAATCCAACCACTCTGACAAGGAAGAGAAAGAAGCTACGAGCCAGCTGGCGAAGTCCGATGAGCTTCAGCGGTTGGTGGCCCAGGCACAACAGAGCTACAGCAGCAAAGACTACGCGACAGCTGCCGCCCAGCTGGATGCTATAATTGAGGTAAGATCTGACGCCCCTGCTGCTGTTGCTGCAGTGTTGAGTTTATTTTGTCAGCAAACGTTTCCATGCATATTTTCAGACCTGCGTTTGGGATGTGACCTCTCGTGAGATGCGGGCGGAGTGCTTCATTCAGATGGGTGAGATGGGGAAGGCCATCAGCGACCTCAAAGCTTTGTCCAAGCTGAAGAATGACAACACGCAGGCTTTCTACAGGCTCAGCACCATCTACTATAACCTCGGAGACCACGAGATGTCACTCAAGTAAGGGGTGTTGTTTTTCTACAGGTTTTACTTAACCTGGCTTTACTCCACTCAGCCTACTTTACGATCAGTTCCTTTACTTTTACTTTTCTGCATTGAATTGCTTTTTTGTACCTGCTCAGTAGCTGGTACGAACAGAGATGAGTAGTTGTGAGATGTGAAGTGGAAAAAATGCTGTTAGCTGATTGGCCATGGGGTAGGGCTGCAACTAACGATTATTTTAAAAATCGATGAATCGGCCGATTATTTTTTCCATTAATCGATGAATCGGACAAAAAATATTTTTTATACTAACCTCTTTATTCCAAAATAAACATTTTAGACAGAACAAACAAGCACACAAGTACAGGTTGCTCATTAACTGTACTGGTGCAATATGAAAAATAAATGTTTGTGATAAAACTACGCAAACTTACATGAGAAATGTAGCTGTACATCCACAAAATATAGGGTCCTTTGTTTCATAAAGCGCAAAAAAAGACATTTTTTTTTTTAAAAGCCCCTAAGGGGTTCAAACAACAGGCCCCCCCCAATTCATCAAATGAGTTTTTTTAGACTAGAAGAGTTCTGCCTTTTAAGACAGGAAAGTATAGCAGTTAAAGTTGCTACTTGAGAAAATACTGAACCATAGAGATAAAAATAGCCCTGTGATTCAAATTATAAATTGTATTTGGAATAAAAATGAGAGAACTAGGGGTGTTAAAAAAAACAAAGACAGATATTTACATGGGAATGTGGCATAATTAATTGACATATTACTGATCTTGCTGGATTTTATTCTGCTTTACTTCCATAAATTGCAGGATCTTGTTTACTTTATCTTTGCCAGAAGATTTAAACTTCAAAAGCCTTGCCCTCATAATTTGCAAGTTAATTTATTTATAAAGGCTATTTTAATATTTGTGATCAATTTGCGCCGTCAATCCCGGCGCATGCGCCCATCATTTGCAGTCTGGACGCTGAAACATCCTGCTTCTCTGACTGCAGCGCTGAGAGGGATTGGGATGGGGGAGGCGCCTCACAGCAGCAGCTGCTGCTGCAGGACAAGAGTAGGAACGATACCTGCTTTCACGTAAGAGTCTCCGAAAGCCGCCAGTAACACCGTAAAAAGTCGCCAGATTTGTCGCTAGTCGCTTTTAAAAAAAAAAATAGTCGCTGGAGGGGTCTGAAAAGTCGCTAAATATAGCGACAAAGTCGCTGAGCTGGCAACACTGCGCACCTGCAGCGCTGGCTCGCTCTGCCGTATTTTTTTTTCTTCCCCCGTTTCAGTCAAGTGGCAGTGATGACGGCGGCGGCGGATGACGCATTAATCGCGCGACACAACTAATCGATGATGAAATTCGTTGCCAACGCTTTTAAAAGTCGATTTTTATCGGTTTTATCGATTCGTTGTTGCAGCCCTACCATGGGGAGAAACAAGGTTTCTGTAGAGGAAGTGAAGGAATAACATAACCTTGATACCATTCATCTTTACTTATACCCTTATTTGTAAATGTTTTTCAATACTAAAGGAACGATTACTAGTATACTTTTTCCCTCTAACAGCCACTAATGATTTGCTTTGAAATACTCCAGCCTACTATGAAGCGGAACTCAACATAAAACGAAGGCAAGTCTTGCAAGAATGCAAGCCTTAACGACAATAAGACTTTAAATAAAAGACTTTTGAGAAGGAGCTATGTCGACGGTGTGGGGGTATTTTTATAAGTGACGGAAGAGGCAGTTCCTGCTTAGTGAAAGGAAAAATCCCTCAGTTAATTTAGCATCCAGAACGCCCTGTAAGCAGAGCTCTGCTGCTCTGAAAAATTCAAAAGAAAAGCTCTCTAGGCAAGCACGTTGTTAAAAGCAAAGTTTGTCCACCAAAGTGATCAAGATGAGTACTAAAAAGATCTGAGGTAAAAATCCATCGTTGTCTCCTTAACATATCCCAGAATATTATCAAAACATTTTTATTATGAATTTGGATTAGTACTCATCATCTGCAAATATTACCACAGGTACCCATACTTAAATAGCACTTTTTCAAGGCACTTTACACTACATTTAGTTATTTACCAGATTACACACACACACTGATGGTGGCAAGCTACATTGTAGCCACATCTGCTCTGATGCTTACTGATGGAAGTGATGCTGCTGTAAACAGCCACTGCCATAAAAAGTACAGTAGGCGAACCGTCTTTCCCATCAACACAACGAAAGAGACAAACAGAGCTGAGGTTTGAACTGGCAACCCTCTGCAGGATGAAGTCCTGCATCCTAAACCACTGTCTCCCCAACGGCACCAGATGCCACTCGTATTGCTAAGATTGGAGTATAAAGACTTTATAGGACACTATAATCTGTTTGCATGTGCTACAGTGATGCAGTAAGAAAGAAGTGAAAAATGTCTGCAGTGGCCATAAACAGTAAAGTAATCTCCTTTCGTTTGGTCTGCAGTGAGGTACGCGAGTGCCTGAAGCTGGATCCGGATCACAAGGAGTGTTTCAGCCACTACAAACAGGTTAAGAAGGTCAACAAACAAATCCAGTCTGCAGAGGAGCTCATCCGAGAGCAGAGGTTTGTGTTTCGGACATGTTCTCTCAGATCTTTAGGTTAGATTATAATAATAGTCATAAAATGATTCAATGGACCCAGTGCGTTTGAATCTCTGCACTACTAAGAATGGGATATTCCTGCTGAATACCAGGGGTTACATCAGCAAGTCTTTCCTTAATCATGAAGCCCTCCCACTGGTTTCACACACAGGCATGCAAATCCCATTTTAAAGTGGATGGCTGTCACATCTGTTTTGACTTAAAGAACAGTATTCATAAAACTGCATAGAGAGGCTGATGCTATTGGATCCATGCAGTGCTGACCTGTTTTCCTGCTCTTGAAGGTATGAAGATGCAGTGAGTAAATATGAGGCTGTGATCAAGACTGAGCCCAACGTTCGTCAGTTCTCCCTTCTAGCCAAGGAGAGAATCTGCCACGCACTGTCACAGGTGGGTCCACCTTACTGGGGCTACAAATCTCACTCCAAGAAGATTTACAGAACAGTGCTGTTTGTTTATTTTTTTGTTCTGAGCAGGCTCAGCAGGGGAGCAGGGCTGTCTCAGTGTGCAGCGAAGTCCTCCAGTCAGATCCGGAGAATGTAAACATGCTGAAAGACAGAGCTGAGGCCTACGTTCAAGATGAACAATATGAGGAAGGTAAAGATGTTGCCCGACCTGTGGATTTTTATCGTTTAATTTAAACTGGTGAAAACTCTTCATTCTGCTTTGATGTCCCTTACATTAATATGAATATGAATATTAGCTAATATGTATGGTAGTTAATATAGTAAGAGCTGCTAATTAAAGAGCATTCTTCGTCAGCTCTGTATTTCAGCTCTGAACGAGCTGCACACAGTCCCTTCATTGGTTCCACAGCTTTAATGCAGCAAATAAATGTCAAAATGTCTAAATTCGGGACATTTTTTCTCCGTAGTGCCTGCTGCTAGCAGGTGCTTGTGATAAATGAAAATGATTTCCATCTCCTGGCGATTAAGCAAAAGCCACATGGTCCAAAGTGTGGGGGAAAAAAGTAGCTGCTTATAGTCTGGAAACTACGGTAATAGAACAGCCTAGTCAAAGTACAGACCTAAAACCCAACATATATTCTGTTTCATACTTGTAATCTTATATAAAAAAATGCTGTCTATCAACTCGGATTATCTTGAATAACTTTTCCAAATTGAACGGACTGAAACAGCAGGTTTTGAATGAGCTCAGCCTACAGAGACATTTCTAAAGAAAACTTTCAGCAGTAAATGCAAAAGGTCTTCATACAAAGTGCTGACTCAGGCTAAATAATACAACAGAAGTTAAATAAGAAGTTGGTCTTGCTGATTTGTAATGCAAATCAAATGGTTATGAATACATTTGTTTTTATCATCTGACATTCTATACATTGTCTACCTCTTTGCCGATAATATTTCTTTAATAGGTAAGGCTACATCATGCTTTTTGTTAAATTTTTTTTTTTTTTTTTTTAACAGTGTCCTGTCTGGCAAGGTGGCAATAAGAATAATTATCTTGATGCCAAAAGGAGCCCAACAGATTTTACTTTCACAAGTGTAGCGGTATCGCAATTGCCATACTGCTCCACTTGTTTCATGTATATAAATTGCTTTATTATAATTATGCAGGGAGTTTTACAGTTCATATGGACACTGCAATGTAAGTAGAGCAGAAAAACAGAAGAAGAAGAAGGAAAAAGAAAAAAACAGGACAAAAGATGAAAGAAAGAGGAGATAGGAAGGAGACAATGACAAAACATTTTCAGTCTGCTTCAACACCTGTAATGAGATGGAGAAAAAAAAAACAAAAAAAAAAAAAACAGCACAACCAAAAAACATGGTACGAGATATACAATAAAGCAAACACCTTGAAACTATCGCTAAAGTAATATTATTAAGTCTGACATGTACTCTGTGTTACCTGAAGATATGAATGTGGGGTTTCTGTTTGGAAGTGAATCTCTAAGTACCTGAAGCTTAGCACCTGTAGTTGTTTGTGAGGGTGAACTTGTGCATGTAAAGTTGTAACCATAGAAAAAATGCTCAATAGTGGTTGTGGAGAGCCGGAGAGGCACACCCCCCAGAGCACTGAGTCCAGCGCCGGGAGACCCAAAGCCCCAGGCGCCCAAGGGGACCCCAGAAGCGAAGGCACCAAGGCGGGGCCAGCCCCGGAAACCAGACCCCACCAAGGCAGGAGGAGAGACAGCCACGAAGAAGCCCCCCAGCCACCGCCATGCCGGCGCCCCGGGGAGCCGCGGGGACGAGTCCGCGGGCCCCGCCGGCAGCCGGCCACCCCGAAGTAGGGCCGGGCACCGAACACCAGCCCCCCCACGGCGCCGACCGAAACGCCCCAGCCCCACAGAGCACCGAAACACGCCCCGCCCCCCCGCACCAAGCCCCGGCGACCGGCCGCAACACCCACCGCGACCGCACCACCCAGGAAAACACTCAGGCGGCCCCGCCCCCGGCCGGGGCCCATGCGCATCCACCGCGAACCGGCCACGAGCACCGCGGGACCCCCCCAAAACGCCCCCCCGGCCAAAAGCGCAGCCCCACCCCACCAAGACCGATGCCAACAGCGCGCAACGAAACACACCGCGCACAGAATCAGCCCGAGAGCAGAAAAGCCGCCCGGCGCAAAACCGCAAGAAGAGCAGACCGCAGCCGGCGCAACCACCCCCCCCCAGCAGCCCGAGGGGCAGCACAAAGCCAGAGCGGAGCGAACCGCACCGCCCCCCCACCGGACGAAGCCAAAGCAGCCCAGCCATGCCCGCCGCCCCCCCCGCCGCCCGCACCAGGCCCTGACACGCGGCCAGAGCAGCTCCGCCGCCCCGGCCCCCCACCACGCGCCGGCCATAGCCACTCCAGGCCCCCACCCGCCCCGCAGCCCCACCCGCCGCGATCAGCGGGAACAGAGCAGCCCCGCCATGCCTCCAGGAGGGAAAACCCACCCGAATACCCAGCCAGCGCAGCCAGCCCGCCCAGAACATAAATAAATAGGTAAATAAATAAATTAATTAATAATTACAATTTAAATAAATAGGCAAGAGGAGAAGTGCGAGCGGAAAAACCGGAGCCCAAAACAGGACCCAAGACCCGCACCCCACCATGCCGCGCAGCTCCCCCCCCCCCGAACCGATACCACAGAACCGGCATAGGAAAGAAACACCGCCCAGGAACCGGCATCGTAGCGAAGGCACCGGCACCGACCCCGAAAATCCCCGAACAACACCCAGCCCCACCCCGAAGCGGATCCAGTCCCAGGCCCCAGGGATCCGAGGCCCCAAGGGCACCCCATCCCCAGACAGGAGCCCCAGCAAAGCCCCGGCCGGCCGGGGCCAGCGGAGAGGCCAGGAATGAGCCAGCAGTCCCCCGGACGGGGGGAATGGGCTCCGCACTTAGCGGAGACTTGAGATGTATTTGGGAGAGGGTGCGGTTGAGACCCCAACCTGGGAAAGAAAAAAAAAAAAAAAAAAAAAACACACCATCTCAATCATGCCTTCCCTCCCTAGTGCCCCCACTCGTACCACAGAAAAAAAAAAAAAAGAAAAAAAAAAAATTGAATAAAATAATAATAATAATAAATAAAGAAAATAACAACGCGGACACACATTCACACATAACACTCACATTCAATAATACCAGGACCAAAAACCCGGTGACACCGGTGGTCGGTCCCGGGACTATCGGATGACCCCATAAGTGAACCTAAAATCCCGATGTGAGGGGAGGGGAGCGGCGACACCGCCACACCAACCCATCTCTTTCCTGCTTCAAGCCCGGCCCCGCACACGGACCGTACCACCCCCAGCAAGAGCCCCCCCCGGGACCGGGGCCCACCCATCCCGCGCCGGCCACCCAACCAGAACCGCCCCCCCCCCCCCCCCCCCCCCCCCCCCCCCGAAAAAAAAAAAAAAAAAAAAAAAAACCTTCAACCAGGCACTTCATGCCTCTCCATCCAACCTTCTTTGGGGAGAGCAGAGGTGACAGCCCCGCCACCAGCAGGCCACCTAGGCCCCGCAGCCAGCCCCAGCCAAAACCACGGACCAGGTGGCCCGCTCTTCCTCCAGGCCCCAGACTCCAGGCGGCAGCCGGAGAACAGGGGTGTGAGAAGACCCCGATCCTCACTGCGCCCGCTCGAATGCGGTGTTGTTGCGTGTTGCTCTCAGATGCAATTAAAACTGGGAGTACCAAGAGGGGGTGTCCGGCACACTCCACCCCCCCTCCAGGAGATAGACGGTGCCAGCACACCCCCCCCCCCCCCCCCTTCGACAACCCTCAATGTCTAGATGCGAGAGGGGATGGAGGAGGCCGACCGTGGTGAGGCCCATAAAATAAGCCCCCCCCCGGTGGCCCTGACCCCCACCCCCCGAAAATGGCCTACATAGATGTGTGTTGTGAAAATGATGTAGATGGAAGTGTCTAAAATGCAAAATAAAATTGGGGTGGGGGACGTCATCAGAAGGTGTGGCCCTCCAGTAACGACCCCCTCCCCAAAAACCTACATGTGTGGCCGAGTGATGGAGCAGGCAGAGGGAGGATTTCGGGGATGGGGAGCAAAGGACTGGGGTGCTTGCTGCACTCCCAGGGAGCCAGCTCCCCCGCTGACTCCAATAGGCACCCCCGTTCCCCGAGAGCCCCCCCAGAGAAGGGGGCCCCACCAGTTTCACCACCATAGCCCGGGGGCACGGGACCGGCAGCAGGACCCACCAGCCAGCCGGGCACGGAGCCGACACCACCACCCCCCCCCCCCCCGTCCTGTCCATCCAAAAAAATAATAATAATAATAACAAAAAATAAATAAGTAGATAAATAAATAAAAATAAATAAATAAATTAAAAGAGAAAAAAAAAATATATATATAAAAGGAAGATAAGAAAAAAATTATAATAATAAATAAATAAATGAATAAGGGGAGGGACAACCCCAGCCGGCCAGCCAACGCGCAACACGCAGAGCCCCCACCCCGGACGAAGCCCCACCAGGGGGCAGCACGGACCAGGACCAAGACAGGGAGCCAGACCCAAAGCCCTTCAAAGATCTTCTTCCCTCTATCACCACCCCCCACCCCCCCTCCGGAGATGTAATCCCTCCCCTACAATAACAATCAAGCTACTCACCACACAAGCGACAGAAGACATCCAGGCCGAGATCATACCTACTCCCCCTCCCTCCCCTTCCCCCACTTACAGAGTGCAAACCCGTGAGGGGGTAAGCACTTGCCATAGGTGTTAATGTCTATGCCCCCCCCCCAGCCCAGCAGGCCCCGAGGCACCCCGGCACACCAGAGGCCGTGGCAGCAGGGACAGACAGCCGGGCGTACACCGGCCCAGAACCCAAGCAGCACTCCCCACAGAACCCGAACCCCCACCGGGGACCCCGCCCAAGGGCAATGCGCCCCAGGGATCCCAGACCCAAGGAGCCACCCCAGACCCACCCCGCAGTAGGGCCGGGCAATGCCCAAAAACCCCCGGCACCGGCGCCAGCACCCCCACCCCGACCCCGGCCCCCGAACGACTCCCCCCCGACACCGGTCCCACAGCACCAATCCGAAGAAGAAGAAAGCCACACAACACAGCTAAGCGCAAATCCCGAGCCCCACTCCAAGCCCCGATCCCCCCGCCCACACACCCCCTCCCACACAAAAAAAATAAAAAAAAATAATAATAATTATAATATTCTCCCCCTCACCGGAGAAGAACGGCCGCAAACAAGCCAGTGCCCAACACCCACCGCCACACCACGAGGACCCCTCCACCCAGATGCTCCTCCCCAGAAAAGTCAACATGCCTGCCCTCCCAGGAGACAGGCAAGCCCGCCGAACAGGAATCCCCCCGGCAGCGCACCGCCGGCATGCGGGGGCCCGAGCAGCCCCAACAGAAACAACACCGGAAGGCCGACACGGACGAACCGACGGCACCAACCAAGCCCCCAGGCGGACTCCCCCACCCAAAAACACAACGAAACCACCCCGCCCCCACCGACCACAGCCGCAAGGCAAAGCAAAGGACAGAGCAGCCCCACCCGGCGCACGCCAGAGAGCCAGAGCAGCAAGGCCGCCCCAGCCGCCAGAAGCCGGCACAAGCAGCAAAAAGAAAGCAGCAGACGCGACCCCACCACCCCCGCCGCGCCCGGCGCGAAAGCAGCACGACCCACCCCGCTCCGGCCCCGCACCGCCCACAGGCCGCCGAGAGGAGGACGGCCACGCCGGCCACGGCCCGTCCCCCCCCTGCCGCCAAACACCGAGCAACCCTCCACTCCCAAACCGCGCACGATGCACCGCACCACGCGCCACCGGCACCCGCCCCAACAGAGCGAAGCCACACCCCGACCCGGGGGCACTCCAAGGGGAACCCCGACGCCCGCAACCAGCCCACAACAGACACACACGAACCCCGGCCACAGGCGCGGCCACCCAAAATTGTTAAAATTTTTAAACTAAAAAACACTCAGAGTATAGAACAAAGAGCTGCTGTTCTGTTTCTCCGTTCTTTTTCAAAATGTTTTACTGCTTTTAACTGTAATAACAGAGGTTTAACACAAGGGGTCCCTGTTTCCCCGTAGTTAAAGCAGTTCCAGGATCGAGTTCCCTACCAGACTTCTGCACAGTCTTAGCTTTTCTCAGAACTGTTTGCCTCTGGGTAGATTTTTTTGTCCTTCTCCCTCCTTTCTAAATGAAGGATATGATAAATGTTTACTTTTATCTGAAATGACCTTGTCTGTGGCTACGGAGTGGCTAAACACAATGAATGTAACATTCGCAGCTCATGTCCTCCACATGACTCTTAAAGCATTGGCTGCAGATTATGCCCTGTGAGTTTCCTCCAAACTCCTGACTGGGCTTTGCTTCAAACTCTTCAAGGTTTTTGGGAACATTTTACTTTTTCATTTAACTCAAATATCCCAGTTCTTTAACAAGGAGTTTGCTTATTATGATGTGTTGGGGAGCCACTGCTGCCACAGCAGCCCTTCATTGGCCATTATCCATCAACAGTTGCATTTTAAAGTTTTACTTTATTTCATTACTAAAATAATTAAACCTTTCAATTATTTTCTAATTTGAGGTGCAACTATGAACCAGCATGTGTAAAAAAAAAATGAAGAGCAACTATGTTATTCTTTGCTAGCAGGAAATAAGATGCTAAGTTTAAAATTCCTGTTGAAGTTAGACTTCAAATCGTCATTTTGGATGTTTCTTTTAATGCCAGCCAACAGACCATAGAGGCGCTAGTTGTAAAGGCCAGTATCCACATGCAGGGAAAAGTCTGTAAAACCAAACTTAAAGACATCAATTCAAGCTGTCCACTCCTTGTTTTATGTTGACAAAACATCGATTAAATCTTAACAGTAAACATAATTTCCTTCAAGTCAGCCAAGAAGTTGAATCTGTGCCTTCTTTAACCCCATGTGGGGTTTTAAACTGTCAGCACGCAGGTGTTTGATTCACCTGGGTCCTCCACGGTAAACAAGGCTCAAAGCATCCAAACAGGTGCTCACAAACAGCCTGAAGCCGACTCTGCTGCTTGCTGACTACTGTTCCATTAGTGGAGAAGAAGCTGCAGATGGAAACAATTAAATGAACACGACACCAACAAAGTTACAGCATGCAGGCCAATATTTATGAAGTGGTAGGAGCTAGAGAAGGTTTATAATGGCATATATTTAGGTCATTTCAGGTAGATGTCTCTCTGCATCTTGCAGAACATTCTAGTGTTTAATTAAAAGATTTTGACATTTCAGGCGTAGTAATCCACCTGCTGATCTCTTCAAAAACAAATCCTTTTTTTCTTTCAAGTACAAGTTCTTATAGAAAGAGAATTGTCAACCTTCCTGGCATTTCTTCAGCTTGTCTGTTGTATTTTGTAGTTTATTCAGGCGCCACCCTTTTCTGCAGCTTTTAAACCCCTGCCTTCAATATACAGTGCAAAGCCATTTGAATAGATCACTTCTCAGTCAGTAGATGCATTTAAATCAGCGCAGACCGTGGCTCCGTGTGTCAGCTTGACTATAATGTTAACTCCTTGAGGAGTGCGTATGGCTGCAGTTAACACGCATCACAGTGATTGCCTCAGCTGTGTTTTTGGAGTGATGGAGCCAGCTGGCATCGACTGCACAGAAACACAGTTTGAGGCGTCCGACTTTGATTAGGTCTTTTAATCTAATCATTCTGCTTTGGTCTAAACTATTTCATTGCAGCTTCGACTGTTTGCTGCAGCCACCAGCAGCTGTATTTATGCTGGGGTTGATTCATATATAGGTGGACTATAGATATCAGTTACACTGGGTTTGATATAAAGGGACCATGTTAAAAAACAATGCCATCTGTAAATTGTATAGTTATGCAGGATTTTGTGTTTGTATGACTTGTATAGAAAAGTTCACATCTAACTTGAGAAAATTGATGATTAAGGCTTTTAATCCTACACCTGTTTTGCTCTCTCCTTCCAGCCATTAAAGACTATGAAAACGCTGCAAAGCACAGCGAGAATGACCATCAGATCAAAGAAGGTCTGGAAAGAGCCCAGCGACTTCTTAAACAGTCACAAAGGAGGGATTATTATAAGATTCTCGGCGTAAAGAGGTGCGTGTTGATCGAAGGATCTTGAATATGATTGGAGAAATTAGAATGTTTTAATTCTAAGTTTTCCATTCATAAACAAATAGTTCTACTCACTAAAATGACAATTTTTTCAACTGTCTTTTTCAGTTTATAGTTTTGGAAAAAGTTTTCTATACAGAATGTCAACTTATTTTTTGTTGTGGCTTATTTTGACATAGAGATGTAATTAATCTTCTTAGTTTTCAAACAAAATGCACTGATAATAATCTATCCATGTTTACAGAACCGCCCAGAAGAAAGAGATTATCCGCGCCTACAGGAAGTTAGCACAGCAGTGGCACCCTGACAACTTCCAGGACCCAGAGGAGAAGAAGAAGGCAGAGAAGAAGTTCATAGACATTGCTCAGGCTAAAGAGGTTCTCACCGATCCAGGTAAGGAGCCATTTCTGCTGAGTCTGGGCAGCTATTAGAGCCCATCATGCCGTAAATGTCAGCTTCTTCTGGAGTTGCGTAACACACCTCACTGCCATTTACTTTATCCTTTAGATCACTGTTATGACACTTCCACATAGTCCAGCAGAGCCGTGTCAAACTATAGAAAGCTTTAACTTCCTGCAGTTTTTACACTTTTCAGTAAGAATTCATCACAGTGCCTTTTTTGACTAAAATAATGGATCGTCACATTTGAGTTTGTGATGCAATAAAACAATTCTGTATTTTTCCATGTCCATTTTGAATCTAACTAAATTAATCAACAATAAATTATGAATTTGGTGAAATAAACTGAAATCAATGGTGTTTTCCAGAAATGAGAACCAAGTTTGACCACGGAGAAGACCCAATGGATCCAGAGAGCCAGCAAGGTCATCATCACCCCTTTAACGGAGGTTTTCACGGATTCCAGGGTTTCAATCCATTTGGCTCCGGACCCTTTAACTTTAAATTTAACTTCAACTGAGAAGTCTCATCAACAAGCACAACTAGAACGGACTTCTGTATCTGCCTCCCTACTTGAAAGAGAGGTTGCTGACCCAGTGACTTTCATTAAAAACCATCTCAGTTGTTGAATAATGCAACTTCAGAAGCGACTGGGCTGGATTGTCTTATTTGTAATCTGCCTTGTTTGAACCGGCTTTTCTGTCATCAGTAACTCAATGCTGATGTTTGGATTGTTTCCTCATGTTGCATCCTCTGCAGTTCACATCAACCCTGATTAAATTTGTTCAAAACGACACTATTTTTATATGAATAATTTTTGCTGAACTGTAAATAAAGAAGCTATTTATGTACATGAATCTGGATTTGGTGAAATGCTGTGAAGAAAGAAGACAAACGTGCCTGAGTTATTGTCAGGAAAAGAGTGTTTTAAAAGCATATTAATGAATGTGGTTTAGTTGTGAAAATGTTGAACAGATCAACCGAGTCCTTCGATAAAAGAGATGGTAAAAAGGTTTATTCTTTCAACACCTTCACGTAATCGTAACAATTATTTCTGATTGACAAAGAATGATGAACAGCTGCAAGAGATGCTTGCCTGCACCTTTATTCAGATATGAATCTTAAAGATGTACCAAACAAAATGTTCCTGAGACCTGATCTTCTAGGAAGTCAGACAATGTTAAATAATTCACATATAAATTAAAATTATACATACTACCCATAAAAACATGACAGGAGGATTCCTTGTTTTTGGAAGGGAACCTAGGGCACCGTTTGTCAAACCCCACTCTGTAAACACTTTGGTTTTCCCTCACTGGCTGCCTTCTCTCTGAGCCCAAAGTCTCTATAAAGCACCAGTTAAAAAAACTGCACATGTAAAACTATATTGATATATATTTAGACTTTTCCGCTGCAAATATTGGCCTTTTCTCATTTTACAATGACACAAGTACAGATTTATGTCCTCGCCAAGTATGTTCTAGAGAAGAACACAGGAAAGAATATACTTGGGGAGAACGGGAGCACACGGAATAAATATGGGAACAGAAGCGTACCCGTGATGTCGCCACATATTCGGCTTGTCTGGAGCTGCATTTCACCTCCTGTTATTAATAGTCTCTAGATAATACATTCTTTTTTCATTTAGTGGGGGAATAATAAGGAAAAGTCAGATTAACACAAATCAAATGAACATTTTACCAAATAAAACAAAAAAAACTCCATCAGAGCCAGCTGTACTTTTCCCACGGCTATGCCGAGAGAGGGCTGCTGCAGACGGACTATGGTTAACCCTGGCTGCGGTTAGCTTCAGGGGTCCGCTGCTTGCCATGGTTCTCTCATTATCTGAACTTTTTTGAAATTACACTCTAAATCCATAAATGGGCCAAATACTGATGCTTAAAAGTATAATGCTCTCACCTCAAATGATCTTTAAACATACTTAGAGAGATACTTATAGAACAACGGCAAAAGAGAAGAGAACGTACTACTCTGTTTTGTGGGAGCTAACCTGGAAGCTGCTGCTGCTGCCGCGGTGCATGCTGTGAAAGCTGTCAATCCCGAGAACACTCAAGTCTGCTCTGATGCATACAGGGTGAAGAGGGAGGGGCGGGAACAACATCCGGGGTCTTTGTCCGTTCTTGATCTTGTGTTCTTGTGAATTGGAACAGTACTGGGGGTGAGGATGATGACGTTTAATAAGAACATGAGAACGCAAAAGTACACTTATTGACAAACAGCCAATGTTTTTTGAATATCGAGTCACACTATTAAATGACTAAATCAGATGTTCCAACCACCTGCATGGTTGGATGTGTAAAGGTGAGATAGGCCTCCACTGAGCGAAGGCTGCATTTCTGGGTTTCTCATGTAACCATGAACCTAACCCTTAAACCTTGTGTAAGATGCTTACAGAAGTTATTGAGGGTCCATTCCACAAGTCGATGTTGTCAACTTTTACCGCTTTTGGTAATCTAGTCTCTGTACTGGCACAATCTTTAGGAGTAAAGAAAACTGAGGAACTGGATCAGTATTTTCCATTGTGGGAAAAGGAAACTGGAATACATCTGATTTTAAAACTTGATTAATTTTTTTGCTTTTTGCTTTGATGATAACCAAAATGAACACAAATAATCACTTTGTTTTCTTATAAAGGATATCCACTCTAGCTTGAGGTTCATTAAAAGAACAAGCTAAAAAAAATCAGTCTGGAAAATGAATCATTTCTATGAACGTTGAAGCCAAGGTCAGGTGAACAGACACTTAAACCTGGCGTGAGTAACGTTGGTCAGGGACTGCTGGACAAAACAACAGACATGCAGGGTAAAATGAGTGAAGGCAGGACCTACTGCTACATTTACAGTGTTGTTAGAGATGCCATGTGAGGAGTAATCCTATATTATAGGTGGGTTGGGTTTAACAAATGGCTGACTGTCTATAATGCAGTTTGTGAAATCTATAAACCGTCTACTTTGGTTTGCCATTAAATGGGAAAGAAAAGTCTTGCTTTGCAGTTAAATTAAGAACAATATAAAAACAGCTGAGTTTATTATAATACGAAACACTGAACGATATCAAGATCAAGGCCTGAACAGGGCAACATATGCCAGATATTTCCCTTAAAGCAAACATGTATTGCTTTAAAATGCTGTTTATGATTTTCCTCTAGCAGCATACCGACAGTCTGACCATCGAGCTTCAAGCCGTGGGTTCCTGGCTGCCCTTTAACAATTAAATCCTGTGCTGAGTTTGTGAGACTTTTACTGCCTTCAGAAGCAGATATGACAGCTCTGAAAATATCACATCCTTTTCATCCGGCTGGGGATGGAACGCTCCACAGCTATGTTTAGCTGAAACTGCCTGTCTTCAAGCTTCACAGGTGGCCTGCGTGCAAAAAGGTGCTGCCAGCTTCCTCTTCACCATGCTTCTGGCAGACGCTAAAGTTCATCCCGCCGGTTCTCTGCCGCAGGAAAGAAATGCAGAAAATGAGCACTTAATACACCAGAAAAACAACCTAGATAAGGGAAAAGGTTAAAGCGTGCGGAGGAATAACAGACAAAGGTTACAGTTTGATTAATTCAACAGGAAACCACTGAGGAATGATTTCTTTTCCCTTTTTCTTTACCTTTTTTTTGTGGTGAGGGGGCAGGCGTCTGTTCCTGGACTTGCCTTAGCAGCTCCTTTATCTCCTTGTCATATTCTACCCACTCAGGCACGATCCTCGCTGCAGCCATCAGCTTGGGCTCTTTGGTCTTTGGATTATTACACTGCACCGGAAAAGCAGAACAACACATCGCTCACACATCACCCAATGGCCCTTTGTTCATACAAGCCAGCTACCCAGTCCAAGTGCAGTCTGCGACAGACATTTGCACCTAATCTGATTTCCAATTTGGTTAAAAGGACATTATACCCTGCATTGTGTCTACGTTCCCAAGTGGTGACCTACAGCGCACCGAGACGATGCTTCCTGTTTCAGTCTGCTGGAGCACGTCCAGTAATTCTCCAAATTAGTTTAGGGCACTGTAGGACTGCTCACCGCCGGCTGCCTGCTAAATGCCAAGAGCCTCATGGACATTAGAGGTTGAAAATAAACGTTTCTGTGCTTCAATTCACAAAAACATAAAAGGTATTTACAAAACTTAAAACATTGGGTTCACTCCAATAAAAGAAATGGGTCAACTATAAGAATCTAGCTGTATATTACATTTTTTTAAATTAATTTATTAACATATAAATACAGTTGTATGTAAAAATTGTACCTTGATAACACAACAAATAAAAAATGTGTTGATATAAAAATGTTAATAGTATCTCTTCAAGTTATGTATTGTGTTTTTGCAATGCTATGTTCACACCAAACGAGAATTCAGCAGCAAAGAAACACCGGCTGCTTCCTCTTTGATGCTTGTCCACATTAAGATCAGACGTAAAGTGTTTCCAGATGCTGCTGCTGCTTTTCTATTCAGTGGCAGAGAGCAGCTTTGCTATGTTTGCTGTTATAAGTGGGTAAAAAGTAGTTTTAATATATTTTTAATTGAGAAAGTCCACCTCAAAACTAGGGTTATCAAAAGTATCGATACTCAAAAAAAGTATCGATACTGAAATGTTGTATCTGGATACAATACTCATTTTCAAAAGTATCAATACAGCAATCTAAAGTGCAGAATAGTGGAAAATGCACTTTCTGAACACTGTTTAATTGAATAATTCTGTGCATTTTTCAGTTTCTGACTTTTTTTGTAACAGGTGCAGCTGCTGAGAATTATTTTTATTTAACTGGTTTGGCTAGTGTCATTGTTATGTCTGCAAAGCATAGCCAAGGAAGGAACGCTTAATTTTAATTTTGTAAGTTTTTTATCAAACTTGCTTAATATTGTGCACAGCATACAACCTCAAAATATTATTCTTATTGTTTTTTTATTTATTTCTTGTATTTTTTTAGTAATGAAAATATTTCTGTTGAATTTTAGAGTCTGTTTTTATCCTTGTGGTATCGAAAAGGGTATCGAGTATCGAATATTTTACTTATTATCGGTATCGAGTTGAAAAGTTTAGTATCGTGACAACCCTACTCAAAACATATGCGCAGTAAGTTCATCAAGATTACTATCCTGCCTTAAAATAATATTTCTTGTCAGAGCTGCTCAGACCCCACATTACGGTGATCACTGGGAATCCCCAGCTACAGCTGCCTCAGGGCGGCCAGCCACTTGCGGGATTTCATCTACTGTACATGGTGACTGGAAGTAGATGTATGTGTCAGGTATGTGGTGCAAACTGTAGACACCAGAATATTAAAAGTGAACATATTTTGCCAGCAGGTTTTCAACATTTTAAGTTAAATTGATAAACTGTTTGAGTGGAGTGATCATAGCGCTCGCAGTTCTTATTATATAAAAAAAACTTTCCTCTTATGTAAACATAGTATAGTTTTACCCCGTTTGTGTGTATATATATATGTATATATATATATATGAATAATGATGAATATAAAAGTTTCTAAAAGTATAGCAGCCCAAGCCAGAGGTCAAAAATAAGTCTAGCATTATAGGCCATGAGATCATAAGGTTTAGATCTCCAGGACTCACCAGGTCGATGGTCTTAGCTGTAACTTTAGAGGCGTCATCACACCACGTTTCACACCACAGCCACTCCTGAGGAAGAGACTTGATGGCCACCTGATGGATCATGTTGTTAGGAAGGTCCTAAAGTAGGAGAAGAGGAAATGATGAAAGGTAATATAGAGATCTACCTGGTTACACCTCATCTATGCCTTTTTATGCATTACAGGGGGAGTTTATGTACCTGGTCCAGGTTGGACAGACTGTTCGGGTCTTGGCTTAAAGCTTGGTACTGACCCCGCAATCTGTCTCCAGCTGCAATTTTACGGAACTTCTTTAAATCCACCACGTACAGAGCGCTGGATGATAGAAACAACAAAAGAGCTTCACATCTCTGCCTTTCAGGTTTCATCATAGTCGTATTTGAAATACTTCTCATTCAGTCCACATTTATGAATAAAAGATAGGCTTAAATTGTGTTTTCATCAGAAAATCCCCAGATTGAACAGAAATCAAGTCTTCAAAACATCCCTAATTTTCAATTAATCTATTTGATGTTTTATTTAGTGAATTGAAAGGAAGAATAAGAACACGCTTCATTCTAATGTAAAGAATGACACGTTTTCATTTGGTAACATCAGTGTCAATTAGAGTTAGCTTAGGTATGTTGTTTAATCAACAGTTTGTCTTCAATATTAATGCGATGTGGTATCAGTGTGTTTTTGTGTTTCTACAGCAGTTTCTTCAAGGTCATGGGGAAAAACCAGAGTTTAAGTCTGTTGCCTGGTTGGATTATCAGAATAAATTAACTTTTCAATAATATTCTAATTTTCTGAATATGACTGTGTCTCTCAAGGTGTACTGTGCCTTGAAAAATCAATAAATTCCCTTTGCATTACAATTATAATCACCAGAGTATCTTCAATTTAACGTTCTGGGATTGAAGGCAATAGGCAAACAAGAGAGGTCCATGGTAACTGGACAAAAAGTCCCTTTCTAGATATACAAAGCTGACAGACATACCACCGAAGACATGTAAATAATCTGCTTTGCTTAATGAAAATATAGGGGGGGAAAAACAGAGATACGCCATATTTATATATATGTATATGCACCAGAGACTCTGTAACAATAACAGGAAGAACCCTTTTGAAGACGCCGTATGTCATGCAGGTCTAAGTTCCAGCATCTTTAACATTCTGAATGCTTCTGCAGAGTCTCATCTACAGGAATAAGCAATTTTCCAAATTATTGCTCTGTTTATCAGTAATGCAATAAATGAAGTTGCGCTGTTATGATGCAATAAACAAAATGTAGCTCTGCCTCTGGAACCGGTAGGCATTAAACCAGCCATGTAGAAAATACATAAACATGTTTTTATGTATTTTTAATCTCCTGAGATTTTCCTTTAACACTGCTGATGCCGCAGTTTCTTCAAACAAGTATCAGAAAATACCTTGTGTCTTATATAAATAATCACAGATAATTTACTAATGAAATATGTGTAATTTGAAAAGTTTCTAAAGTGTAAATATGTTATTTAGAAGAATCAAATCTTAAATTTAGTAGCACAAATGTGCAGCTATTAAGCAGCCGTTTTTTGTCTCACTTGCTGTAGCTCTGATCCTCCTAAATATATAGGATGTAATTTCCGTATTTTGTTAATATCTCCATTTCTACAGCATCCCGCTAAGAGGTATTCTGCAGATGTGAAAGATGTCTCAAAGGAGACATCAGGCTCCTCCTTTTAATGGGAATCAGAGAATGTGGAAAGCAAACGGCATAAACACGCAGGTTGAAAACCGCTATCATGATACCGATTATCTTTGATTGGAGCTTTTGGTTCTTGTTAAACCCACCAATAGAAGAAAAAAGCATGTGTGTTGTACTCTCTCTGGTCACAGATTGCACACAGGACACATGCTGCTCTGAACTAAGAGATTTTGTCAGGAAGATGGAGAGAGATAATTGTTTTCTTTTTTATTTTCAGCCTGTAGTGAAGCAGAGAGTAAATTTGTCTCAGTTCATCTACTGGCTGCTGGCTGATTTTCCATTAAACTGAGGGAGACGTCAAAGCCACACACTGTCAAGATCTAAGAAAGACCATGACAGAGGAATCTAAGTATTATTCATACTTTTTTAGTCATTCATATTGAGCCTTTAATGCTGTATTTCAACAGCCCATATTCCAGAGAAGACTGGTTATATAAGAACAAACCTCAGTAGTTTAATAAAACATACTGTCAATTAATTGTGGATCCAGCTTTTAATTCAGACGTTTTTGGCATTGTTTAAGATCCAACATTTCTAAATAGTTTGATCCTGCTTTCTATTTTCCACAAGCAGTTATGATGTGTGTTCATGATCCCGGTTCCTTTAGAACAGCAAACTATGGCTCTGTCCCAATGTCCACCCATTTTACTATAGAGGGTACTATACAGTGATTACGCCATTTTGGATGAGTGTCCAAGCATCTAGTGGATTACTCGAAGTATTTCACATTGCAAGTTTAAAAGTAGTGATCATCCGTGGTCGCTAGACCAGCAGATATATCTCAGAATGCTTTGTGAAAACTCCTCGCAAAGCATTGTCGATAGTGGCAACAAATAACAAAGATGGCTCAGGCACCATGCGGGTAGAAGGAGTCATCCTTCTACCCGAAGTGGTGGTGATCACCTGTCCGAACGGTAAGTTAACTGAGTTCCCTATAAAGTTCCCTATGTAGTCCCCACTTTATATAGTGATAGAGGGGTTTAGGGGTAAGAGCGGAAGTTTGGGCAAAGCCTGTCTCTTGAGCTTCAAAAACCTACTCTAACATGTCATCCTTAAAAAATAACCAGGAAGAGGCCAGGATCCACCAAGGCTTCAGCCTGCCATTAAATGGTAATCAAGTCCAAGGACTTAAAAGTGTTTTTCACTCCATTAGGTCGTTCACACACTGAATCAACTGTAAACCATTTCAGCATCACTGTCCAATTAGAAAACATTAATTAAATAAGTGCAAACAAAGATTAGGCTATATGAACTCTGCACAAAGTGTAAAGCATAGAACAGCATTATGCTGTTTTGTTGTTAGGGATATCCAGGCACTGAACAGATTGAATGCTTTAGAAAAATCTTTTGACCTTGCCTCACATCAAAAGTCATATAAGTTTAAACTTGGACAAGATGTGGTCATCACACAAAACAATAATGGAAAACACACATTAAACCTGAGTCAGGATCACATTAAACTTGCTGACTGAAGAAATGATCATGAAAATGATCGGTTTTAAATGAAATCCAATTCTTACAAGGAGGATAGTCAAAATATATATATATATATATATATATATATATATATATATATATATATATATACACATATATACATATATATATATATATATATATACACATATATACCGGTATATATATATTCACCCAAATAATAGTTTGTATTAGAGCCTTTGAGTATACTTACACTGTGTAATGTTAAGAAAATGTGAATATATTAAAATACATTCACATAATTCTTACCTTACAATATCCAAATAAGTGCTGTTTTTAATACCTTAATCATAACAGAACGTATTCAAACCCAGAACAACAAAATATTCAATTAGAGCGATTATGGCTGTGAATGTAATTTTCCATCAGATGCCCAGCAGTGCTACTATTGCTCTATTTAACAGGGTTCTCTTACCTGATGTGATATTTCCTTTGTCCAAGATGTGAGGCCCAATATCCGCTCTTCCAAAAACGATACCCTTCCATTTCTTTGCGGCTGTCACAAAATGGTGTGTAGCCACAGGGAGCTCCTTCTAAGTCCAAGTCCCTCAACTCTTTTAAATCAGCCCGAACGATCTGTGTGTTCCAGAGAGAGAGAGAGAGAGAGAGTGGTAAGTAGAGAAAAGACTGATGGCAGTTCAGAGTTTCAAAATCTCATCAAATCTTCACACCATCAGAGAAACTCACACAGAACGAGTCGGACTTTAAATCACACACTGCCTTGAAACATTTTCCTAAGCTGGTTCGGTTGTACCCATACCTGATCAGCGTCCACAAAAATGATCTTGTCCACGGCTAAAGGGAACAGAACGTCAAGGAATAGGATCTTGTATCCCCAAATAATCCGCTGTTTTTCTGTCTGCTGGTGGAGCCAGCGGGGCCATTTGTACTGCACCAACTCATACTGGAAGCCATACGACTTGGCCATGTGAGAGATGGTCTCCTAAAGAGCAAAAGGAAATAAGAGGTTAACAGATTTGTGCACATGGCGCATTTTCAACGTGTAAACAACAAGGCTTGCTGAACATGTTTCTGCTCAGAATCTTTTAAAGGTTCAAAACGATTTTGTTTGAGCTAAAAACATTTACTAGTTGATTTTATCATTTAGATATTCTACAAACTGTGGAGAAGAAAAATTGTGAAATTGCCATTAGAGGGGTAAAGTGTTTTTTATTTCTTTACCATGGAGTTGTTTAATATATATACATATATATATATATATATATATATATATATATATTTACCATTTATTTCTGTCATTTCTGCTTAAAATAACAAAAGATATTTGATTTTATTTTTATTCTCAAATAAAATTCTTAAAAACAAAAGAACCTTACAAACAGGTTATTCTACACTGAAAGAGCTTGTGCCACATACTAAGACTTTACTCATTTCTACACCGATAGCTTACTCTGGTTAAATGCAAAGGCTTTCTGATTAGATCATGGCGCCCAGCTTGCTTGTTATACATTATTTCAGTGTTTTCCAATTAGTCTTTACTTGACTTACTAGAAAAATTAACAGCAATAACATTGGGAGTTCATTAAAGCTCTAGCTAAAGCGTCAAAAGCTAGCAGGTTGATGGATACATGAGTAAGTACTGCCAGCTGATGGTGATGGAGTACAACAATGTTTAAATTTACTGACCATGTCCAGTGCAAGGTTATTTTCCGGCTCAAAAAAAGTCAAGATCTTTGAGTATACTGCTTTATTTTAACATGAAAATATGAATTTTGGTGTTTCTTAAATACAGAACATTTTGTAGCTTTGATATCATCAGAGATTTTCTTTATATTTTGACTGGCTCCGTTTGTCGTTTTTCTTTTTTTATTATTTTAAAAACACACGGAAGGAAAAATGTTCTGTAAGGTTTTTTTAAAAAGGGTTTAGAATGGATCTAATACCTTTGCCTCCATCCATATTATACTGCTATAAGAGTCTAAGCAACTCATTTCTGGAAGTACTTAGTTGTTAAAAAACAGGAAAAATGTAACTAGTTCTTGGTATTTGAGCAGTGGATTATTGATCAGAGCAGATCAATGGAAACCTGGCCAATTATTAACTAACTGATTGATTGGGTCATCCCTAATTCATTTATGGGAAATCGAGCTGTTTTTAGGTAAATCATAACTAAAAGACATTTAGGACCTTGATGTAAAATCATTTTATTCTTTTAAACATAATTTAAATTGTTTAAATATGTTTCCATCTGGATTGAAAGAGAATGGAAGGAAACCCCAGATTTCTCTATGAGCGTCTTTTCCCAACAATTTTTTATTTTTTTCGATTAATAAAAAAAAAAGAAGAAAAGATTCTGGACATTTCAGTCTATAACTTTTACCTTGTTGGGTTTTATCAATTGTTGAATGCCTCAACAAAACACAGCTAACTATGAAAATGATGCATCTCAGTTCTCAAGCATTTACGTGATTTAGTAAATAAGAAATAAAACAATATTTAAATAAAAACTGGTTATTTAGAAAACAATTTTCTATTTCTCATTTTTTTCATAACATTAAGAGGGAAAAATCCAATACCTTAAAAGAAGGTGAAAGGTAGTTTTTAAGGAACCAGAACTTGACAGGTGTGTTTGTATGGCGCAGGACAGACAGCATCATTATTCTGAAAGATAAAGGATGAGACAAGATTACATTTCAGGATCCAACTAAATATAATTCACTGTGTTTAGAAGGGAAGAAACTGACCTCAGAAATCGTTCATACAGATGACCAGAGGCCACAGAAAATATGTTAAGAATATCTTCCTTTTTCTTCTCTTTTTCATCCTTCTTTGAGCCAACACCTGTGATGCTGTAAATGAAACCAGAATACATGAGGCGGATGTGTTCTGTTTCATGATAACGTCTCATATAGAGGCAACAAATCAAAACTTCCACTGCAGCAACCACGCTTTCATAAAGCCGGGGAAATTATAGTCATAAAAGACAGAATAACCAATTTTCAAACAAATCATGCAGCACTGAGCGGCTGATGTGTTTTCTTAAAATAAAATAAAAATAATGATGGTGGAAATGGTGTGGAGGTCAGCAAATCTGACATGATTGGAGACATTTCAGTTCCTGCTGATACTCATCTAGAAAGCTGAAATTATATGTTAGAGGAGTTTCTGAAAACGGATGTATTCTTTTGTTTATTTTCTTCTAAGATAATGCAAAGATGGGAACATTTTCAAAAACTGGATGGTATGGGGGTTAAACAAGTTTGTTAAACACCCTGTGCGCCATACAAGCTTTCAAATGCTCTTTTCCACACCAGGGAGAAATTGGATATGATTTTTAAAGTTCATCATCTTCCATTTTGGTTAATTGGATCAGGTGTTAATAAATCCACACCGAGCCATCAGCACCTCTCAAAACTTTCACAAGCAGTTCTCCCATCACAAAGACAGAAATAAATGTTTGTGGTTAGAAGAAAAAAAAAAGAACACAAGATAAGAAATAAGCAGTCATCTACAAAACAGGGCAAGACATGGGAGGTGTTGTATACTTAGACCAAGATTTTAATAACAAAATAAATATCAAATTTGTTGGTAACCATCTTAAAATAAATTTAAGGAGTTACAATATTTAACTGTCTTTCTATACTGACCACTCAACACACTTTACACTAAATCTGCATTCACCCAATCAATATGTCAAACGTGCATGCTTATACATCGATAAAATAATTGGCAACTTGGGGTTAAGCGCCTTACCTGGAGGCACATCAATACATGACATGACAAGAGGAAGCTGGAAGCTTCTTGAATCCTTAAGATGCAGCAGCATGCACCAAGGTTCATGGACTGTCAACAGTGTCATGAAAACCTTTTTCTTTGTATATTTCAGAACTACATCTTGGAAGGACGTGCTACAATTGATTTGAAGAGATATTTTCTCTTTTATTTATTTGGCAGTGATAGTTTTATAATTGAAACTAATGTAAAAACTAAGCTTTATAATAAGATCTAATGAGTTGTTGCCGCTTTTATTTTAAAAAGTCTGTACTGTTAGAAGAAATGATCTCAATTCTTTGCCTGCAGGAAAATTTTAGGAAATCATTTTGGCTGAATTAGGGCCGGATCTATCAAAGGTTTGCGTGTATAAAAACGTGAGCTATTTCACTGCGCACGCTAAAAAATGTACAAACTGATCTATCAACAGCGTGCTAAAAGGATTTGGTCTTTAAAACGTGCTCTTATCCGTTTAGTACTTTTTCTGCAATGAATATGCAACATGGGGCGTTTACACGCAAAAGTGCGTCTTGTGGGAGGAGAACCTGTAAATATATTCATTTAGCACTCGCAAAGTGATTTATTAAACCTGAAAGCAATTTTGCTAACGGTATCTGACTCTATATTTAACACGTTTCAAAAGAAGGTGCAAATGGTCTGTATGCGTAATTGCGCACACATGGCAGCGGTTATTGTCGCAAGAAGGAGACATCGAAATGAAGAAAGGAGACGCAGAGAACGCATTTTTTCACTCCGTGTGAATATTTTTGGAATGAACGAGGAAACGATGATCAAAACATATCGTTTATCCAGCATTGCCATTTTGGAGCTGTTGGGGGAACTCAGAATGGATTTGGAGCCAGCCACAAGGAGGACCAACGCAATACCAGATATCACAAAACTCCTTGCAACATTGCACTTTTTTGCATCTGGGATCTCCCAATCTCGTTTTTCAGAAGTGCACGCAGTCATCTTATCCACAGTGACTTCTTGTGAGCCATTTGGTATGTGCATTTTTCTACAGGCCAATACAAAACACCTGTTTCTTTGTTTTTTTTACTGCAGTGAAGTAGAAATTCAGCCACATACCACCTTAGGGAATAAGGGTTGCCAAAGTTTATATATATATATATCCATCCATCCATCCATTTTCTTTACACGCTTGTCCCGAGTGGGGTCGCGAGGGGTGCTGGTGCCTATCTCCAGCAGTCAATGGGTGAGAGGCGGGGTACACCCTGGACAGGTCACCAGTCCATCGCAGGGCTATATATATATATATATTTTTTTTTTTTTTTTTTTTTGGGGGGGGGGGGGGGGGGGGGGGGGGATTGGGTGGGGGTGTCACTGTAAGATTAAAATTTCTTAATGCACTAGTTTGTACAAACTACAAACTACTTTGCCGCAAACCACAAAACGCGCAAAACCATCATTTAAATAGGGCGTCTCCAACAGTTTTGCACCTGCCACCAGTTACGCAATCACTCTTGTTAAATCACCCGCAAACCATGGTTCAGCCCCTCGCGCAAAATTCCAGTTTGCGAGAGCAAATTACTGCACGCAAAATTGGATCTTGATAAATCTGGCCCTTAGACTGATAACCTGATGTTGCTGAGGATTTAGGAAAAAAAAAATACGGTGTGGTTAGAAAAAAAAAAAAGCGGTAAAAAGGCACAGAAAGTGTACACTAGCCCAGCACTGTGAACAAGCAGTCAGTTAATTGCCTAGCTGATGTATCAGCAAATTTTATAATTGATGGTTTAAGTCACATATTAGGCAAAAATTTGCTGCTTGCAAAATTTTAAATGTGAAGATAGACTGGAATAGAACAATTTTATGGAGTAATATCAATGTGCTCTCAATAATTAAATGCATAAAAATAAAAGGGGAAAGGCTGCCTAGAAGCACTATTTCATACAAGTGTGCAAAGAACAACCAAGACTTTTTTTTTGATAGAAAATGGGTAGAAAAAAAAAACAACCAAAAAAAACTTGCAGCTGTTGGGAGCTAAATGAGTATGCAGATTACTATTAAGTCGTAAAAATAGACTAAAAAGCGCTATGTGAGATAACAACAGACTGAACTAAAATCTAAAGGACACTCTCTAACTCATGAACACATTACTGTGTCCTTAAAGAGCAACCACTCATGATTCAAGGCACATTTAGCGGACAGAAATCAGGACTTGTGCTGGAGGCTAGATGTGTCTGCAGTCAGGCCGAGTGTCCTTGTCTGTAACAGACTGCTGATGAGGGAAGGGGTGTCTCTCCCACACTCAATCACAACCACGGCTTCAGCCCAGAGGCTCCAAGAAGACACCAGGGAGAGTGAATGGAGGGGAAGCAGTGTCCTCTAAAACCCGCTTCCTAACATTTACATTAGGAAACTTCATTCTACATAAAACTGCATAACGGAGAACGACAATGAAGGCATTTTTTTAATATTGAATATTTCTCAACAGAAACATACTTTCTCTTCTCTATAGAGGAAACTTTCTCTTCAGCTGAGCTGGTGGCTAAGCCACCAGGCACCAGTGGGGTCTTGCGATGTAAATGGCGTAAGATGAGAAAGCCAACCATTATGAAGGGGCTTCAGCCAAACAATGGGTTTCCAAAGATAAGAAGATTTAGAGGGTCAGGTGAGAGCCCGTTTGGCTGAATACTGGAGATAATCTGGACCACTGAGCTCTGAATAAATCCACGGTAGAAAACCGCAGCTGGAATCAACATAATCAATCCATAATATGTATTCATCCTTTTTATATTTACTGTGAAACTATAATTACTCACAGCAAAGTTTTGACAAGATTCTCTGCAATAAACCTTTATCTTATGACTGGAATCCCCTCAAACTTCATTAAATAGAAAATGCTATAAGCACAATGAAAGGCTGTGTTTTATAGAAAAGGTTTTGCTCATACTCGGCATGGATAAACATAATGCTTAGATAATACATTTAGAGTCATGCAAAAATAATTTATACCCATTGAAATATTTTATATTTAGGCAAGATGTAACAACAAATGGTCAATGTGTTTTATGCGCTTTCATAAGATGGAATATAATAAAATAGAAATGCATTTTTTCATCCTAAAGTGTACAAAATTCAGGTGTGTTGGTGGCAAAGCAAACAGGCAAGGAAAATGTAAAGGAACAAAAAGATGCACAACAGAACAGATTGCACTTGCTATTGCAATATCTGTGAGTGCAGTATTGTAATTGCATTGGACTGCTTAAATATAATATTTGCTTTGACACTGTAATTCCAGTATAGCCAAACATATTTTTCTATGGGAGCACTAATGATCGGTTCGGTGCCCTTGATGCTCACACCTGATGCATGCGTCTAGTAGACTAGATGTTATCTCATAGAAAGTGGTGGGGACATTGTGCCATGGTAAAGAAAGAAAAGATTCAGGACATATGAAAGTTTATAATAAAAATAATTCAGCACAGCAGCTCTCAATGGTAGTGTCCAAATTACATATTTTCCTGATAGCATGCAGGCCTAAAAGACCAAAAATAATAATAGTGATGTTAAATGAAAACAATACATGGTTTTCAAGCTTTTTTTTTTAGGAATGAAAGTATGAAAAGTGTCTTGTTCATTTGTATTCAGTCCAACTTCATTTTACAACCCCTCAAAAAATCCCATGTATCACATTGTCTTAGAGTCCATCTTTGTGTGAATTAGTCTCAGTATTAATACATCTTTTCTGGGAAGGTTTGTTACAGCCCATCAGAGACTAAGACTGAAACCGATGGACACCACAGACAGGTCAGAGATTAAGATATAGAGAAGTTTAAAGGACCAATTTGATATAATAGCCCAAGCTTTCGACCTTTTTGCTAACCATTGTTTAATCCATAATTTGAAAATGGAAAGTATACAATTCCAAGAAAAATTTAGCAGTTAACATAGACTGATGAGCCAGGTATTTTGTTTGTTCTGTTCTTATAATCAGCAGTTAATAGGGTTAATAGAGGGGGACCCTGGCCAGAAGTTGATGATTTTTGGGTGGCTACATCGTGAAAACAATGGGAACTTTTTTTTAAGGAGAAGAGACCAAGATTGAACTTTTTGGCCTCCATGCCAAACCCTATTTGACATGGGAAACAATGATCCCTATAGTGGAACTTGGAGGTGGCAACTTCATGCTGTGGCAAACATCAACACAGAAAAACTGAAACTGCTAGGGATTTAGAAAGTAGCCTTTAGTTCATTTTTAGCTGAAGGTGTTAAGGGTATATTGCCACACAGCTGAAGTAAATACTTAAGCAAATACAGCTTTATTGTTTATTTTAATAATAAAAATAAAAAGTGGTGTTCCTTTTGCATTCCTTTTAAAAATATCAACTCTGTGTAGGTCTGTCAAATAAAATTCTTATTGAAGTTGTGGCAATAATAGGGAGAAGTTTAAAATGTATAAAAACCTTTCCCCTGTGGGTCATACCTTTAAAGTAGCTGGACTTGCTTTGAGGAAGCAGCAACTATCTCATCTAAGACGCTGGACCAAAGTTTCAGTTGTTTCTTTTACAAATTTTTAATTTACAAATATTTATTTACGAGAACCTTTCCTCTCAAACCATTTAGGTTTCCTCAGGTAACAGAGTAGCTGACGCTCTCTATGCTTTGTGAAGTTGTCCTAAATTTGGGGTTTTACAGCAGAAAACATAAAAACCAGAAACCAGTACAGTTTCTCTGAATACAAAAGGCATTAAAGTAATGCTTCCTTTCAGTTTGAAAAAAAACCTGAACAAATTCCGAAAGAAAACAAATGAAGAAACTTACATTAATAATCCTGATATATGCAATAGCTTCTTTTAAGAAGAACTTATTAAGATATCATTTTATATCAATGATATTTTTAATATTATGTGATATCAACCAGTGTATAGGAAATTAGTCTGACATTCTTGTTAAAGTGAAGTTAACCGTGGAGCTAGTTGAACAAAATGATTCCCCAAATTCAGTTAATTAAATATCAATTTGTATCCTCCTAGTTTTAAGATCTTGATCATAAAACCAGTTTGATACATTAAACAATTTACATTATGCAGTATTTGACCAAAAGACGGTTCCAACTAGAGCTTCACAATGTAAAAAAAAAAAAAATGGGAACAAAAGTCAATCTTGACTAGGGAATTTTTCGGTATGCTGTTTGCAGCTTAAGAAGCACCAGAAAGCCCTTCAGGTGCTGTCAGTAGACGTATGATGAGCTGCAACATAGCCATACCCTTTCCCTGATGTATTCCTGCCCTGAATCAGTTAACTCTCAGGTTTACTAGCCCTGTCCAGTGACTAGCCAGTTGGAAACTCTAAAATCCAAGTTGAATCTGGTCAGTGAATGCACCAGAGCCAACGGGTGTTACACAACAGGCATTAAATTTTACTGTTTTACAAGGAGACATGACTACTATTTTACTCTGATATGCTTTAAAATGACCAGTATTACCCTATTGACATAAATGCCGATATATTAAGCAACACTGGTTTCATCCTTTTCAACATCTGTCGTCATAAGGCAATAGAAAACGCTTGATTTGTAAATGCTGACAACAGGGCAGAGTTACTTGACTTTGTTTTACAGGGATATCAAAACCCTGCTTTTTTCCCCCTTTCCCTCACACATGATGCAACATCACCTAAATAAAAATAGACCATTTATGACAGGTACAGCAGAAAATAGTATTGCAATGTTCTAGCTTGTAGCTCTAAAAGACAATGTAAAAATTGGTATCAACAGTTTAATTCTTGCATAAACTTGATTAACAGAAAACTTAAAAGCTTAAACTTAAATTAATCTTTTATTTCATTAAATTCTGAATCTCCAATTATTTTAGTCTAATTAGCAAAAACAAACTAACCAAATATGCTCCTTCTTAAAATTAGGCCTTCTTGCTACTGAAATCAACACATACCCACAAATATCCATAGCTTTGCTGAAAACATCTGCAGTTTCAAGCAGACTACAGTATTGATAAACTGTCGGGTAAAATATAGATCTGACTTCTGACCTAACATAACTCCAGACAATGATTAGTGGAGCTGCACATAAAAAATAAATGCAACACATAAACATGACGTGTTAATGAGTTTAACAAAGGTTTATGTGTTAAAGGGGCTTCAGCAAGACTGCCTACCTTTTTTCAAAAGTGCTCCAAACACTTCACACAGCAAGCATTTAATGAGGAAACAGGATCACACAGTTAGGAGTTGCTGGGGACACACGCAAATGCACACACATACCTACAGAAGCACATATTTTTTGCAAGACTAGATCTTACAGCATAATATTGCAGTCTTGATCCAGGGGAGGGGAAATATCTCCTATAACCATGTTGTATAATTGACAAACAAAGCTCTATGAGCAAACTATCCATCAAACTACAGTAACTGGAGTTCATCATTTTTAAGATGAGTTCAAACATACCTTACTATGGAGTCCCATATTCCTTTGCTTTCACTGGTTTCACTCAAAAGGTCTTCATTAATCTTTTCTGCTTTTTTTTGGACCTTTAAGTAAATGTTTAACAATTATGTTTAGATCATCAAGAATAGACTAGAAAAGCTCCAACACACACATTTTGTGAACAACAGCAAGGTAGAGAAACTAAATATAGTATGTATCTTAGAAATGTTCTCACCCTAACTTTGATGATCTTACTGTGGAAACTGTTTAACACAACTATAACATCCTCAGCGTCAGGTGGGGAATCAGTTCCGTCATGTCTGGAAAGAGAGAAAAAAAAATTAACCACACATATTTGTATATATTTGTAATCCAAGCTAAAATAGATCAACTGAAAAAAGTGCATCTGCGGCCTACGAGAGAAATACGGGAAAACCAGTACCAGTCACTTGGTTATTTAGTGAAAATGACAAATTACCCACTTTATAAAATATAAAGAAAGAATCCAAAGTTGCCACAGCTTATTAATCAGGACTTTGATTAATAGCATGCTATACAATTTCAATGCTGCTATGAATAACCAAAAGAAGCAACATTTCTGCAATGGACCGCAAATATAATCATACTTGAGCAGATTCTGAATCACTGCAAACACAAATATCAGTTTATTTTATTGCCTTTTGAGAAAAGATCAACTCAAAGTACTGAACAATGGTAAAGGCAAATCGGATGTTTTTTTTCCCCATCTTTCTTTAAAAAATAAATCAAACTCACTTGAACTTAAATAAAGGTTGGCTTTGAACATTTATTTTCTTTTTCCACATCTAGATTTACATTTTGTTAGGACTTTATGTCATGCTAATATGCTGTTATGCTTTGAGCTAAATTAGGAACTCATAATTCAGCCAAAGGTCCATAAATGTAGGAAATACTCATAGGAGTACTTTAAACACACACATAAACTACTCTCCATGTACAATAACCTCTCCAATGTATCACACACACATACTAAGCTCCTGTTCTGCACTAGTGGCTGCTGTTTATGCACGAGGATTCCCGTGTGAACCCGCATCTGTGAGCTCATGTCAACGTTTGTCACTTTAAGAATAAAAACCAACTTGATAATGTAACCTACCTTTTATTGGCTACTTTTCAGGAAATCCTGCCTCTTAAGGTAGTGCTGTTTTCTGACTAGTAGCTATTAGCTACCCCTGTCAGGACATATTGACGACTTTGTTTAAGTTATTAAATGATGACTTCCTTTGACCATTTTTATTCTTTTTAAGAGAATAGAGATTAGCCTAAAGATGCCTTGGTAACCTTACTAGCAACCACTAGGAAAACAACAGCACTGTCTCAAGGAGCGGGACTTCTTCAAAAGTAGCCAATCCATTACATTTACTTTTGCAGGTTGGTTTCATCATCAAAGTATCAAACAGATCGAAAGGAGAAGGAGCATGCACTCATGCTTGTGATGGGGGGCTCGTGGTATTGAATCTGCAAGCATAAAACATTCAAATTCTCGTTAGGAGTGGTTTATGTGAGAGTGTTCTAAATAAAACTGCTCGTATGAGTATTCATTACACGTGTGCACTTTTGGCATCAGCCTAGGCTGCAGGTTTAGGGTTGCTACATGGGACGGTGCTGACACCGCCATGTTTTTCACCATGGGGACATGGAGTTCAAGAGGATGCAGTGTTGGATTTCCACCACACATCTCATCTCACCAAACCTCCTCTTTCCATATGTTGTCCAATGTTTCCGACACATCTTGCTGCTAACTTAAACTGGGCTTCTCAAGTTATTTTTGTCCATCATTTTCAAAAGGTCAGTTTTATGGAGTCCAAAACACATATCTACCCTATTACAATGTTCTCCTACCTAGCAGTTGATATCTACAGGTTAAGGGTTAACCCTTGCGGTTGGCATGGCCCTCATGTCTTCTTATCTCTCTAATAATGCAATCTTTTCGTCACGTTTTTGATTAAGTGGAGGACATAGCTCTTTTACGTTTGCAATTCTGATACTCTCTTTCAACATTTGGATGATTGGTTGAACACAGCCTGCTTCTAACTTCCCCAACTTCTCCCTGACTTATCGGTTATGTTGCTTGGTATTTATGATGTTGGTTATTCCCAAATGTTTTCTAGCAAACCTCAGAGGCCCTTACAGAACAGGTAGATTAACAGAGAGACAAAACCCAAGACAGGTGGATACCCTATTTACTAATTAGCTGAATTCTCAAGGCAATTATTGATCACACTTCGTTCTATTTAATGGTATGAAAATAAGGCTAACTGATGGGGGGGTTCCTAAAAAAAAATACCGGAATGCTTTACAGAGTTTCATCTTTAAAGAAATATTTCAAATGTATATTTTATTATTTATTGCCTTTACAAGTTTTTAAAGAAGGACTAAGAAACAGTTTTATCTTACTATGTCTTCTTCTAAGTCCCTGTGATGGGATCCAAGTGTTTGTGAGACAACTGAGTAGTCTATCACCCCTCTCTCGGTAAGACTAGCTTCATGGCAGCTCAATATAAGGCCATCAGCATCAATAGCCACAAGCCTCGCACTGCACTATTCATTGGGTAAATACAGAAGGTTTATGACATGGCAGAGCCAGCAAAAGAAATAGAAATGGGAAACCTTTGTCAGAAGACGAAGGAAAAAGAAAACCACTATGAAAGAAGAGGCTATATCAACTTGTTAAAGCGGAAAAAATACATTTACTCAACAGTCAGACTTACACTTCACTAGCCTTCTTCCCATTCAACTGAAGTGCAAATTTTAAGCGAACCTTTAAAAGTAAAAAAAAAAAAAAAAAAAACTAATGTGAAAAAATGTAAATTTGTGGTGTTTCCATTTAGTTTGAAATTAATTAACCAAGCCCTCATATGTTGTTGCCCAGAGACATCTTCAGGCATGGCTGTAATAAACAGGAAGTAGAGGCTGCAATCTAGCACTGACCACAGATCAGTAATGGAGGAAAGTTTTGATGAATGTATTACAATCAGGAAAGGTTGTTCTCACATTAAAATCTCAGCTAGTAATGTCGATGTTGCTTCAGGCCATGTCTACACACAGAATAGAAACATCCAGGAAGACCCTACAGCATAAACAGCTGCATCAGAGCTGATTCAAAAAAAGTGTTTCCTTCTCCAATTTTCACATGAATCCTCTTTTGCTAAAGTCCACCTCATTTAGCGTAATAAATTTACTTTAGTCTTTTCAAATTTAGACGTTTCCATCAGAATTTTCTGATGCGATACTTCAAAATTCCAAAAAAAAGTAAAAAAAATAATCCACTGGACTTTGTTTCCGAGTTTGAAGATGTTTAGCTTCCCATCCAGGAAGCTTTTTTTAATTTGTCAGAATTTAATGTCTTGCACAGAGACTAGTGCATACTAAAGACAAAAGCCCCACACCAAACATGAGCAGAGTGGTGTATGCAGCTCAATGCAGTGAGGAATGCTCCGATCTTTATATTGGAGAAACCAAACAACCACTCCATAGACGCATGGCCCAACACAGAAGAGCGACCTCCTCCGGAGAAGACTCTGCTGTTAATCTACAACTTATGGACAAAGGACATTTTTTTGAGGACCAAAATGTTCACATTTTGGACAAAGAAGATAGGTGGTTTTAAAGGGGCAAGAAGGAAGCCATTTATGTTAACAATGAAAAAACAACTTTAAACAGAGGTAGTTGACTCAGGTTTCAGCTTTCAAAAACCTACAATGCAGCGATATAGTTGATTCCTTCCCGCTATCGTCTCAACCTCCAACCCCATACAGGGGTCCAACACATTTCTGCTTTCAGCCAGGCCAACCACTCCCCCTAATGATCCCCTTTCAGAGGCATAGACCAGTATTGTTTATTGCAGACCCCCATTCCTAAGTAGTGGACCCATTTTTCCGGTTCAATCTGCATGTTTTCTAATCAAAAACAAAGCGTTGACTTGGTCCACTCTATAAAGCCTCGAACTCAATGCTAATTCTGACATTTTGAATTGAAAAAGCTTCCTGGAAGGGAAGCGAAATGTCTTCAAATTTTGAAAAGTAGAGTGGATTGATTTTTAACTTTTTTGGGATGAATCTTCACCAGATACTTCAAAATCCACATTAGAAAAATGTAAGTTGATCTTTCACTAATCCAATTTCATCAAAGTTTCTTGTAACATTCAGAAAAGTTCAATGAGCGTGAAAACTTCTGCCAGTCAGTGTATACGATGATCAGAATAAGCTTGCCATTTTACTTTCAGCAACAATACAAACATTTTCCAAACTAAGATATTTTGCCTTCAAATATTATTGCTTTACAATATCTCAAATTCTTTGCTTTAGCTGCTTTAGCCATTGCCACAGAGAAAGAAAGAGAAGCACAATATCTGCTCTCACTATAAAGCAAGCTACAGTTGTTAATGGACAGAGTCCTAACAGTGAAAGCGCACACTTCAAAGTGGATACTGGGATAGCTGCCAGGGTCAAAAACCAGACCATATTCATTACCCTCCATCATCATTAGGACTCACCTCACCATTATTTTGCCCATCACTACTTCCCAGTAGTGCTGTATATACTAGTAGATTTAATGAGAAAGTCTGTACAGTATTGATTGTGTAACGCAGCCTTTTACTGTAATTGTTTTAGGACTGATCTGCCTAGTAGACAATGTATTTTGGCAGACCGAATCAGCAGGGTTTAATGGTGAAACACTGCAGAACAAACCTGAGGTTGAGATGAACAGTTGACTATGATGCACCGTAAGCCATTACAACCCCAAATGCTTACTAAAGGCAAAAAATCTAACCTTATCACTATGATAAATGCCCCCTGCACTGTAGACGTATGGTAAACCCCCTCCCACTTGCTCAAGCGCTGCTTGTGTTTTCCCTTTTCTGTTGTCACCAGTGCAAATCAGCCTTCAGGGCTACCGTTAGAAAGCACCAGAGATCAATCTGTATCCCTGCAATGAGAGGGGGAGAGTTGGTCATCTCATTCATCGCTGTCAAGGCAAGGCGCAGTGGCAGCACAGGCTGGAGGAGGAAAATGCACACTGTGGGACTCAGGAACACAGACGCACCCAATAGGCTCTGATCGGCTACCTAACCAGAGCAGAGTGCCGCTAACCACAAGAATAATGACCCTGCCAAGGTGAAAAATGACATCACCTCTTAGCTTCACCTGGAGGATTGGGGGATAAATCTTGGTCGTCTGATATGATTTCAGAGAAACCGAGGGCTGTATATGCCCTAAATCTTACATGGAGTTAGCCAAAGAGAATGATATCAGTGGATGTAAAGACAAACAGCCAGAGCCCACTCAAACATAGCACGGCTCAGAAGTTTAGATAAGCTCATCATAGAGATCAATGTCAGGAATTATTTTTTTCTGATTCATTTCTTATAGTAACAATGCTCCAGTAAAAAAAAAAAAAAATTTCTTTAAAGTGGATTAAACATGGTACCAAAATGATTAATGAAAGCTTAACAATTTTCGTGATATTTAATAACAATAATTTGCAAAGGATTGTGATGTCAATAACAAATAACTATCACTTCCAGGATACTTTTCCATCCACTCAACAACTTTCAGTATCTCAGCTACGAATTACACCAGTTGTTTCCATTAAAAGTAGTTACAGCTCATTATAGGCCAAATATGTCATATATACAGTAGTAGCTATTCACCCACTTCCTTCCTTAATTGGCCCTTGGCTGGTCCCCTACAATTCCTTTTTAAACATAAACCTTTGTACTAAAATATTCTGTCATGATTTGTGGTCATTAAGCTCTAAAGAGAAGCATCGTCTCCTGGTCAGACCCTGTAATTCAGTGAAAGGATGGAGTAAGAGTTAAAAAAAATGTGTTGGGTTTATAGAGGGGATTTTGCTAGGAGTTTCAGGGGAGTGGGCTGCCATTCGGCTTGCCTTTGACTGAGAATGACCATTTTTTATGGCTGCTACTGTATACAAACAGTATTACATGACTCAATATTGCATCCAAATGGTCCTTGGTTATATTCTTGGTATACAAGTGTTTTGTATTTGTTCACATACTGAAGGATGATCAACGTTTCATGATATAGAGATCAGCTCCAACTGCATTGATTGAAAAATGTCTATTTCCATAGATCCAATCATTATTAAAATAACGCTCACGTTAAGCAGTATTATCCTGTTAGAGGATCCAGAGCAGTCAGGTGTCATCATTTAGATGTTGATTATAGCAAACATTTCACAGATTCATCACATTAACATTTTTATGACACTTCCAAACTTATGTAGTGTTTAATGGTTGAAAGACAAATCCCCCTTTTTACGCTGGCTGAAAGACTGGTTTAAACCCGGGAGAAATCAGCTTTTAGAGGCAGTGGGAACAGCTCACTAACGCGTGTCTACCCGGGTCAAGTGTCTCAGCCAGCGACCTGCTTTAAAATCGTCTCGGCTCTGATCGGCATGCTGGGGGAACACCAGACCCGGGTCTACCCGCTTAATTATGTCAAACCATTGAACACAACATACGGATGTCAACACACCGTGCCAGTCTCTTCTGATCTAACAAGCTGAAACGACTCTGTTTACATTTGATAAACATGAAGCAGCTCTGGTGAGAAGGATTCAGACCGATAAAGGAGTGAAACAATAGAGGGCACTGACTACACTCTGTTGCTCTCCATTATTTACTTCCCTGATTTCCGTCGCACTGTCGACATCATCAACGTTTACCCAGCGCGATGTTGTCATCAGACACTTAGTGGTGGGAGACAGTGGCCACGCAGCTTGCCATCAAGGGATCAGAATAGGCTTCTCGGTCAAATGGGAAAAGAGCCAATAGCCGATTGTTAGCGGGTCAACCCGGTTTTGAAAAACCCGGGTTTTCAATGGGAAAGCAGCTTAAGATTGACTCCCACAAATACATCACTTACCTCATTATTAAAACTTTCTCCAGAAGCCTTTAGCTTTTTCTGTTGGGTTATATCTAATTTCCTGCATGCTTACTGGTCTTCCAGCATCCTCCATGTTTATGATTAGTTTGAGTGTTTGACGTTAGTTGGTTATCAAACATTATGAACATTTTCATCATTTGTGTTAGTAATTACAGGTAGAAGCTTGGGTTAGACAAACATAACTTTGATACAGTTGGATTTTCCAATAGAAAAATAATCTCCAAACTCTTCAAGCCACTCAGAAAAAAAGTTTTGGTTTTCCTTATTGTTGAAGGTCGAGTATCATAATTTTATAGGGGGTGTATTTATATATTTAATACAGTTTGTGTATATTTTACCGGTGATGATTAGAAAAAAATATGCCCTGAATTTAAGCTTCATATTTTCAAAATCCACTGTATATTGTTTTATTAATTAGGTCTCGAGGAAGATTAGTTTAAAAGCATTACTAGAAGCCCAGCATTGCTGACTTTCATGCAAATGATAAGTGAATAAACATATTCAGACTGGTAGTTGGAAAAACCTTACCACTTGACTAATTCTATTTAAACAAATTATCCTTTTTACTGAAAAACTTGCTGGAAACTTGCTCGGCTGCATCCTCACAAAGATAGATCTACTGTCTGAGGGGGAAGACACAAAGGTGACCAGCTGCATCGTCTCTCTAGTCTGTCTTCTCTGTAATAGCAGCCCTTTCCACCTACCTATCTCTCCCCGCCTCTATGCCGAAACGCACTCCCTGCACTCATCAAACCATTGCGTTGCTACAGTGTCAGCGGCTCACCATGTTTCCATAGCGATATGTTTCAGTAGGAAAGAGAAGGCTGCTGAAAAACATCCTTGGATGCGAGCCATGAAAACATCTGCTTTACAGTAATTGTTGCCCATTTATTTGGTTTGAAATCAAAGATTGGGATACTCACGTGACAATCTGATAGATGTCTTCTGATCTTCCTTGACGTAATCTCAGAACCCAGGCTCCTGGATTAGCCTTCAGCTGGAAATATCCCTGTAATGTTTTTTCCACATTAGTCAATGAAGTTATAGGTCAAAATTACAAGAATCATATCTATTTTAACTTTCCAAAAACATGGCGAGAAAACCGAGAAAGATGCTGACCAAATTAGCCATGACAATGGTGTCATACATGAGCGGGTCCTGACTCATGCCCAAGGTAAACTGTAATCCGCGTGGTGGCTGACCGGTTGACAGGTCAAAGCAGTGGCCCTCCAGTAAGAGATGCTCCAGCTCAAATTCTGCTGCCACAACCCCATTAACCTGTAAAGAATAATAAATTACAAAGCAACAAAACTCTCTGGGAGGAGAATAAAAGCATTTTGCATCTACCCACAAGGACAAAAATGATAAGGCAGCGATGACCAAGCATCTCCATACCTCCTGCAAGTGGATGTTGTCCAGATCATAGAGGCTGTGCTTTGCTTGCACCATCCAGCTCTCCGGTGTGATCATGTTAAGGGTAAGCAGGGGAGATTCCGGGAGATCCTCAAAGCGGGCGAATGGCCCTGGAGACGCTGTGTCGTTGGCTAAGAAAGCCACGTCGGGCTCCAAAACAAATCTGTAAAAACTATGAAGGGAAAAAATATATATCAAAGACCTCACACTGTTGTGCTACAGTTTTAATTCAATGTTTTGAACATCTCAAAGAGTATAGCACAAGTAAAAACACAACAACAGATGACCGTTTCACTTTACTGGACAAGCTTGGACAATATGTTGGCAGAAACCCCCCCCAGCCCTTAACAAAACGTGCGTCAAGTGTTAAGAATTAAGCCCGTTTTTAAAGGAAACCATGCGAAGTCCCATCTTTAGAACACAGTTACAAGAAGCATGTAGAAAACTCAACAACATGTGGAAGAAGGTGCTCTGGTCAGATGAGACAAAACAAAGAACTTTTGACTGGCATGTAAAAGCAAGACAGTGTGTCTTGAGGATCAGTTTTGAAAAACACTGTTCTACAGTGTCTTATTTGTTTAAATTACACAAGACTTGCAATGGTTGATCCCATGGTCCGAAAACTGACGTCATTATGCAGATGACCAATGTCAAGCACCAGTGGTGTTATTGATTAGCCTTTTCCTGAGCAGACACCTATCTTTCTCCTACGCTTCAATTCAATTCAGTTTATCTATATAGCGCTAATTCACACCACATATCATCTCAAGGCCCTTTAAAAAGACAATTCAACCTGACTATAAAGTCAGATTGGTTCAAAGTTTTCTATCTAAGGAAAACCAGCCAACTGTATCGATTCATTGACTCGAAAGCAATCCCTCACACCAAGCATGCTTGTAGCGACAGTGGAGAGGAAAAACTCCCCTTTAACAGGAAGAAACCTCCAGCAGAAACATTCCAGTGCCTAAAACGGGGGAATTAATCCCCCAGAAAGAGGTAAGGGGAGACAGCATTCTAAGCTCAAAAAGAAGCAATGGGGAATCGGTGTGAGAGAAACATAAACGGGAGGAGGCAGCCAGCCATGCCCCCCATCTGAGCATTAGATCAGAGGAGCTGACTGGGCAGACAGCATCAGGGCAGAGAGAGGCTGGCTATGTAATCGAAGGAGCGTGGCGAATGGTTGCGTAAGTTCATTAGGGGAAACAGAATGCTGAGGGTGGGGGAGAGGCTACTGTTGGCCGAGAGTAGCTGTACTTTTGAGAAGCCCATCAGGAAGAATGTGCAGGGAGAGGCTACAGCTAACTGAGGCTAGCCTCTAAAGGCTAACTGCTGGAGGTGGAAGGAGGATCCTGACAGGCAGCTGGTCAGTTTCTGCGCTGGAGGTAGGACAAAGAAACAATCCTTCTAGAGCTAAACTAAAACGCCTTTTTTTTAAAAGCCACCCATTAGCCTCTTAAAGCTACAGTGTGTAATAATTACAGGGATATACAGTCAGAAATGTAATATATTATACATAATTATGTTATTTATCATCATCTACGAGCTCAGCCTCATAACCTTAATATTTGCGTTGCCTTAGAATTCGTTATTTATAATTACATAGGAGCTGGTCTCGCAGCCATGGAGGCAGACATCTTTGCGCTACGGCAGCGCAGAGCCAACAAACTAGCGTTTGCGAGATTGCCCATTACGCTCGAAAGTAACTACGGCAAGTTGAGAGAGATGAACTGAGACGGTACTGAACAATAGATGGCAGTATTAGGCCTGAAAATACTATCTGTAAAATTATCTATGTAAACAAACCTCATCACTTGAGAAGGTAGGTGATGCGGACGTCGTGGAAGACATTTTGTCCTGTAACGCTCGCCGTACTGTTGGGGGGGAGATGTTCATGTTGCTGCGTTCTGCAGTCTGGACGTTAGATGTCGCTGAAAATTACACACTGTAGCTTTAAGAGCATTCCCGCCTCATCCTCTGTTAACACCATTTTCTCTTCCACTTTAATAAAAAAAAGCTAATCTCCGCTGTTGTCACTAGAGTAGTGTTCAATTCATCATCATTTCTCATCTCCTAATTTTTATATCTAATAACACAATATAGACCTACACGAGACAACAACATTGAAGGATTTATGGATTTGAAGCCGTGACCAGCAATTAGCAGATACTGGTTTTGGGGATGGGCTCCCAAAATTCTGATCAGTGCCTCTCTACATTCCAGTTTAAGTAGTGAATGTTGTCAAAGTACTTTACAACTCAAGCTATGATAATGCCGATGACCCAAAGAAACGATTGTTACCACTGTGGAACTGAACAGCGGTGAGAAAACAGTTACTGTTCAAAAAGCTTAAACCCAGCTCACAACAGGAGACATAGTTTTTATTTTACTAGCTGTGATTTAATGGTAAAGAAGTACAACAGTCATGATAATTAAACAACTGATGCATAAACAGAATTCAAGCACTCCTGCTGGAATATCCACAGGTGGACTGTAATACCTCTAAGCCTGTGGCTATGAAAACTAAGCAGCGGAATAGTAATTGGGCCCTGGTTATTACGCCCTTATTAAATGAGAATAAATGGGTACAAAAAACAGCCACAATGGCCTGTGAAAGGATATCGTATACACAAAAAGTATGGATAGGGCTCTTATCCACGGAAAGAAGTCAGTCCTCCCACGAGCTAACAGTTTCAACAGTTAATTGTGCACAAAGCAATTTGGCAGTAAGGCAGAAACTCACGGTAAGTTTCAAGGAATTTGAGAACTGTGAAATGTTGGAGAAATGCAGCGTTTACACAGCTGCTCCACTGGAGACACCCAGCTTATTTATCCCACACAAATGTATCATGTTGCAATCTGTGTCAATTACGGCCATTTCTCGCTCAGGGGGACAGGAAGTTGATGGAGGAGGGATGGTGGAGAAATGAATGGTTTGGGGTTGAAGACTTGTTTCCATCAATAAAACCTTAGCAAGAGAATTCAGTTATACCCCTTGAGATTTCTGTGGACTGGCTCTACAAATGACTCCACCTATTATAGAAAATATATATATATATCACATAATAGACACATTCACCCATGGGTCTAAGCATTGATGCAGAGATTAAAAAAAAAGTCTATGTATAATTTTCTATTTTCATATTATTTTAACTGTCTCCCCTGCATGGTTAGAACTGCATCAGTGAATGTTAGAAATTTGCTCAGAGATGCACATGGGGGCTCAAAGCAATAAGGTGGTGTTATTAAGCAGATTGCATCTGTGTAGCAGACTCTTACAAAGGGATCAAGTGCGGCTGAGATGCTAAGACTGCAGCAACAAGAGGATACACAAACAAGCCAAACAGGAAAATTTAATTACAGCTGGAGCTGGTGCTTACCTCTTGAGGGGAAACTCGGACAACTTGGCCCGGCAATTCATAAACACCTGCAGTTTCATGTTGACCACTTGACTAAGCACCTGCAGCATTCAAACAGAAACAGAGGCCTAGTCAGAAATTATAAGAAAAAAAACAAATTAAGTGTGCTGCAGAGAGACAAAAAAAATAGAACCAAATCAATGGAATTGGTCTCTAAATACGGTTAATCTAAGCTTAAAAAAACACACACGCACACAAGGGCTACCTTAAAAAGTGTGATTCCTATTAAATTAAAAGATATTTTGATGCAGTCTAAAGTATTTGTACAAGTGAACATATTTGAATAAACATACATGTAATAGCAGGTGTTTAAGCACTTAAATCAACCAAGATCAGTAGATAAGTTTAGCAGCAACAGTATTCACTAGCTTTAAGGTAATATATTTTTCCACAGCTTTCTTCTCAGTTTAAATTCTCTTCATGTTTTTGGCCCATTGCAGGTATACTCATTTTCATTAGCCAAATATTTAAAATAGTGGTGGCTCGTTATCGACGTTTATGTGTTACGTTAATATAAAAATATATAAAAATCTATATGTATATATTGCCATTACTCTATTCCCAACGTTGTTTTATTCTGGGTCTATATTAAGAAGGCTATGATGACTTTCAACTTGATATTTTAGCATGGATGTATATCTGGGGTTGAGAACAAATCAGTCTTCCAACCTGGGTAGGCCTACTGAGAAATTACCACATTGATATGATGTGCTGACATGAATGCAGCTATAAAGCCACTGGGTTTGCTTTAGGGGAAATGTATTTTTAAGAAGCTTCCTAATGCAAAATTCTACAATACAACAGCTTTTTTCAAACTTGTGCAATGCAGAATTACTTTACTGTCTCAAGTACCACCTAAATTCAAAGCATCCCCTAAGCCCCTGTCACCTTGAAGATTTAAACAGCGTATGCCTGACATAAAAAAAGAAGTTGGAGAAGTTAAGGGTATGTTTTTTATAAGTTATGAGCACACTGAAGTACGCTGGCAAGCATGCTCAAAATATCTCTACGTATGCCAGTGTAAGCTCATATGTGGGCCATAAGTTACAGGTAAGTTATTTGATCGTTGATATACATTAAGTGTAAGTTACTCATAAATCGTGGTGTCTATAATCTATGTCCACCTCTAATTTAAAATGAAGACAACAAAGAAATACAAACAATACGACAAAGTCTAAATGATCTGAAAAAGAAAAGCTTTGAAACCCAAAATATAATTTATAGGAAGAAGAAAAATGGGTCAGAAAATGATTAAATGCCCAATTAGTTTTTGTTCATGTAGTTGCTGATTAAAAACTACAACTCTACCTGTTTTAACAGCAAAGCATTAAAACTTCAAAAACAGCTCTATACTTCAGAAACTTGGTTTGATCAGCTTATGGTGATCAGTGGCCACACGGTGCAGTGTTGCAATCTACATCCTGCATACTCTGGGCCCACCTGTTGCTTCTAATGTGGGAACAAGTCTTGGCACTGAATGAAAAGGAACAAAACTGAAGCACTTCTTACAATCAGGAGTGAAGAAATCTTCTGCGCCTCTCTAGTGAGGGGATCGACGATGGCCACGACATCATAGAACACCTCATGTTCACGTGGTGAAAGATGGAGCACACTGAGAAGGACATTTTAAGTTTCCTTTTTGTTACTGTGGGAAGATGTCAGAAAAGTAACAATGATCAAAAAACATACCTTTGGGTGTCTTTAAAGCTGATATCTCTTCTAACCTCTCCTTTAGGGACTGCAGAGAGCAGGGCATCCACTTTCATGACCAAGTCACTAGCTCTAAAGAGGAAGAGGTCCATTACTCATAAAGCATATAATTTGAGAGAAATAGATCAGAGAATTTCAAAAAGAATGTACAAATAAAGATACAAGGGGTAGGTGTGAAGAAGTGCAAATGGTGAGCAAATTTCTATCAACAACACATGTGAGAAAGAAACAGTTAAACTTTCTTTCAGATGGCTAGGCTGGAATGAACACAAACATACTGCTTTGGTTTCATCCCCATCTGTTTTACTTTGGCTTTGACTTTCTCTGCTGAACCACTCAGTGTAATCCTCTCAAGCAAGTTAAAATCCTCTGCAGTGAATTCTTCATGCTCTTCAAACGGACCGAGGATCTAACACAGAGAAAATAATGCAGTCAGAACATAACTTTTCAAATTCTTATCTCAGTATACATCACCTTAAGCTTTCCCAGGGGGTTTCACATGTAATGTGGGATGACAGAGTATTATTCCCTTAAAGTTGTGTTATTCAACAATGCTGTCTTCTTTTACAGTTTTCCAATCTGGGAGCAGCCCCACCAGAGCCATGGAGAAATGTAAGGTTTTATTAATTACCGGTGCCACCTCAGAGGCTGGCCTCCTCATCCCTGGCTGTCAGTGCTGCTACCGCTGAGACATCAGTCATCAGCTTTGTACACAAACACGCAAAATACAATAAAGGCCACCTGTGACCTTTAAAAAACAGACATCCGTCGATATGACAGCACCCAGAGAAGACACCAAGTACCTTCAGGGAAGATCTTCCAAAGGCAAAGTATAATAACTGATATTGCTATGTGTCAAATGGTTTAGTAAAATATACCCAGAGCCTGTTTACTCCTTGCATTAAATGACCTTTTTCGAAATCATAAAATAGAAAAAAATGTACATGGCACACAGTAAACAGCCATAGAGACCAATTGGTTGTGCATTATTGCAAAAGCTTACCTCTTTTTGCTATTCAGTCAATTATTTTTCTAGTTAAATCGATCAAATAAACCAAGTTAATGAACATATAAACATTTTAAATGTTAACTGTTTCGGCTCCAATATGAATACATTTCACATAAACTACAGTACCATGATATAAAGAAAATCCTGGCCTAATATTGCTGTTTTAATGCTCGAAAGCCTTTCACAATTCTGCAGAGCTGCAAGATGATATAGAGTGACATAAAAGACTCACTGTAGGTTATTGCAAACATTTGATGGCAGTTGTTGCTGCCAAGGGACAAAGAGGTTTTGTTAGGCTTAAGGGGTAATAACTTTTACCATAGGACCAGGTTGGTTGCATTGTCACATGCACAGCAAAACAGCATCCCCTTTCGAAGAAACATGTCGTGTGAAAAAGTAACTAATAACTTAATGATGCAAAAATTCAAATTTTGGTCAATGATCATCTTCAAATAAAAATTTCAATCCCTTGGATCCCTTCATTGCAATCCTTTTTTTGGAAGCATTTATTAGGCAGGGAGGGGGTAAGGTCTTTTCATATCGGCGTGCATGCATGTGTGGCCAGCAAAACTTGTAAACAGGAGTCTTGAGAGCAACACGGGAAAATGGCATATGACGATACATCATATTCCATCTAAAAATATACCTTTAGTTCTTCAGATTACTATTTTTCTTCTTTCTACCTGAAATAATTATTCCTTCCTTATTCCCCCTTTAAAGCTACAGTGTGTAATTTTCAGCGACATCTAACGTCCAGACTGCAGACCGCAGCAACATGAACATCCCCCCCCCACCGCTTCTCCCCCCCAACAGTACGGCGAGCGTTACGGGACAAAATGTCTTCCACGACGTCCGCATCACCTACTGTACCTTCTCAAGTGATGAGGTTTGTTTACATAGATAATTTTACAGGTAGTATTTCATTAGTCTGTGTAGGGTATAGATTTCATGCAGACTTAAACAACTTGCCGTAGTTACTTTCGAGCGTAATGGGCGATCTCGCAATCGCTAGTTTGTTGGCTCTGCGCTGCCGTAGCGCAAAGATGTCTGCCTCCATGGCTGCGAGAACCGCTCCTATGTAATTATAAATAACGAATTCTAAGGCAACGCAAATATTAAGGTTAAGAGGCTGAGCTTGTAGATGATGATAAATAACATAGTTATGTATAATATATTACATTTCTGACTGTATATCCCTGTAATTATTACACACTGTAGCTTTAAACCTGATGGCTAACTAAGCTAAAACGTTTTTTGAGAGGGAAGAAAACAGATCCGACACCTGCAAAACTTTTTTTTTTGCTCTGATTTAAAGTGGAAATTAAACTGTCAACCAAACTAACTTAATTCACATGATTGCATCTTAGCATCAACAATTATATAAAAAATGTGAGAGAAAAAATACCCAACAACCTGGCATTGCATATATTTTTTCTGGCAGGGGCACCCCCATGCTGTAGTATTCTAAGCAGCGATGTCACTGGGTTGGTTAGTTCTGCAGCTGTCAGTTAAATACATTGGTAATACCAGCAATACCTCACAACCATAAAACACAGAAGAAATTTGGATACCCAAGTGTCCAAATCCCATCAAAACCAGGTAGCATTGTAAATCCATTCTGTTCCAAACACATGTACTGTACGGGTGTCAGATCTTCCTATCATAGTGCATCCAGACAGTGTTATCTATCTGCAACTTGTGACGTCCTATGAGTCTGCGCATGCGCATTGCCACAATGTAGGGCGGATCGTTGGGTAGCACGGATATTCAGATTCACATGGCAAATGGGCTCAAAAGCATAAGCTTTGGGATTTAGATGCTGGATTGTCCTTTCAGTTTCGGCTTCTATCATACCAATTTCTTTTGTGTTTTACGGTTGTGAGATATAGCTGCTATTACAACCCAAAAACCAACATACATGATACCACCTCTGACTTGTGCATTCCCCGTACTGTCCTGCCTATGTTAAGTTAGGCTGTGGTCTAGGCAGCTGTTGTATTGAGAACAGCAGAGAGGATCATCGGGGCTTCTCCTCCCTCCATTAAAGACATTTCATCCCAGTGCTGCGTGTCCCAAACCCGTAACATTATCAATGACCCCTTACACCCCCACCCTGGACTGTTCTCCCTGCTGCCCTCTGGGAAGAGGCTTCGCAGCATTGAATGCCTATTGGCTGAATGTTGTGCATCTGTGGGGTATTACACAGACACCTCCAGTAGATACTCCTGTTACTTTTCCATTTATGTTGGATTTTAGCTTATAAAACTCTCCCAGAGGTGCTGGAGTGAGTCTATTCAAAACCTTTAAATAATGATAACTGCAATATAATTTGCCAGGTCTTTGGTCCTCTGGGCTGGTGAACACATAAATATTGTATTGCAAGAATTCAGCTTAAAGGAAAAGTTAGTACAGTAGTTCCCAAACTTTTCTCACTGGATCCCTCTCTGGGTTCATTAAAAAAGTTTTCATACCCCTCTCAATTTCCCCACCCCATCCCCCCAACCTGTTCAACAGGTATATATAGAAAAATCTACCACAGTAGATTAAATATTGGAATAAATGAACTTCAATTTTTCCTTTAAAGCACAAAACTACTACTTTGAAAGAATTACCTTAATTCTACCTGAATATAACATTATCATCAACATTCATTTCCGCCATACCCTCCCTGTAATTACACTTTCTATCAATATAAACATTTTATATCAAAAGACATTTGTCTTGACATCATAATCAACATATCTGACATTGACTAAATGGAAAGCTATTAAGTGATTGAAACAGACTTTTACGGAACATTCGTAGGAGGGTTTGTGCAATCTGATGAGATCAGTCCATTTATCTCAAAGCAATGAAAAAAAAGAAAAATAAATTCTATTTCCTTGAAAGTTTTAATGCAGATTTTCCTTTTTTTATGGAAGACACTGATTGTCGGTTTTAATGTCCAAATAGCTATTTTAATGTTTAACAATATAATAATGTTTAAGTGAAGCAAATATTCATTAATGGCACATTATTGAGTAAACCCGTAATTAAAATCAGTTCAACTATTATTTTATACGAGTTATAAAGTAATACGATTTATGACAGTTTTAGAGAGACATGTTCACATTTCTAACTATTCCCACAGCATGGAATGCTCACCCTTCCATTGCTGATAACTGCCCGCTGTCCAGGACGAAGCTTCAGGACATCTTGACAGAACATCTGCTGACTGCGGATAAAATCCAATTCAAGTGTGTTGAACTTCTTCTCAAAGGCATCTAGGTCCATTCCCTGGAGAAGAATAACACAACTTTGTTTGAGATCACACATAGACTGCTTAGTCTTTGAATGTCTAAAGATTTGCAAGGCAAAGGAATATATGTGATGCCACTGAAAAAAATCAATAGAGTAGCTTTAGAACATTTCTTTTCCATTCCAACTTGTCAACAAAATACCATTCTGAGTGATGCATTGGTATAAATGTAAGATGTGAGGAAAAAAATAATTATAATTTCATCCATTATTGATGACCGGCATCTGTTCAATTACTGGATTTTCAAGCAGGCTCTGACAAAAAAATAAAACATTTTAAACATGGCTGTCAGAAATGAAAGAAAGAAAATAGATAAATCAATTTGTAATTAATAGAACAAACTCTTAATTAAACCTCAGTCATATTTGTACATAATAAATTGAATGTGGGAGTGTAGAGGGTGGGTTGTAGAGTCAGGTTATTAGTTTCTCCAACATTTCTGTCCTCCGGAGATCAGGTGAAATACCAATAATGTCAGCGCAATTCAGTCAGCAAGTCTGTCTGGCAGCCAATAATAAACTTGTATCCCTTGGCTTTAGGTCTCAGGTCACAAAGCTGCTTCCTACCCATCTTTCCATTGCTATTTTCAGCCCATTCTCTCCTTATTGTTTAAGGCTTGTGTAATTGAAAGAAAGTTTGCTACAGTGGTCCCAGCTGAAGCATGTGCTGTATGACTTGCTCCTGACGGGAAAGGGGGAAGCTCCAGTGTCAACGCATTTGTTGATTGGACTTGCCTCTGTGTACTGCTGTGTGGGTGGATCCTACACACTGCAGTATTTGGTTGTAGCCTGCTTATAACAGCAGAGTGATGGTCAGGCTTGGCTGAACATATGTAGCTCACAAAAGGTTGAGAAGGAGCTTGGCTATTCATCAGCCCCTGGACACCATGTATACACCAGCACTTTTTATTATAGATGCACCATGTGGAGCCTGCCTTTTGATGGCCCTGTGACACTTCAAGTTGAACTGACGACACTTGTCTAGCTATCTAAAGGCTGTGGAGTGTCAGAAGAGGCCTTCAAGGTATTCTGCCAGCTGATGTTAGGTGAAATGATTGGCTCTTCAATCATATATTTTTCAAACTTTGAACATAATTTAAGAAGAAAAAAGCTGAATCCGACAAATCTTAGCATGTGGTTTTACCCAACCATTGCATTTGTTTGTCTGTTTTTACCTTTGAACACCTGCAAGACTGATGATAAAACACACAACAAAGTAAAATCGATTGCATATTCTCAAATGCATACAATCATATCTTTGTTGATTAATGATTTAATGATTGATGACTTTGATGATTTAGCTGCTAAATATCACAAGACAGTGTGCATTATCAAAGATAATTATAATTTCAGATACTAAGATTTAAAAAAAAAGAACATAGTACTACAAAGAGAAAGGGTCAGTAAGAAAAAACTTTTATGCGTTTTTTGTACCGAACATTTCTCTCATAGAGTCTTTAAAAGAAAGTAAAACCAAACTGGTAACAAAAGCTAAAAATCTAACAGGCTAAAGATTGACCTTAAACAGAAAAAAAAGCATCAGCATTAAAGTTTAGATTGAGTGCTTAATTAAAAGAAGTATCTGTTTTATGTTACAGTAGAATTAGAAAAGATTAATTAGGGCAGTTTAAGCCTCCCTAATTATACTGTACATTTCAATTGCAGTAACCAGGGTGTTTTTGGGGCCAATTATTAATCATTTCTACAAATCAATTACACTACAAGGTCAGAAAATTAGTGGAAAAAAATGCTTGTTTTTATCCACTATAACAAAAGGGAGCTTCCTTGTGGACTGCAAAGTGGAACAGTTTGTAATACTGCTGCATGTCAGCGAGAAGGTATTGGGTTCGATTCCCAGCCTAAAGTCTTCCTGCATGAAGTTTGTTGGTTCTCTCCGGGTGCTCTGGTTATCTCCCACACTCCAAAAACTTGGCTGTAAGGTTTATTGGCAATTTTTCCTTATGTGTGGGTGTGTGTGCATGGTTTTCATTCATAGCATTCTTTTCATTGTCTCACTATGGGATACGCCCCATACCGTATTCCTCAGAAGCATTTATCTCATTAGGCCAACCCTGATTGGCTGGTAATGGTGACGTCTGCATTACTTATCCTATAAGTAGCTTGCACCACGAAGCAGCGCAATTCAAAAATCTCTTCTCGCTTTGAGGCTTATCTCACACCAGACTAGCTAAACTGTCCTCAGACGGTGACATTTTTTTATAGCTAACTCTCCGTTGTCAGGCACTAGCTGCTACTTCTGTCTTCATCATAGTCTGGAGCTATTACTGCCCATATTAGCACATTGGCTTATACTAGCTGTTTTGGGCAGTCACTCCAGTCAGCTCAGCTTTTTATTCTCCAAGTTAGGCTATCTAAATGGCTACCAGAATGGACCCTGCTTCCCCTAACACCAGAGGAGATAGCAGCTCTGAGGCTGGCCTTTGTGGGTACGGGATCAAAGCCGGCTGCCCTATCGGCTCACTGGGAAGGCGAGCGGGGTGCTACAGCTTACACTGTCATGCATGGACATGCAGACAGTTTGCAAAGGTGCTGCATCCAGGCTCAATATCCCCTGGCCCTAAGTTGCAGCAGAGACCACTAGATCACGCTGCTAAGGGATGAAATTGCCCAAGACCATTAAGGTGGCCAAACAGCTGCTTTCTGTTTTCCAGGAGCTCTTTGACAAGGTAGCGGTATCCTGGAAGAACCCCCATTTAGTGGGAAAAATCGGATTCAGGGAGCCTCTTTCCTTAACTGCAAGGATATGGAAAAACTGGGCATCAATCGCATGGCCACATTGGTGACACTACAGCTGCCCGCAACATCCTCGAAAGAACCTAATACTGCCATCCAAGGCAGACAGTTTCCATTCCACTTTGATGGAGAGAGCTTAGAAAAGCAGCAGCAGTTGCTGTGAGAGTTCTGAAAGTGTCCATTATGCTCTCTGCATACCAAGCAGAGCTGTGTGAGAACATAGCCACCAAGTCGGACCCAGACTTGTTGGAAGAAACCCTGTGATAACTGACATTAGCCACGTGTGCAACGCTGCAAAGTCCAGGTCACGGGAAAATCTATGTTGACAATGGATTTACAGAAAAGAGCGAGGTGGCTCAACCTCACAAACCTCTCAGACCGTGATAGGGATGACATTTTGGACATGCCAATTGTGCCGCAAGGCATCTTCAGGCACGGGGAGAATTTTCTAGCACATATGGGTTGATGTATGGATGTTAATTAATTGAATCAGTTAAACACAATCATTCAATTCAATTGTCACCTTAGCCTCCATGCAAAAGCTCCGCTTCCTTCTACCCAGGAAGACAGGTAGTATCAGGTGGCAGCAACGCAGTCATTCCAAAAATTGCCCAGTCGGCCAAAAGCCCAGCCCCATCCGGGAGCAGATGAAAATATTAAAAAAGAAAATAAATGGGTAAATCACATCCACTGAAGGAGGGGATGAACACTCCTGGCAGACAGCAGATTGGGTTTGACTAAAAACGTTATCTCCCTGCGCAGTACCGTCAATCGGTTGCAACTCTGCCCTACTGCCAGGGGGCCCCATGTGCCATCTTTTGAGGATGAGGGGAGACTCCTTAGGGGCGTCACTCTCCGCCAAGGATACGTCATCGCTTAATTCTGGAATAATTATAATCGCTTCTGGCATAATTCCCACTCAGGCCAAGAGAGAATCTGCTTGCGCTGCAGGAGGAAATCTCTGCATTGCTGAGGAAAGAAGCAATTAGGCCTGAGCAAAGTCATAGCGGCTTCTATGGCAAGTATTTTCCGATTCCAAAACGGGGAGGGAGAGGAATTCGCCGATATAGGATCTCAGTGCCCTTAACAGTTGTCTCAGAAGTACACATTCATCAGGATTTGCTTAATGAGATAAGTACTTCTGAGGAATACGGCAAGGGGTGTACCCCATAGTGAGACATCTCACCCATGCTACTCTGAGAGCAGCGGTTACGCAAAAACTGAAATAGCTGCACTAAAACATGCAAAGGTATTTGTTGCAGCAACTTTTAGAGAATCTGGAATTTTCTGTATTAACAGATATATTAAGGTTATCAATTTTGATCCGGGTTATGTAAAACTCTGATAAGTAGAGTGTTTAAGGTGCAGGTAAAGGTCCATACCTGCTAAAGCATCAGCTGCTGCATTCAAGAAAATGGCTGTTATGTTATTTTGAAGCTAAGCTAACACTGCACTGCTTCATAAAATCTCTTTTTCCTCTCTTGGATGTAAACACATTAGCAGGTGATATGCAGTAACCCTCCAAACAGGATTTGAAAGAGCAGACCGGTTTCTTTTCAGTATTTCTTGAAATATAAGACCATTCCTTTATTCCTAATATGTTGACCTAACTGCTTTTTTGTAAGATAAAATTCTTGTGGTCAGTCAGTGTTTTGAAAAGGAAGGACAAACAGATTTTATCCCCTCAGTTCTACTGATTTAGTGTAGCAACAAATAAATAGGTTTTTATTTTATAACCAGGATCCATTACAAGAAAAAATATATGTCCTGCGTGTTTGTGTTGTGCAACTTGATTGTTTTCTAGATGTACAAAAAATATTTCCCTTTGGGGGTATTTATGAAAACATGTTCACTGTCCGTAAGGAGGCAAATCAAACATGATGGAAAACCAATATACAGCAAATGTGTCAAATCCTAATTAAAGGGAGTTGCTGACAAAGAGTTTTTGAAATGGCTCATATCAGACCCCTTGAGTAATGTCAACTCCCAACACCTGCTGTTGGTTTGTGCTTGTGATTGTATCTGCATCGTGTTAACCATCAACCTGAGGAGCGACATCGTGCACAGTAGGGCTGGGGGATATGAAGAAAATCAAATGTTACAATATATTTGGGCTATAATCATGAAACACGATATATATATTATGATCATTTTTAATTAATGAGTGCATAAAATTGCATTGATATACTCATTCAAACTTTTGGCTTCAAACTTAAAACATTTTATTTTAACCATCTCAGAGCTTTTCACTAATAATACTGCCAAATTATGTCTTTTGGTATCAGTATTAAACCTTTAACAAGACCCCAACAAACAAACTAAGCGAAAACAGTAGGAACATTTTTGCCTTTTGCTTGTTACAACTGCCAGTTTTATTTGGAGAGTGAATACAAGGGACCTAGCTTAAATGTTCAATAGGTAAATCTAAACCTTACCTGCATAACCAAGTCCTTGATCTTAGTCTCCTGGTGAAGGAGCTGGCTGCTCTCTTCTTTTAGGAGTTTCTGTGCAAACTCTGATGCAGCCTTATTCTTCTGGGTGAGGAGAGAGGCCCAGACAGCTCTGTACACCACAGTGTTATCTTCGCTGAGCTTTCCACTGGGGTTATTTATCACCCCTACACGCAGGCCTGGACTGGACTTCTGCACGCACAAACACACACACACACAAGTATACAGCAGTGATATAATTCACACTAATTTCACAGATTCTCATCTCTCCAGAGACAGACAGATCACTGACAAAGCACCAACAAGAGAGGGAGGTTATTTTTTTATTTAGTGATCTTTTCATGTTTTGTCAGGATTACCGTATTTTCACGACCATAAGGCGCACCGTACTAAAAGGCGCAGTCTCAGTTATGTGTCCCATTTCTGTATTTAACACACACATAAGGCGCACCGGACTATAGGGCGCGTTTTTTATACACAGGTACATGTCCTCTACTACCTTTAAAGCTACAGTGTGTAATAATTACAGGCATATAAAGTCAGAAATTTAATATATTATACATAACTATGTTATTTATCATCACCTATGAGCTCAGCCTTTTAACCATAATATTTGCGTTGCCTTAGAATTCGTTATTTATAATTACATAGGAGCGGGTCTCGCAGCCATGGAGGCTGACATCTTTGAGCTACGGCAAGCGCAGAGGCAACAAACTAGCGATTGCGAGATCTCCCATGACGCTCAAAAATAACTACGGCAAGTTGAGAGAGATTAACTGAGACGGTACTGAACAGTAGATGGCAGTATTATGCCTGAGAAGCGTTTAGTCTGCCTGAAACCAAAGAAGAAGAAGAAGCAGGTATACTGCGCCTCAGTAACAAGAAAGGTGAACAAGGCGGCAGGCGTGAGTGACTTTGCAAACTGTTTGGCACTGTGTGGCCAAACATCAGACGAATGGAGGATCATGCCTACTCTGTATCACAACGAAAAGCGGCGGACACCGAACCCCCGTCATCTAAGAAGCGGAAACACGACGAGAATAAACGCAAGCGTGACAAGAAACGGCAAAAAACACGGATCAACATTGGCACGGCATTTACACGATGGAAGTCACTGATGGAGGAAAAAGGTTTTCAAAGTGACGCTCAAGTTGCCAGTTTTCTCTTGGACAGGTAATTAATCCTACACACACAATTGTCTAATATCACTGCAGTTTTTGGAGTACAGGATGCTCAGACCTGTCTAAAACAATAACATGCTGCGTGATGATGCTGTTACTCTCCAGTATACTTATTCAGCAACGTCCCTGACGTTTCACAGGTAATGATTCAGTAATTTTCTGTAAAATAATTTTCTGGATATATACCTCGGTTACTTCTCTCCGGCTCCTTTGGAGATCTTCAAGCCTTTCCTCCTCTGCTCTCACCCCGCTGGCTCCCCTCTCTCGCCTGGCCCTAGCTGCACGGCCTCCCTGCCTTCGCCCTCGTCCTCTCCCTCTCCCTCTCCCTCGCGTTGTAACCCCCGTGCCACCAAAATGACTTGGACTCTGTAAACGGGGGATATATATTCTTCCAGCGAACACAATCTCGCTGTTAAACTAATGACTACATTACTTCGTCTGTTTATATCACCATGCAAAGCAGCTCACCAAGACGTCACAACGATGTAGAAAAAATAACGGGTATATTTATTATCTTAAGTCTACATGAAATCTATACCCTACACAGACTAATGAAATACTATCTGTAAAATTATCTATGTAAACAAACCTCATCACTTGAGAGGGTAGGTGATGTGGACGTCGTAGAAGAAATTTTGTCCCGTAACGCTCGCCGTACTGTTGGGGGGGAGAAGCGGTGGGGGGGAGATGTTCATGTTGCTGCGGTCTGTAGTCTGACCGCTAGATGTCGCTGAAAATTACACACTGTAGCTTTAAATAGCTCTACTGCGTATTTAAAAATACAGCGGGCCCAAAACTGAGTATGACTGTGCTTTATTCATGTATTTATTACAAAGTATTAATCAAACTTGCGAGCTGGCCATTAGACAGACACATCGCAGATGACATAGCGCTGTGATTACTCCTAAATTAACTTAAAATCCTGAAACCTGCCGACGGAATATGTTCGCTTTTATTGCCGGTATCCTGGTGCCTGCAGCTTAAATTATTTAGATGAAAAACACCTGCCAGCCGCTGTGGTGAGGCTGCTGTAGAAGGGATTTCTACTGTCGGTGCACCGCTGGTATGTGGGGGTCTGAGCGCCTCCGACAGAAATAGATAATCTGGATGAACTGACTGCAATTATTAAGTTTGGATTAAGGTGGCCTTTCTCACTTAAAAACATATTAAAACTACTTTATTCCCACTGATCACAGCAAATATAGCTGCAAGATTTAGATTATTTAGATGAAAAAACACCTGCCAGCCGCCGCGGTGAAGAGGAGGAGACGCGCCGGGGCTGCTGTTGAATTAAGTTTTCAGGGAGAAAAATAGAGCGGGAGCAAAACTGAGTATGATTGTGCTTTATTCATGTATTTATTACAAAGTATTAATCAAACCCATCAAAGTCATCATCATCTGTTTCTGAATTAAACAGCTGCGCTAAATCAGACATGCCAATTTCCCCTTCTTCGCTGTCAGAGTCACTTTCCGTGCAGCGCGGCTCCTCAGAAATAATGCCGGCTTTTGCGAAAGCTTGAACAACAGAGCCAGCAGACACGTTAGTCCAAGCATCTACAATCCATCCGCTAACGGTGGCGTAGCTTGCCCGGCGCTGCCTTCGACTTATCCTGAAACTGTGGTCTCCGTCTGTCATCTATCGCTCCCACGCCGCTCACAGCATTACTCTGAACGGCCGCTTCACACCGATGTCGAGCGGTTGAAATTCCTTTGTCAGACCCCCGGGATAACGGCGAGCACAGCGTTCATTTGATTCACCTTTTTTTTTTCTCACATCGGCTGTGAGATGGGCACGCAGCGATGGTGATGCGTGGAAAAAAGCACCTGGTCTCCTCACATACACCTGCCTTTCATCATCTCCTCATCCATCCAGCCTTTTTCATTTGCGTTAATGTCATCAGAGCGCTGTGTCTGTCTCGCTGTCAGCTCCCAGATCAGCTTCTCTGATTGGTTGATGCGGCGCATCCAGCAGCAAAACTTCAATTTTTCCATCTCGAGCAGCAGCAGCGCGTTGGCGGTGCGTCAGATACTTAAACGCTCCCGAGGCGCTGCACCTGCTGCTCAAAACGCGCTGCGGGACCTTTTGCTGCACCTATACGCGCGTCAACCATTGACTTTGCATGTAAACTCGCTGCTTCTGCTGCACCTGCTGGGTCCGGTTCACACCGATGTTGAGCGGTTGAACAGCGAGCACAGCGTTAATTTGTTTCCCCATGTTTTTCACATCAGCTGTGAGATGGGCACGCATGGAGTTACAGATTAACAGCGATGGTGATGAGTGGAAAAAAAACACCTGGTCTCTTACATTCAGCCACTCTTTCATCATCTCCTCAATGAGGTGGTCTCAAAAGTCGCAGTTACAACACACATAAGGCGCACCGCACCAAAGGGCGCACCGCACATTTTGAGGGAAAAAAAAGACGTTTAAGTGCGCCTTATAGTCGTGAAAATACGGTAAATGTTAATGTACCCAATATGTCTATTATAGTCTGTATCTAAACTGGCACATCATGTCTTCGAGTTTGCATGCAAAGTGTTGTGGCTGAATGATACTCACCACATGTTTTAAAGCATTAAGCAACAGCTTTCGCCCTGAAACCTTCTCAAAATCTGCGACTACCCACATGGTCACAGCAGTCATCCCATCCTTATCTGAATTAAAGGAATCAAATAAAATCATCATTCCTAAAATACTTAGCCCCACATGAAGCCTAAGAACTATGCTTTAACAACCTCTAACCAAACAGCAGACTATTTGGTGGGCTTAATGGTTTCATATAAATGGTACAAAAGTATTCTACGATAATGTAATATCTATTTCCATTTGAAGCAGCCTTGAGTTTTATTTATTTCCTTTTTTAAATTTCAAGACTCAGGTGGGGTCTAAAGTAATCAGAGTGCTACATATTTTATAATCATATTTGTCATATAGTCATCATATAATGATGACCAGCTTTACTCATAGACACCATTTAGTTTGAGGCTATGCTTTTTTTTAAAATAAATGCCTGAAATTTTTTTTTAAGCCCCAGAGAAACTCATCCATGTTTACATAAACAATGAGTTTATCTTTAGTGTGAATTACAGATTTAAAGTTAAACCTAGTTACATGTTTCATTTTCAGAGATGCAATGCCCAGAACTGGACAGAGTTGAGCCATTTCTGACTACTGAGCCACCTATTAGTGGTACAGTATGTGGTCAACATACTGTACCTGTTAGAGGTACAGTATGTGGACCCAAGCTGAGCAGTCAGAAAGTACATGCCACATAATTAGAAAGGCAATCAACTTCCACACCCTCACTGAAGCGAAAATCTAAGCCAGAACAGCAGAAGCAGCTCTGAGGACCAATTAAGGCAGCTGACTGACTGCCATTTAAAAGAGCCAGTAGTGACTCTGCAGCAGGAGAAAGTTTCCTATTTCAGTAGAACAGTTTTTCCTACACCCTGAGAGCAAAGTACATTTTTTTTTAAAGATTTGCCATATCAGTCTTGTAGATAGTTAACTAACCTAAGTTCATCTACTTCAGCTCTTCGTTATGTAGCATTACCTAAGAAAACCATTATGACATAAAGTGTCCTAGGCCTATGTAAGGATTTCTTTCCAAGTATAATAGCAACAATCTAAGAGGGCCCTAAAAGCACTAGTTTCATCCAAACAGAAAGGTACAGATTAGGGATGTCCTAATACAAGCTTTTAATTTCCAATATGATGCAGATCTTGCAGCGTTAACTATTGACCAACATCAACATTGAACCAATACTATATTAGCATGAATCATACATACATTTATTATTCATCTGTAGTGTGGAAAAGGCTTAGTGAAGTGATGTTACTCAAAAAGAGAACAAGAGTTACTAACAACGGGCATGAGAACTACTTTATTATTAACCAAAAGGTTACATAAACTAAATAGAAACTGAGTTTCTCATTCAACCTGGTTATATTATGGCTTTCAGTTGCACGCTCTTATCTTCAGATGTTAAATATTTGGCTGATATTGGATGGGGACATCCCTAGTACAGATGCTTAATCACTTCTGCATTGGAATGCTTAGCTTGTATAATGCAAACTTTGGGTACAGTTGAAGGTAACTACATTCGTCTAAAAGAGATGGTGTCAATCCAGAAAAGTGATAGCAAAGAAAAATAATCCCACTTCTTACCACTATTAGTGAAATACTTCAGTCTTTTAGCCATCACAGCTGTTTTGTCCTTAGAGTCCAAGTATGAAAACATAGTTGTATCCTCCCAATCATCTACAACTGTAGAAGAAAAAAAATATGACATGATTGGAATCTAGATAGCGAGTCAGTACATACAGCTATCAATGTCTACAGAAACTCACTGGAAAAAAAAAAGCAGTTACAACAACGTTTGTTTTACATGACAGTTTACCTGGTGTCCCGGTCAGGTCCAGGTATTTTCGGTCACTGCTCAAAATGAGTGGGTTCATCCTGGGAACCACATTCGCTTGATCCATTATGTAGTCCACCACATTGGAGCCCTCTGTTAACTGACCCTGGGGAGATTTAAATACACCAATGGAAGTTTTCACAACAGTGGAGGTGAAGTTTAAAGGTTTATCTGTCTGAATATTGCCAAGATAAGTCATTGAATGGTCTTAAAACACAGGATGTTTTTAAATAAGTCAAGATATTTCAATAGACAAACAAATGTACATTTTTCTATCTGGGTTTACTCGTTACTCTAAAGGATCTACCTCGTCATATGAAAAGGTTTTATATACTGAGTATGAAGAATGAAACATACCATAAAGGCGGCTCTCTGAAAGGTAGCAGTCGTGTCCATTATGCGCTGCAGGATTATGGTCTCCAGCTCTTCTGGGTCCATCTCATCTGGGTTCAGAGGAACCCCATTAAATAAAGCCAGAGGCAAGGCACCTAGGCCACTCTTCCTGTAGAAAAGAGCTCCTTCCTGAGGGCAAAGAATATGGACTGAATTCCCAACTTTTGCAATTCATTTAATATGCATTGAAACTATGACTGTTTTATCAAATAAAATTAGTATCCTACCTTTCTTTTATAGTCATATTCTGAATCGACTCCCAAAATCCTTTCTTCATCAGCTTTTGGGTATTTTTTCTTCAGGTAAGCAGAAATTGTGTCGGTAGATAATGTTTCCCCAGCTTTTACTGTCTTGTAGAGCTGCAAAAGGCGGTAAAGCAGCTCAGACTTCAATATCGGTGTGCTTGAATATCTGCCACTGTTAATATTTTCTTACACTCCCTAAAAATGCTAATGGCTGAGGTAAAATGTGGATTAGTTATCTAGCCAAAAATGCTTCAAAGGTGTAAGATAAGAGAAAGGACAATAAAACACAAAATCCTCACAGGAACAAGAAGATATGAGCTGACAGGAAACACTTGCTAAAACAAGAGATTTATATGTTTGATATACTTACTGAGACTATAGACATCACAGCCTGGGATAAATCATACTCGTCTGTGATGTAATTCAGTAGCCGGTAAAATCCAACTCCTGCGTCTGAGAAGCCATCAATCTCATCTTTGGTGTTGACAACAAACACAAATCCAATTCTATAGGCACAGGGGACAAAACAAGTATTCAATTTGCAGGTGAGATGAGAATCACTACCTAGTAAAGATTATAAAATGCTAAGAGCAGGCCACATAAACATGTAGAGGTCTGTGAGAAGTAGCACCTCTAACCTCAGGGGGATTTTATGCTTGAAGAAAAGCTCGGCTAGTTTCACCAACTCAACAGTTTCTTCCTGTAGTGGATCTAAAAACAAGACCTACAAAAACATAGAAATTGATAGAAACAATGGAGTTAAGTGCTATATAATAAAAATAAATATTCCAAGAAATAAATAAATTCAGGCAGTTTTCAACTCATCCATACCAGGTTAAAGAAATTACGTCTGATCTGTCGGATGACGCCTGGAAAGGTGGCTCTAAGGAGCTCCTGCACACTTGCTGGCCAGCTTCGGTACATCTGGTCATTTTCAATATCATTCATCCACTGGAAGATAGATAACCAATATCATTGGGTATTCAAGCAGGCTTTGGATCAGGTCATCATTCAACCAAATAATACACCATTCCCTACCCACAAGGTGCAACTCCGTCCAATTTATGTCGATTACCTACCCACACACAACTATTTTACACCATACTTGAATATTTAGCTAGATAATAGTAATCGGGAGGATAAAAGTTATGGAAAATGTATAACAAACATTTAAATATTTGTTGATTTAATTCACTGTAACAATAATATATTGGACAAACTGATATGTGGTCAATGCTACAAAAAAGGTTAGCTCATGGGGGAATATGTTCTCATTTGCAGTCACAAAACTAAATTTCCTTTATTTTAGCAAAAATTAGATTACAGGAATTCCAGTTAAATCATCATAAACACCCCCAATATGTAACAGTTTTTGGCAAAGAATAATATGAACAACAGTGTCGACCTCTTTAGATAGATCGATAAAAAGTGCAGCACAGTAGTGATTTGTATACAAGGTGTTCAATTATATAATTCACAACTTTTGTAGCTGCTGTGACTCTCCTGTTAATTAATGAAATGATGAAATATTAACCGTCTCCAAATATTTTCTAAGCTAAGAATGATTTTTTTTTTTATGAAACAAACTTAAAATACAAAGCTTTGAAATAGGATTATCGTTGATTAGCAGAGCAGCACAGCATTACCAATTTTAATAGGAGCAGAATAGAAGCAGCCTTCCACATGTCTGGGATGATGTTTGCAAAGAAAAATCAAAAATGCAGGAAACTAATTCAGCTTGATATATCCTGCTAAACACAAGAAATACCGACACCCATGAAAATTAGAAGGTGTTTCGGTTAAGTGGGTGATTACTGGAGGAAGAGGGAGGTTGACCATCAGAGACGGCATAAAATACTAAAACAGAGGCAACAAAATGTCTTATCTGATACCACAGAAGACTGTAGAGTTAATAAAGGGGGGGAATATGAGAAATTATGGCTGTCTCTTAACAGTTTGCCAAAATTACTTCAGATACTCAAACATTTTGTAGTCTAAGCTTAATAATAATCCTATTTTACGGTTATCTTGAAAGCTTAAGCCATACAAACATTGAGCAAGTAATAAAAAAGTATCATTAATAGCAAAAGGAGGTCAGTAACAAACAACAACAGTCAAAAATTAGTCAAACCCTAAAACTAAAACTTAAAACTGTCCAAGAACAGATTTAGAAAGTAGGATCTGAGCTTGAATTCACCATCTAACAAATGGAACAAAAACTACTTTTCCTGAATAGTCTGTACAATTGATAGCGTTTAGGTAGAGTTGAACATGAACAAAATCATACATTTCTTTGCCTTTGAACTAAACATATTAACTGTGAAGCTTAACTATCTTATGAGGGATGTGTCCGCAACGACACATCTGCATATGCTTAATTTCTTCTCACCAGCAACAAAAGTAATTATATCATTTGTTTTTAAGAGCAAACTGGTTGCTCTTTCTCAAAGGATTGGTATCATTAAGGTAGAGGACGTCCGTCTAGAAACTCTGCTGTCCAATCACAGACAAGAATTCAGTCTAATAACCAGCTGTGCATCACAGCGCACATCAGCAGAGTTGGGGAGAGTCACTGCACGGTAGCTGTTTACATGCACTTGGAGTGTTTTAGTTCTGAGTTGGTTCTGATTTAGTTGATAATGATATTAAGGAAGTCTGGATGTTTACATAAGTCTCCTCGAAGGCTGAATGACGAGGACGACCTTGAGTTGGACAGAGAATGAGCAAAAAAGGAGGGTTTCCTTCCTTCTGTTGCTGAGCAGTCCTGAGCAAGGTTTGTTTTATAAAAAGAACTAATATGAAAAGGTCTAAATCTCTAAATTATTAATATTATGGATCTAAAAGGGCTCATTTTTCTAAAACAAGTGATTGAAAACTTTTTGTTTCTTCTGTTTGTCAATAGCCTTGAAAACTGCAGAAAGTAATGATCGACAACTCCTACAGAATAAGCACTGCAGATTTCAACTGCTTCAATTAAAGGCAGTTTGTGATTCATCATGACTCCTGTGGAAGTATTTAGTGAAATAAAAAAATAGTCAGTTTTGTATACAAACACTAAAAATTCGCACAAAGAACTTGGTTTTGCTGCTCCTGGGGAAATCCTCATAATTAACAGAACAATGAATTTTGCTTTCTAGTCCAGAATGCAACAGGAAATAAAATACTTATAGGTTTAAGAAAGACTGTGAATCAAAGCATACATCTGAATGGTAAAAAAAAAAGGTAGGTTTTGCAGTGACTTAATAATTTAAACATAAATCTGGTTAAACCTTGCCATAACCAAAGTGGCCATTTTTGAAACCTCCTGATTGCTCAGTTAAAACAGTTTTGCAAAGAAAAGTGGACAAAAGTTAATCTACAGGAACATAAATGTCTCACTGCCAGTTACCACAAACAAAAAATACTTTTTTTAGCTGGGTAAATTTGTAGCTATTGCTTCAAATTTTACATAAGGCCATAACTCGGCCGTATATTTTCCTGCCCTTAAAGACGGAGACATATTAACTGACTATCTTGGCAAAACATTTAACATTCAAAAAATCATTCAAAAATGTAGCATTTTATTACATATCTTTCAATATAGAACCTTGGTAATGATGCAACCCTTACTTATAAAATATAAGTTTTGAGTCTTTATCCCTCTGAAATACCAAACCCCCAACTCGTAACACTGTCCAGCATTTCAGTGAAAACACCACAAGCTCACAAACCAACAAAAAATAAAATTAACGTGGAGAGGCTTTATTTTACTTTCAAATCACTAGTTGCTATGGTATATAGGAGACAGAAGAAACAAATAAAAAAAATGCAATTTATTTTTGAGAGGTTTCCTTGGTTTCGTTTCTAGTAAAAAAAAAAGCTCAGGCAGCCTTTGAGCTGAAGTATTCTCATGACAAATCCAACTCACACCCACGGAAAAAAAGAGCACCCACAGAGTTGATCTGACAAGACATTTGATGGGCCGAGGAGTTCTTAGATTGGACAGGACTCACCATTATAGCTGGATGTCGGATATCCAAGGCGTAGCTGTCATCCACGGCGTTCACAGGTAACCTAAGCAGCTTGCCCTGATGCTCTCCCTTAACGCCTAAGTTATGAAGCCCCTCTAAGACCTTTGCCTCTCCTCTGAGGATATCTAAAAGGCTGGAAGTAATACAAAAAATTTTTAGCTGTTGTGTTGTTTTTTTTACATAGTTCAAGGTTGTAGAGTTTGACTGTGTCCAACAAGTTTCTACCTAAAAGGGTTATGAACGTCCAGATCAATGTGCAATCCGTTTATAAACAGCTCCCCGTCTCCTGGCTGAATCCCCATTGCCTCACCAAGACGCTGGAAAATAAAGATAATTTGTCAGTCAAATGACCAAACCCTTTTAATTAGGCTCCCTTCACAGTGGCGTAGAAATGCTATCGTCTCCTGCAAGACCCGGAAACACAGCTGTCACAGTCCTGACCAAAAAAATTTAAACCGCTGCTTTTGTGGCACAGGAGGTTTCTTTACCTCCACCATCAGTTTCGAATCTTGAGGAAAAAAGACCATTAGAACGAGACACTGGATGGTAATAAGTATCAAGGTGATCTCACCAAGGATGCATTCAGAAGACCTGTCGCAGACTCTGCACAAAACATCCACTTAATGGTGGATTTTCACTATTGTGGTGCAGTCTAAGACCAGTGTGAAGGGAGTTTAAGTGATTGACACCATTGTCTGATCTTATAACAAGAAACATGCAGAAGGGTAAGAATACAAATAAAAACTAGAGGAAGAAGTATAACCAATGACAATAAAGACAATAGCAGAGAAAAGTTCAACTATAGATCAGAAGCTTGCTCAATGAAGAAACCAGAACTGTATACAAGGAGCAGATGTTATCAAAGATACCACCTTCACCCATGCACAAACACTGCTTATGATTTCACACCTGTTGGTTCTCCTCAATTTCTTTTCTCATTTCCTGTTTTACGGCCACTCTTGTCAGTGATCTGTGGGAACAGTAAAACATGTACAGTCACCATCAGCTTTTAACACATCCCCAGCCAGCTGTAAAATGCCAGTTTTAATCTCCAAAAGCCTGCAGGCCCTCTACTTGGTACCTTTGAAGCCCACTGCCTGTAATCACCCAACCCTTACTCAGCACTTTCTTTTGTTTTTACAAGTTGCCTGAGCCAAAACACGCATACATCAACAAAAGCTGAGTATATCTCAGTATAAGAGAAGAATGTATATTTATATGTCCCAAGCAGGAGACTGAAAGTCATGATGACCAAATAAAAAGGGGCTATACTTGAAATATTTCATGTACACTTTAACAAGCATTGATTGTGCTTAGATTTGCAAACAGAGGGCGACGAGATGATATGGATTTTGGAACGGCACCAATGCCCCAGTCCCTTAAACAGATGAAGAAAAGAAACAAAGCAATTTTTTTTTACCTTGCCTTGCTTGGAAAGTTTTGACTGAGGTCTCGCATGACCTTTAAGGCATCAAACTTCGGCACAGACATGATTTTCTCAGCGGCCTGGAAACTTAAATCTGGATAAAATGACAAAAGAAAAAGACATTATACTAAACTCACAAATACACATTAAATTGCTTATCACAGCTGTAATAATAGAAAATATTATTTCAGCAACACCAGGAATAAAATCGGAAGAGTTTTAATTTCCAATTTTCACACATAAACAAAGATGGATCAAATATGAAGATATATTAATCTATGTTTATATACAAGATTTATCAGGGTCTGTTTGGGTCAGAAAAATTGGTGTTTGTATGTTTTGATGAAATCTGTCACTAAGCAATACTAATTCAGACTACTTTATGATACTTTAAGGTTGTTTGAATTTGTATGACCTTTAAGTGTTAATAGTCTACAATAATAACATATCAGTTTATCACCTTGCATTTCCCACACTTTGAGAGGGGCCAGGTCATTAGCACTTTCCAGGAGATGCTTCCGAAATTCAACAAGTTGCTCCTGGAGCTCTGGATGAGACTTTCTGAGAATCAGGGCAGAGGAAATTAAGCTAAACTTACTTCTCTTATTTAAACAACAGCTGCAAAAATAAACATTCACCTCACATCAAAAGACACTGAAGTGACGTTAATAACATAGGATTAAATTTTGAAAAATTAAAAAAAATCATCACTGTGAAATCAAAAGTTGGCTCAGTTTCGCATCAGTAGAAAACGTTTTTATAAGATGATCATAAGTAGATTGCTTAAGTAAGGCGTTCAGTGATTTGAGGAGCATTCTTATATTCAAATGCTTCTAGTTCAGTGAGGTTTATGGCTCTCCTGATGCAATCAGATTACTTTCATCCCATAAAGAATTTTAATCGGTTTTAAACCTGGTAAAAAAGAAGACCACTCAGGATGTTTTAAGCCTTTTTTCAGCCATACCACGGCTTATTTCAAGGTGTCCTTTGGACCATGACTTTGCTGGAAATTCATGTCTAAGGCAAATAAGAGATCATTACAGAATTTCCAATTGCTTTAACAAAAACTGGAAAACATAAAACCTATAAAGAATGATAATGATTTGTATTTGAAATAAGATTTATTTTTACATCAAACTTTGCTTTCGTCAAAGAATCCTCCATTTGCAGCAATTACAGCATTGCAGACCATTGGCATTCTAGCTGTTAACTTGTTGAGGTAATCCGGAGAAATTGCATTCCACGCTTCTAGAAGCAGCTCCCACAAGATGGATTGGTTGGATGGGCACTTCTTACGTACCATACGGTCAAGCTGCTCCCACAACAGCTCAATGGGGTTCAGATCTGGTTACTGTACTTGCCACTCCATTACCGATAGAATACCAGCTGCCTGCTTCTGCTCTAAATAGTTCTTGCACAATTTGGAGGTGTGTTTAGGGTCATTGTCCTGTTGTAGGATGAAATTGGCTCCAATCAAGCACTGTCCACTGGGTATGGCATGGCGTTGCAAAATGGAGTGATAGCCTTCCTTATTCAGAATCCCTTTTACCCTGTACAAATCTCCCACCTTACCAGCACCAAAGCAACCCCAGATCATCACATTACCTCCACCATGCTTAACAGATGGCGTCAGGCATTCTTACAGCATCTTTTCATTTGTTCTGCGTCTCCAAACGTTCTTCTTTGTGATCCAAACACCTCAAACTTGGATTCATCCGTCCACAACACTTTTTTCCAGTCTTCCTCTGTCCAATGTCTGTGTTCTTTTGCCCATCTTAATCTTTTTCTTTTATTGGCCAGTCTCAGATATGGCTTTTTCTTTGCCACTCTGCCCTGTAGCCCAGAATCCCGCAGCCGCCTCTTCACTGTAGATGTTGACACTGGTGTTTTGCGGGTACAATTTAATGAAGATGCCAGTTGGGGACCTGTGAGGCGTCTGTTTCTCAAAGACTCTAATGTACTTATCTTCCTGCTCAGTTGTGCAACGCGGCCTCCCATTTCTTTTTCTACTCTGGTTAGAGCCTGTTTGTGCTGTCCTCTGAAGGGAGTAGGACACACCGTGGTAGAAAATCTTTAATTTCTTAGCAATTTCCCGCATGGAATAGCCTTCATTTCTAAGAACAAGAATAGACTGTAGAGTTTAAGATGAAAGTTCTCTTTTTCTGGCCATTTTGAGCGTTTAATTAACCCCACAAATGTGATGCTCCAGAAACTCAATCTGCTCAAAGGAAGGTCAGTTTTGTAGCTTCTTTAACGAGCTAAACTGTTTTCAGATGTATGAACATGATTGCACAAGGGTTATCTAATCATCAATTAGCCTTCTGAGCCAATGAGCAAACACATTGTGCAATTAGAACACTGGATTGATAGTTGCTGGAAATGGGCCTCTATACACCTATGTAGATATTACACCAAAAACCAGACATTTGCAGCTAGAATAGTCATTTACCACATTAGCAATGTATAGAGTGTATTTCTTTAAAGTTAAGACTAGTTTAAAGTTATCTTCCTTGAAAAGTACAGTGCTTTTCCTTCAAAAATAAGGACAGTTCAATGTGACCCCAAACTTTTGAACGGTAGTGTATATCGCAATAAATGGAGGGTGTAAATTTCTGATCGCAACATTAGTTTAAAGAAAATGAAATATCCGACAGAATCAATATAGGATTAAAGCAGAATAAACAAGATTTAGCATTTAATATTATTATAATAGAAAAGGCAACCCACTTTAATGTGCCAAAAAAGAATCCTTGCACTTCTTCATTCTTGTCATCCTCAGCATTTATAACCGTCTTTGAATCTATAAAGAAACAAATATATCCTAAATTAGCACAGACACAGCAAGTTCACGCACACTCTGTTCAATCAACAACTAACTCACCTTTAACTTTGGTGTCATCCACAGCTTTGTATTCTGTGCTTTTAATGGCCAACTCAACACCGTATCCTGATAAAAGCACGTTTTGAGGCTTTATTTTCTGCAGGGATTAAAGCAAGGGATCATATCAGTGAATATATTAATTGTTTTGCAAACGAGTTATAAAGAAGATGTAAGAACCTGTGCATCATCTCATGTGTCCCTCCTCATGTTGATTCAGTCTTCTTTTACACATACAGGTGCTGGTCATAAAATTAGAATATCATGAAAAAGTAGATTGATTTCAGTAATTCCATTTAAAAAGTGAAACTTGTATATTATATTCATACATTACATACAAACTCATATATTTCAGATGTTTATTTTGTTTAATTTTGATGATTACAAATGACAACAAATGAAAATCTCAAATTCATCATATCAGAAAATTAGAATATTACTGAAGACCAATAAAAACAAAGGATTTATAGAAATGTTGGCCAACTGAAAAGTATGAACATGAAAAGTATGAGCATGTACAGCACTCAGTATTTAGTTGGGCCTCCTTTGGCCTGTATTACTGCGGCAATGCGGCGTGGCATGGAGTCGATCAGTCTGTGGCACTGCTCAGGTGTTATGATAGCCCAGGTTGCTCTAATAGTGGCTTTTAGCTCTTCTGAATTGTTGGGTCTGGTGTATTGCATCTTCTTCTTCACAATACCCCATAGATTTTCTATGGGGTTAAGGTCAGGAGAGTTTGCTGGCCAATTAAGAACAGGGATACCATGGTCCTTCAACCAGGTACTGGTAGCTTTGGCACTGTGTGCAGGTGCCAAGTCCTGTTGGAAAATGAAATCTGCATCTCCAAAAAGTTGGTCAGCTGCAGGAAGCATGAAGTGCTCTAAAACTTTCTGGTATGTGGCTGCGTTGACCCTGGACCTCAGAAAACACAATGGACCAACACCAGCAGATGACATGGCACCCCAAACCATCACTGACTGTGGAAACTTTACACTGGACTTCAAGCAACGTGGATGAAGTGCCTCTCTTCTTTTCCTCCAGACTCTGGGACCTTGATTTCCAAAGGAAATGCAAAATTTACTTTCATCAGAGAACATGACTTTGGACCACTCACCAGCAGTCCAGTCCTGTTTCTCTTTAGCCCAGGCAAGACGCTTCTGACGCTGTCTGTGGTTCAAGAGTGGCTTGACACAAGGAATGCGACAGCAGAAACCCATGTCTTTCATACGTCTGTGTGTGGTGGTTCTTGAAGCACTCACTCCAGCTGCAGTCCACTCTTTGTGAATCTCCCCCACATTTTTGAATGGGTTTTGTTTCACAATCCTCTCCAGGGTGCGGTTATCTCTCTTGCTTGTACACTTTTTTCGACCACATCTTTTCCTTCCCTTCGCCTCTCTATTAATGTGCTTGGACACTGAGCTCTGTGAACAGCCAGCCTCTTTAGCGATGACCTTTTGTGTCTTGCCCTCCTTGTGCAAGGTGTCGATGGTCGTCTTTTGGACAACTGTCAAGTCAGCAGTCTTCCCCATGATTGTGTAGCCTATAGAACTAGACTGAAAGACCATTTAAAGGCTTTTACAGGTGGTTTGAGTTAATTAGCTGATTAGAGTGTGGCACCAGGGGCCATCAATTTTGAACCTTTTCACAATATTCTGATTTTCTGATATGATGAATTTGAGATTTTCATTTGTTGTCATTTGTAATCATCAAAATTAAACAAAATAAACATCTGAAATATATGAGTTTGTATGTAATGTATGAATATAATATACAAGTTTCACTTTTTAAATGGAATTACTGAAATCAATCTACTTTTTCATGATATTCTAATTTTATGACCAGCACCTGTATAAGTGGCTGTTTGCAGCCGGCTTCGGATATTATAATCCCAATAAATGATCGTTATAAGCGGCTAGCGGTCCAATAGAACCGTTTCAGATTGTGCCAGTAGGCTCATTAGGTTATCATTGAGTGAATCCTAATCTTAACCCTAAAGTAATTCCTGCTCCCCCGTGGAATTAATGAATCCATTTATGCGTAATCTGAAAATAATTTCAGTAGTTATTCATGTACTGTAAATTACTAAATAAAAATAAAATGATCTGCATCTCGCTCATAATAAACAAACAAAAAAAATTAATCTCATGTGCTGTCAACTGAGTGGTAGAACCCCCTACCTATACATTTTTCATTCTCTGTGAATTAAAGGAATAGTACACCCAAAACATGATTAGCCTTCATTTTCTACTCACCCCCATGCTGAACAACACTCTGGAGTACTTTTTTGATATCTCAAATGCATCTGGAGATCTGGGAGGCTTCTTGCTGTCTGCTGACATTCAAATAATGGAGGTCTATGGCGCCCGAGGCAGAAAGGTCCATAAAAATCCACAGAAAACGTGTCAATATTCCTCCATACTGCTCGTCCAATGTATTCCAAGTGTCCTGAGTGGGTAGCATCCAGAATTTACTCGAAACGAAGTCATTTAGAATGTTTTTAGAGCATAAACAGTAGTGTATAGGATTTCCTGAAAGCGCGCACATGCGCGTTCACGACGCTACAGAAGCCGGCAGACCAAACCAGATGAAAGTGCGCATTCAGCGTCTGCTCTGCCGATAATGCAAGCGTAGAAGAAGAAATGTGCTGTTTACCTGTGCAAAGAAAGAAACAACGAAAGAAAAATGTCTGAGGACTTCAGTGTTGAGGAAGAGCATGAGTTCTTTGCCGAGCTGAATGCGCTGGTTTGGTCTGCCGGCTTCCGTAGCGTCGTGAGCGCGCATGTGCGCGCTTTCAGGAAATCCTATACACTACTGTTTATGCTCTAAAAACATTCTAAATGACTTCGTTTCGAGTAAATTCTGGATGCTACCCACTCAGGACACTTGGAATACATTGGACGAGCAGTATGGAGGAATATTGACACGTTTTCTGTGGATTTTTATGGACCTTTCTGCCTCGGGCGCCATAGACCTCCATTATTTGAATGTCAGCAGGCAGCAAGAAGCCTCCCAGATCTCCAGATGCATTTGAGATATCAAAAAAGTACTCCAGAGTGTTGTTCAGCATGGGGGTGAGAAGAAAATGAAGGCTAATCATGTTTTGGGTGTACTATTCCTTTAATGCTGATAATTCTTTAAGATCCTGGTCGAAGGCAAGGCAAGGCAGCTTTATTTGTATAGCACATTTCAGCAACAGGGCAATTCAAAGTGCTTTACATAAAATCAGTTAAAAAAATAAACGGACATGCACAAAACTACGACAAAAATCTGCTTAAATCAGTAAATTAAAACAATGTGACTGGCTGTAAGGAGAGTGGAGATGAAAACCTGCTACCGACCAGGTTAGCTCTGGTGAGAATGTTACTATGGTGACTGAAACAGAGGTTGAGGAAATTATCTTTGTGAAACTAAAAAGTTACAATTTCCCAGTTTTCAGGTTTATACTACTTAAGAGTTTTGGGTAAACCTGCTTAGTGAAACGGACCAGTTGTTTTCTTTGCAAGTTGATTTATTTTAAAAAGCAATCTTGTTTTTTCTTCAAAAAGCAGTGGTTTAAAAAAAATGTTTCTTTTAAAAAGCAAGTTTTCTTTACAAGAGCAAATTGTTTTCTTTCGTTTTCTTCAATTTCGTCATCGTTGATGAAAACAACACTAACCAACACCAAGTTTGTTGAATACTTTATTCTTTAACTTCATCTTAGATGTATCTATAAGTATCAAACTGTAGAAATGGTACCAAAGTGTAGCAGTGTGTAATTGGCAATGTTTGAAAAGACAAAGATAAAGATCTTTGAGGGTTTTTCTTATGTGTAAATGAATAAGGCTGAACAATATATACTGAATATATACAGGTGCTGGTCATAAAATTAGAATATCATGAAAAAGTAGATTGATTTCAGTAATTCCATTTAAAAAGTGAAACTTGTATATTATATTCATACATTACATACAAACTCATATATTTCAGATGTTTATTTTGTTTAATTTTGATGATTACAAATGACAACAAATGAAAATCTCAAATTCATCATATCAGAAAATCAGAATATTGTGAAAAGGTTCAAAATTGATGGCCCCTGGTGCCACACTCTAATCAGCTAATTAACTCAAACCACCTGCAAAAGCCTTTAAATGGTCTTTCAGTCTAGTTCTATAGGCTACACAATCATGGGGAAGACTGCTGACTTGACTGTTGTCCAAAAGACGACCATCGACACCTTGCACAAGGAGGGCAAGACACAAAAGGTCATCGCTAAAGAGGCTGGCTGTTCACAGAGCTCAGTGTCCAAGCACATTAATAGAGAGGCGAAGGGAAGGAAAAGATGTGGTCGAAAAAAGTGTACAAGCAAGAGAGATAACCGCACCCTGGAGAGGATTGTGAAACAAAACCCATTCAAAAATGTGGGGGAGATTCACAAAGAGTGGACTGCAGCTGGAGTGAGTGCTTCAAGAACCACCACACACAGACGTATGAAAGACATGGGTTTCTGCTGTCGCATTCCTTGTGTCAAGCCACTCTTGAACCACAGACAGCGTCAGAAGCGTCTTGCCTGGGCTAAAGAGAAACAGGACTGGACTGCTGGTGAGTGGTCCAAAGTCATGTTCTCTGATGAAAGTAAATTTTGCATTTCCTTTGGAAATCAAGGTCCCAGAGTCTGGAGGAAAAGAAGAGAGGCACTTCATCCACGTTGCTTGAAGTCCAGTGTAAAGTTTCCACAGTCAGTGATGGTTTGGGGTGCCATGTCATCTGCTGGTGTTGGTCCATTGTGTTTTCTGAGGTCCAGGGTCAACGCAGCCACATACCAGGAAGTTTTAGAGCACTTCATGCTTCCTGCAGCTGACCAACTTTTTGGAGATGCAGATTTCATTTTCCAACAGGACTTGGCACCTGCACACAGTGCCAAAGCTACCAGTACCTGGTTGAAGGACCATGGTATCCCTGTTCTTAATTGGCCAGCAAACTCTCCTGACCTTAACCCCATAGAAAATCTATGGGGTATTGTGAAGAAGAAGATGCAATACACCAGACCCAACAATTCAGAAGAGCTAAAAGCCACTATTAGAGCAACCTGGGCTATCATAACACCTGAGCAGTGCCACAGACTGATCGACTCCATGCCACGCCGCATTGCTGCAGTAATACAGGCCAAAGGAGGCCCAACTAAATACTGAGTGCTGTACATGCTCATACTTTTCATGTTCATACTTTTCAGTTGGCCAACATTTCTATAAATCCTTTGTTTTTATTGGTCTTCAGTAATATTCTAATTTTCTGATATGATGAATTTGAGATTTTCATTTGTTGTCATTTGTAATCATCAAAATTAAACAAAATAAACATCTGAAATATATGAGTTTGTATGTAATGTATGAATATAATATACAAGTTTCACTTTTTAAATGGAATTACTGAAATCAATCTACTTTTTCATGATATTCTAATTTTATGACCAGCACCTGTACAATTATTGTAGAATTAGTGTGAGTATTAGCAATACTGTAAATGCATTAATCACTGCATTCCCTGACAACAGATAATATTATTTATGATTTTGAATGGCACTAAGTGCAATCAGCTGGCACTGATAAGTGTGACGAAAAAATCTGAGAGAATGGATTTATCATTACTAAAATTGTTTTAATATACATCAATAGTACTGCAATGAATCTTTGTCTTGTAGAAAAAGAAATGGAATAAATAGTATGAAACAAAAAAATCTTTTTGGAAATCATATTGCAAACAACAAAGTTAAATATTGGTGATATGACCTCGCATAACCATTATGGTACTTCTGAAATAACACAAATGTGGTGGAGATATAAAATAACTTCCAGCATTTTTCACTATTATTTCAGTTTTTTCTCACAGTATCTCTATATAGTGTAGAAATTGAGCATTTATTTAAAATTAAATACACAATAAAAATAAATAAATTGCAGGAAAATTCATTATTAGCCTTTTAAAAAACCTTTGCGTAAAGTGAAAAGATCTACAATAGATGGTTCTATCGTAACATGCAGATTTTTTGAATGGGAAAGTTAACTTTTTCTTTTTTTTGTTTCTTTTTTTACAGCTTAAGATAAATTGTAAAGGCCAAGTTTGGCGCACAAACGAGGAATATGAATATGACACCTATATCAAATAAAGAAAAATAGAAAAACATATCTAGCTACTCACCAGGACAAAATGCCGCAGAACATAAACCAGTGTGCCTTCCTCTGCTTTCTCTGACAGCACCTTATGAAACGAGTTGAACTTCTTGGTTCCAATTTCAGCATAGAGAATCACAACAGGCACATCAGTTTTATTGACTCCTGGATATGTGTGATCATTCTTGTATAAGTATGGCTTTTGCCTGGAAACATTTCAGAAAGTTGATACATTTCTGAGTCAGTGGATCCCTCGGGAAACTAAAATGTAACTTTTCTGTTCTCTCCTTGGTTCAGATGAACATCAGAAATGGCTACACTCTACTTTACCTGCCTGCTGCTGCCTTAAGGAGCTTCTTGATGTCCTTGGTGCTGCAGCTGCGCTGACCGTGGACAGAAACAAAGGCAGGACAGCCTTCAGGTGGAGGCTCATCACTGGCTATCTGTTCAAAGCACAACAAAGATCAGCCTACAAAAACCCAAATCAAATCAAGACAAGAAATACAAAAATATCCAAATGTATAATCCAAGCAGTGAAATAAATCTTCTCCTTCAACAATAACTCAAAAACATCTTAAAAGGTATAAAGATTTCTTCTATTCCACTTTAAATTTTATATGAAACAACTTACCACAGTATTAATAAACATAGTAATACAGACTTAGTAATAACGATACAGAGGAGCTAAACTTTAGAATGACTTTTACCAATAAGCAAAAGGCAGGCGTTAAACTAACCTGTAAAAAAAAAAAAAATTCTTCATGCAATCAAAGAGCTATTATTTACAACTGGTTTTTTTGGTATTCAAATTTGCTTTGTTTTGTGTTTGTTTTGTGTTATCCTTTTATTAAAATGTATGTTAAAAAACTACAATAATCTGAATAAAGATAATACTGATGACCTTTATATATATATATATATATATATATATATATATATATATATATATATATATATATATATATATATATATATATATATATATATATATATATATATATATATGTATATATATATGCATGTATTTTTTCTGTACTTAATTGAGTATATAAACTGAAGCTAAACTAAATTATTAAAGCTGCTTTTTCCTAATATTGTCCTGCATTATTATTAAATAAAAAAAATAAATAAAAAGCTTAACAACTGTCTTCAAGGCACTCTCTCTATCTTTTATACATATTTCCACACAGTTACCCTCAGGGTAAAGCCAGATGCTAACTTTGTTTTAAGCTACATCAACTCTGAAAACAAAACAGCAGTTACAATGCATTTTTTCTATGCATGTAAATTTCAAAACATACTTTTTTTTTTAAAGCTTTGTGCGTCAGCAACAATCATCTTGTTCCACATAAATAATAAATAATAAATGAAAGACACTAATACAGTTTCTTGCTGCAAAAACACCAACAATCCATCTGAAGTTTGCTGCTTGAAGCATCATTTGAAGGATTAGGACTCCATGTTTCTTTTCCCTTCTCACTCTTCATCTAACCATTAGAAACCATGAGGATTTTTAAATGACATAAATTTTGTGAGTTGTCTGCTGCCTTGGACACGCAGATATGGCTATTATTACAGTTTGGTTTAAACTGTTTTCTGTAGCGTCACTTTAAATATATCACCATACCCATAAGCTACGACAGTCTTCTTTCCAAAGTGCTCAGAGGGTTCTTCTGCGTTTCAGCATAATAGTTACTCTCTATTTAAAGTAATTACAGCATGGAGATAAATATGTGGGTGTCCTAATCAACCAAAACCTGTTTTTTTATATATTTTTTTTCCTTTCAGAAAGTTTAAACACCTTTTTGTTCAAGTTGAACCTTACAAAGTGTCCTTAAATTTGCTCAGCACTGTAATTGTTTGAAAATTACTGTCAATTTAAGGCTGAAGTTAAATGCAGTTTTCATCGTAACTTGCAATTGGATCTTATTTTCCGGCCTCATCAATTTGGGAAAAATTCAATAAAAGTTGAAAAAATAACTAATTGTATTTGTTGTTAATTGAAAAAAAATTGTCAAAACAAGCATTGTTTGAAATTACAAATACCACATCATAAAAATATTCATTCTGAAACGGTCACCAATAACATTGTTCAAAAAATAAAACATGAATCCTTACCTGTTGGGAAGCATGGACAGCGGGTGAGTAGGACCGCATAGCCAGAGCAAATCGGAGCAGATTCACCTGAAGATGTGACAGGAACTGAGCTGCCTTTTTGATAATCAAGTTGTAATATGAGCGCACAGATTCTGAAAGATCAATGAAAGCCATTTAGAAGTGTGAGAGGTGGCTAACCCATAAATTTGTTGCGAAAATGCAGACTCTAAAGGAGGAACAAAAACAAACCTCCTTGCTTGTAAACAGTCAGTTCCTTAACAGTGTCCACAAAGTGCCAGAATTTTTCATTCCCATCTTCTGCAATAAACTCACTGCATGGAAAAATAAATAAATCACTCATGACTAATAATTACCACATTTTCTAATAACACAAAACGGTCCATCTCAGGAATAAAAGTCATCTGCTTTCCTTTTTTAAAACTACAAGCTGATGCTCTGTCTTGCAGCTAAGACACCAATGTCCAGGCGCAACATTGTTTCTTATCGGTTCCGCTATCGGGATAGAACCAATAATGGTTACAGTGAGCGGTTCGGTAAATATAAAACAATTATTGTCAATTATTTTAATGTTTGATATGAATTTCAAAAATATAATCCAATTTATGGTGTGGTAACAATTTTAAGACCTATGAAAGACTGATTTAAGACACTTTAATACCAATTAAGGCCTTGATTTTATATTGAAAAATTAATTGCCTTTTAAGACTTTTTAAGGATCTGTAGGAACCTTGTAATATATATATATATTGTATTTCAATTTTAAAAAAAAATTTTCAAATAATAATGATGAATTTTGAAAAAAAGAAAAATAGCCAAAACAAATAGAAATGCCTCCTTGCCATGTAGGGAAAGAGAAATTCAACTAAATCAAATCTTCCTTTAACCTCTTGAGAGCTCGGGTAATAAATATTAGTATCTGTGAACTTAAAGGGGAACCTTAAAAGCAACAAATACGTTATATTTAATAATTCAGCGTGGATTTGGTCTTGTTTATCACAAATCAATAACAATTTCATGATTTGTTCCCAGTGATCACTAATGTACCTGGCCTCCAGGAGGAAGGGTGTCATGCTCCACCTGGCTTTCAGGCTGGCCGTGACGCCTTTGGGAGCTGCTGTAGCCTGATGCATGTTCAATAACAGAAGGGACAGGAGTAAAACCTTCTCCATTGTCACGGAGGAACGGGAACCTGAAGGGGGCAAACACAGCGCCGTTAGCTCAGCTCGTCTGTCGTTCAAGAAGTGTATCAGTGCCACGTAGGTACTGTAAACTATTTGCCGACAAAGAAAACAAAACGTGACTGAAACTGAGGAATACAGAGTCCTACTAATTCATAGCACGGTACGAGTTAGCAACAAACGAGCAGTTATATTGCATGTATCGAGTTATAGTTTTATATATAAAATAACGGCTACACATTCAACACATTAACTGAGTTAACTAAGGTTAACTCAGCTGCAGAGTCGAAAGGATGGGTGCTACTATAAAATAAATATATATATAAAAATAATGACAATTATCGCTCTTTATAGCAGGGTGTTATAAATTATCGCTGTTACTATCGTTATCGACTATAAACATACTAGGTCTTACTTCACTGGTGATACTGACCGCTTCCATACAAATCCAAGGGGGCTTCAGGTTGGAGCAGCTAGCCGCAGCTAGCGAGTAACTAGGGGTTCGTGTGGTATGGTACTCACAGAAACCGTTATTCTCGTTTGGACTAAAGTAAAAAAAAAAAGTGAATGAATATCAAGATAATTTTTATTTAAGAGGAAAATGTTACTTAACGGCATCCCAAAGATAGAAAATGTATGATTTAAAAAAAAAAAGATTTTCTTTCTGGCACGGCGATAGACAGCTACTTTAAGTACTAAGGATTATTCCTATACAGTTTTTCCCAAAACACCAGAGGATATCGCGTTTTACCCAAGTAAGCGAAGTGGACATGTATTTGGTGTATTATTATACTTAAAAACACTTAATACAGTGCCGAAATTTTGTGAATGTAAACATGAATATACACATTAATAAAATACAGCAAAACAAATGTAAAATAAAAAAAATACCAGTTTCTTTAGGAATATGCTTTAATGTGCTTAATATGCTTAAAAATATGTGTGATATCGCCTGTTTTAAATTCTTCCATGTTCTAACTTTTCTTTTTTCAAAATTGAGTTGCTACTTTTATGAATTTAACAAGTACATTGTCTCTTTCAACAACAGAAAAAAGAAGTAATTCTACTACCTTTAATAATACTATTAATAGCAATAATAATCATAAGAAGAATTATCTTGAATCCTGTTCTGAAATTGTTTTAAATATATACCACTAGGCCACTTTTTATGTACTTTAAATATAAGACATCAATGGTTACTGATGTTGACAAAGGCGATCCAGTGTACAGATGACATGTCTTAGATTTAGTTCTGAAGAGATGCCTATTAAATGCTGCAGTTATAAAGACTTGACTTATTGTTTGCATTTGACTTCGCTCTGAGCACCTGTTTGGTGTCTTTATGCTGCATTATTACACTCATCAGTGTCTTTCTTCAAATATATTACAGCCTTTGTATCTTTTTGGTTTTGTTTCCTTTTCTACCCTGTCATCATCCAAGCTTCTGATGCATAGCCACCAAGTTTAATTCTAGTTCAACTCCTCATGTTTGTTACTTGTTTATTTTTATCCCCATTAGCTTTTGCAAAGCAGCAGTTATTCTTCATGGGGTCTTCACCATTGACAGTTAACAATACAAACAATATCTCTCAAGATAATTTGATAACACAATAAGCATTTGTTGATCATGCATTGTTGGCATTGATTTTAAATCAAGATTTGGTGAAATTCCTTGCTTCCTTTCAAATGGGCAGAACCTATATAAACATTTTCATAAAACTTTGCTCGCATGAGACAATGTTATACATTGATATGTGGGAAAGTACTGACAAATGCATTAAAATAATGTTCACCCCTTTGGTATTTTTATGTTTTGCTGTATCACAACATAGTATTTAAATGGATTGTTCAAGAGTTTGTATCTTTCATTGACAGAAAGCACTTCCTCCTTAAATGTCTTTGTTTTCTGGTGAAGCAAACAATTTGCCCAAAACTGTCTTTGATAATTAGAAAAAAATTATACTTGGCAGGTTGATGTAAAAGCAAGTACTTGATAAAGTTAGTCTTGCTATTATATTTTCCGGTGTTGATTCCTTTCAGCAGCATCATCAATAAAGTCCATGGATCATTGACTAAGTTTGTCCAAAATTGTGCAGCCAGGATCTCAACTTGCACAAACGTACATCTCTTTTTTCTTAATTTACCCAATTATTTCAGAATTGCTTTTAAACATATTCCAAATTCTGCAGGTCCTTCAACCAAAAAGTAGGTACCTTGAGGAAATCCCTCTTTCCAAACTGTCACCTCAGCACTGGAAGGATTCCTTTGTTTCTACATTTTCTACATTGTCTTTAGTCATTCGAAAGTAGCTCAAGCCATTTTTATTCAAATGTGTTTCTTATCAAAATCATAATTTCATTCTTTTTTTCTTACCATTTAGATTAAGTATTTTACTTAATATCTTTTTTCAGGTTTAAATTCAATTTAATTGTGTTACATACATCGAAAGGAAGCACTGTGCACCCTATATCAACCTTATTGAAAATATATCTTAAGGGCTGGATTTTACCAGGAGCTACTAAATATTCATACATACTTATGTCAGAAGCTTCTTGATGTCTACCAAAAAAAAGTAAAAACGATAAAAAACAGCAATCAAAGCAAAGCTATGGTTGGTAAAAAAAAAAAAATAATAATAATAAAAGTGGATCATTGGTTTATGGATCTCCACAATTTTAATCTTGCTCTTATCTTATCAGAATGTCCCAGAACATTTTTCTAATTTATCTAATATTCTGTCAGACCACCCTGATGTTTCCAGCTGCAAAGTTGCCTTTTAGCATGGTCATTGGGGCAATGTGCACAAGTGGCTCTCCCTTTAAACACTGTGTGTCTCCTAATATTTCACTGACTTCCTCAGAGATTCTGAAGCTCTAAAAAGCTTTAGCATATCTTTTCTTCAGCAGTGGAGTCTTGCACTGTGACTGGGAGTAAAAGCCTTTGCAATTAAATGCATTCCTTATGCATGAGAAACATGTTTTTCTAAAACTGTAACTAACGATTCAAACCCCTTCTGTGATTATCTATTTGGTACTTCTGTCAAAAACATTAAATAAAAGCAACACATGGCTGTGGCTGGTTTCATGTAAATTCATTTTCACCTCTCGATTATTATTTAATGAGATATTAAGGCATTTAGATATGAACTACAGGAATTAGTATGTTTTACCAACAGTAAGACGTTTTTTGTAAATATTTCTATACAACTGTACTCCTTAATTACCTTTTTCATTGAAATGTTTGACCATATATGATCTAATTTGGTTATATCTCTTTGTGGCGTATTTTGTCATTGATATTTTTCTTTTTTTTCCCATATTTTTTGTTGTCATTGCACTGCTACAAGTAAAGAGCAATGAAATGAACTGTCTGCATTTAACCCATCCCCTTGGGGAACAGTGGGCTGCCATTGTGGGGCGCCCAGGGAGCAGTGTGGGGTGGTTATATGATCTGTGGTTTCTATTTTATTCTAATTGCTTTGTTAGGAATATTAAAACTGGCAAAAAAAGATAGGACGAGAGAGATTTATGTAGGGTAGGTTCCACCACTATGTCTCGATACTGTTATGGTTTGTTCCACTGTGGTGGGTGATAGATTTCTATAGGCATCTTTCTTCACAGAGAAGCAGGTCAGATGAAGGGAAAATTACTCAGCCTAATTAAAGGGCAGTCCTGGAAGAAAGCATGTTAAAGGAGGCAGAAGATGTGCCCTCTTCATCCTCTGACATGGGAGCTGGGTCGGAGCTGTGTGTTTCCTGGATGGGGCCGCCTTTTACAGTTGCCTTTTGTATCTCTGCTTCTGTCTCCTTGAACCCCAGTCAGCCTCTGCAGATGGCCGCTCACACTGTGCCAGAGGTCTTTTCCTGTTAAAATGGAGTTTTTCCTCTCCACTGTCGCTACAAGCTTGCTTAGAGTAAAGGATTGCATTTGAGTGAATGAGTTGAAGCAATCAACTTTTTTTTCTTAGATAGAAAACTTTGAATCAATCTAACTGGATGATCTGGTGAACTGTAAAATGCCTTGAGATGAGGTGTGTTGTGAATTGGCGCTATATAAATAAACTGAATTGAATTAAAGATGGTGTGTAGAGTTACCCTCTATCAGAACATTGATCCAGAACATACTGCCAGAGTTACAATAGTTTTTTTTTTTTCAAAGACAATGTGGGGTTTGCCAGATCAGAAACCATGGAACTACACTAAAATTTCATTTTACAAGTCATGTGAAGTAATAGACATTGGGATAGCCCACATCAAAAAAAGCCAAGAGGATTTAAAGCACTTAAAGATGGTTTATCAAAATTACCCTGAGGGCTGAAATGAAAGAAACATTTTGATTTGTAGATTTTTCAGACTTTGCCATCTAATTTTACTGCTACTACTGATTATAGATCTCTTCATAGATATCTTCTTGTTCTAATCTTCAAAGGTGAGATAGATGCGCTTCAAAAAAGTTGGGCATCAAAGAATTTGGGTATCTAAATGAGGGTTTCCAATCTTTATTTTGGCAACTATTGTGCTTCTGGGTTTGCTCTCTGTAAAACAAGATTAAGTGATGGATAGGATATGGTATGGGAAGCTCTCCCCCAGTCTATCTATGATGAGGGCAGGATGCAGCAGCAGCAGCAGCAGCAGCATCCTCCTTCTCTCAGAGAGCAGTGCTTTTAGCTCAGCCAGGCAGAGACTCAGTCCCTCCATTCAGGCAGGATGCTGCTGTCCGAGCAGAATTGTAAAGGTGAAAGAGAGCAAAACTAAAAACTCTCTCTAATAGCTTTTATTCTTCTTTATTTTTCACTTTCATTTGAGTGATCGAAGCGGATGCAGCTTCAGATCGGCTTCAGAAGTTGGACAGTCAGAGATTTGCGTGCCATGACTCTTGGATTTGGACATTCTCCAGGCAGCGCGCAGCAGACGGCGTGGATCGTTTTAAAAAGCATCACGCGTGTCCGGAGGGCGATAAATCAACATGTGGCTGTTTAAATAAAATAAAGGAGGGCATGGATGAATAGTGATCTCCATCCGAACAGCTGATATTTACAGTTATGGAATGAAAACACTATCCTAAGATATAATGGATGAGAGATCCAGCAAGCTCATCTTGGTTCCCATCTTGGCTGTCCTTTTTGTTATGATAGGTTATCAGTACATATGTCCTGCGGGCAGCAATTCATGCCACTTTAAGTCCGGGGAGAGATTCAGAGGGGTGAGCCTGCTTTCCTCCCCTTATCAGGACGCGGACGACTTCTACAGAGATCCCGATCTGGACGATGACGGTCCGCCACGGCTGCCGTACAAATTCAACTTCACCGAGAGAGACCTGGACAGGCGCGTGGAGTTCAACATCAAAGGAGACGACGTGATCGTGTTCCTGCACATCCAGAAGACCGGAGGGACCACTTTCGGTAGGCACCTGGTGAGGAATATCCGATTGGAACAGCCGTGCGACTGCAAGCCCGGCCAGAAGAAGTGCACCTGTCACCGGCCGGGCAAAGAGGAGTCCTGGCTCTTCTCCCGGTTCTCCACAGGCTGGAGCTGCGGGCTGCACGCAGACTGGACCGAGCTCACCAACTGCGTCCCGGTGGTGATGGATAAGAAGGAGGCCCAGAGGAATAAAAGGTAAATAATAAAAAATACTCCAAACAACTGCTGCAGGTCTATGCAGATATATAGTGAAGTGATCTGAGGTAAACATGTAAATGATTTGGAGTTTTTCTAGTTTTACGCATAATTCAGTTGCGACAACCTATATTCACCCTCTTACTTGCATGGCATTGTTGGGCCAATTGCCTTTGAATTCATGTTTTTCCCATCATTTCATTGTCAATTCGCTCATATTTACAATTCCCTTTCTAATCACTGATAACTTCCAAGTAGCCTACAGCAGTTTGCTCCATTCACATCATTAACTCTTGGCATTCATTTTTAAAACTGTATAAGGGCAGAACAATCCATATTTCAAGTTAACCTATACCCCCCTAAAACAAAACAAACAAAAACAAAAAACAAAAAAAAAAAACAAATCAAGTGTGAATTTTTCATGATGTTGAAAGACAGGCTTCTCTTTTCTTTTTTAAGCTCTTTTTGCTTTTCCTTAATTATCCTTCTACTTTGAGCATTTGTTTTCAATTAGCCTATATCTTTCTGTTATTTAGAGATAAGAAAATTATAATTTTCCTGTTTAATAGAATTGCGCCTAGACAGTTTGTAGGACCACCTTTCAAATTATGATTAAAAAAATTATTAAAAAAGATTAGATCAAATCGTCAAATGAAAACCTGCTCAACATATAATAGGATAAAAGCTCAATACAGAATCTTGCATACAGGGTGACCAAGTGTTGATACACCCAACACTTTTTTTTTTTTAGATATTTATGCATTATAAAATCAAATCTTAATGTACCTTCTAGTGTAATAGGTCATCTTAAACAGTATATAACTTGTAACTTAAAACATACCAACAAATGATCTTACCCCTAAACTTGAAGATCAGAAGGAAATACCATTGAGCAATTGCATTTCTATATAAACCCCTATTGCAACTCTGGGGGACCTGCAGAAAATATGTTAACAGAGTACATAGCTTAAAGGAAGCCTTTATTTTATTTTTGTAAGTATGCCACCAGCTTTGCAGCTTAATGAAGAAAACAAACACATAGAGAAATGTGCTTTATACACATGAGATGGAAATGAGACTTTCTAGAAATGCAAAGAGATTTTGGGTGGGGAAAATACTGCACACCATTCCAGGGTGGAACATGGTAGTGGCAGCATCATGCAGTGTTGTTGCTTTTTTAGCAGCATGACTAGAGAAACTGGTTGTAGCCACAACTTGAAGAGGCAGGGCTGACAGAGGCGAGGCTGCCGTACAAAGGCGCCACCACTCCCTCTGACCACCATCAATAGGTCATGCAGGTGAAGTATCTTGTCCAAAGACTCAATGACACTGAAAACCAGAGCCGCGCTTGAACCAACGGACGTGTGATTTTGATATCTATATGTGCAAATCTAGTTAAAACGAGAGATTGTGAAAATAAGAGCTTCAGGGGACAGAATGCAGAGAAAAAACAAACGTATATTTTCAGTTCCTTTTCAGAATTATTCCCGGCTTTGTGCTGATCTACAGTATAAAGTCCCAAGAAAACAGATGGACGTCCCTGGTTTTAACATCAATACATTTCTTAAAGACTAAAGGAAATGTGTACTTTTGCAAAAATGTATTAATATGTTTAACTTCCCTTGACCTATCCTTTGACCTGTGTGGTTTGAACAGAGGGAACGCTGGACAAGCCCATCCTTCTGCTGCCCCTCATCCAATCAAAACAGAGAAAATGAATAAAGCCCTTCTATTCTCAACAGTAATGGTAGTGCACCGACTCAAAAATTGACAAAGTATAGATAAAAATATGTGAATTTAAGTTTATTAAGTTGTTTCAAATGAATATAAGTATATACAAATTAATTTGTTTGTCTGTTATAGGCCTTAAATTGTGACACTTTAGCTGATAACTCTCTTCAGGGAATGACCAATGTACAACCATGATGTTATCTCAGGAAAAAAAAATCACAAAACAAATTAGATAAAGGTTATTTGAACTTCAAGTATTTAATTTTTTGTTTTAACCAGAGCGGAAAGACACTTGCAATTACTGATGTAAAAGAGATGCTATAATTCACATAGCATTGAATGCACAAGTGACAGGTTATACATGCAATGTATCCATGAGTCTATTTTTCAGCATTGTAAGCATATCTGAGCTCACTGAGTTTCAACACAGCATTAGGTTTCAGACTCTTCATTTAACAAGGACATTAAAAAGTCAGTTTGCCGGAACGGACACATCAGAAAGAAAGAGCGCTGACCGAATCGTCTCGTCACATAAGCTGGATTTTGGAACTGCAGAGAACATCCTTCCTCTTTCAAAAAAAAAAATAAAATAAAAAAATACAATCATCCAGCAAAGCACCCAAGCACATGATTTATTTCTGCTGTGCCAAGTGTTTTCTGTACTCAGGGAAGTGCTCGATGGATGTGACAGCTCTTCATTTCACAGCTGCAGCATCTGTTCTGCACTTACAATCCTCCCGCCGCTTGTTCTTCTGTGGCCTCCTGCAGCATCTATTCTGAGGCTTCTTTCTCAGACGAGACACATTACTGCTGAATTCCATTTCTAGTAAGCTGTTGTTTGAAGTGGATTTACAGTATTAATGATATAAGTATTAGTATTATGCATTGTCACTTTATCTTCCAGTAATAGCCTAATTAATTAAAAAAAAAGTAAAGTTCTTGCTTCTTATTTTTTTGGTAGAAATGTGATGATCTCTCTTCTAAAATCTTTGAGATTTCACTAAGGGTATACAAACAGAATGTCAATGTCAAATTCAGACACCCTGCCCTTGTTTTGTGGGTGGCCACTTCTTAGATTGACTTTCCTCACACATACAAGTTGCCGGCTCCTCCTGTGGTGGCAGTAGGAGGAGGTGAAGGAAAGCTGTGATGGCATCCCCCGCGTGGCCTTGTGTGGCCTTTTCAGCCGAACAGGGCGCGGCGCACGGTGAGTCAGCTGTGCGGCCCAGGAAAGGTCAGGTATGTCAGGCTGGATCAGTGCGCGTGTCCTGCGGCATGTCGTCTCTGGAGTGTGCTGTCAGTCAGGGGAGAAGTGGAGCAGGCAGGCCGGCCCTCTTCGGGGGCATTGTGGAGAAACAAACCTTTAAGTGCTGTCCTCTTAAGTTGCTTTGTGAGGGAGCACTTCCTTATCTGCTTTCATTGGGGTTGGGCTCACCAAGTAGGGTAGTTTTTTTCTTTCTCAGTCAGATTCAAAGGCCTACAGAGTCTGATGAGTGCTGGAAGAATTATTTCTGATTGCTACACGTTCATTATCCAACTTTCCAGTCTGGAATTACTCATGTAGATATATTCAGTGTGACACTAGGACGCAGAGCAAGGAGCAGTTTTGCAAAATTTATTTCATACAATTGCAAAGAAAGATCTGAGTAAATTATGTCTTCTCGGTAGTCTACATAGTAAAAGGCTGCACTTAAAAATCAAAGAAATATTTTATGTGGCTTCCCTTGAAACTCAAAACAGGATTATTTTGTTTCCCGCCGTTGCAATTTACAATCCATTTTCATTCCTACACAGTCAAACATCTGTCAATGACACACTTAAAGCAGCAATAACGCAGTCAGAAACTATAACAATAAATCACACAGCCTGAAGTCTTTATATTTAGGAATACAGAATACACCTCCAATAAATCAGTGTCACTTACTGTTGGACCCTGGGTCTCCAAATCCTTTAATAAATGGATAGTGTCATTTTGTATTTTTATGCTCGCAGAGCTTTATGATAAAAGGGAAAGAAAAATCATGTACATATATAAGCTGCACTGTAGAGCAGTGGGTAGCACTGCTGCCTGCAGGAAGGGTTTGGGTTTAAATCCTGGACCGTGGTCTTTCTATACGGAGGTTGCATGTTCTCCCCATGCATGCGGGGGTTCTCTCTGGGTACTCCAGCTTTCATAGTTCAAAAACATGACTTTTGGGTTAATTTGCTCTCTAAATTGTCCCTAGGTAAGAGTGTGTGTGCATAGTTTTGCGTCTATGTGTATCTTTGTGTTGCCCTGTGACAGACTGGCGACCTGTCCAGATTGTACCCCGCCTCTCCCCCATAGACTGCCGGAGATAGGTACCGGCCCCACAGCGACTCTGAATTGGACTAAGCGGTAGAATATGGATGGATGTACATATACTTCATGCATTATTGTAAAAAGCTTTGCATATAAGGTTAACATGGATAATTTAATTGCCCAAACTTGCAATATCTGCAGTCTATGTGTTGGGTTATGGGTTTGACTCAGCAGACTAGGTTTTCAGTAAGGATTCCAAAGATTAGATTCAAAAGAATAATCCATGTTGCAGATTACTAGAAGATAAATATATGTTGGTCTAAATTAATGTTTTATACTTTTTGTTCAATCATGCAATATATTAATCAGATTGATTAAAACAAAATGATTATTATTGTCTTTTAAAAGAAAAATAAGCATTCTCAGTAAATGAAATTGCTGCATACTTTAGGTGAACCAATTCATTATCTGATGAGGACTAAATGATTATTTAACCCAGTTATATAATCATTTGTAAACAATATAATTGTACCATCTTATTATTTCTTATTTCATCCTGTGGGGGATTTTCCATAACATCTAATCAGGTAAAGATATCATTTGAAATGACTCTTTCATAAATCATCGCCCTGGGTTACAATTTTTGACTCAATGTTAGATTTAAATTGAATTTATGTTGTTTTGATTCAGTGTAAGAAAGGGACATATTTTCTCACCCTGCTAATGTGCTTATCTCTTACATTTGGCAAGCAACCAGGAAACTTAATGTTGCTACTTCTAACTAACAGTGAAACTAACACCAAAGTTTAAGCAGCAATTACTGTAGGTGGAGATTGTGATTTTTTTTTTTTTTTAGCTCCAATTAACATTCTTACTCTGATGTATAGCTCCACAACAACCCCAGAAGCGCGACTGATATGAACAGGCATGTCTCACTTTTCTCCACATAATTAGTGCTTTACTTGTGAATGTTAAACTATACGGCATA